TTTCCAGGCTTTTTATTAATTTATTGTAATTAATTATTTGCATGCAATTAAAAACTAATTTTAAACGATGCCAAAGAAGGATAACTTCTCACGCGTTTACATAAGTACACGCACCCATTTTTGCATTCAGAAGAATGCCGCCGCCTTTAATGTATTCTTCTCTCCGGTACAAAATCAAACCCAAGAGGTAAATAAATTCATAATAACTGCAACTACCTATTTCACAAAACCCAATGAAAACCCCAAATACGAATAAGAGAGGAATTACACGAAAAGCGGCGTTTTTTTTTAAATATTTTTTAAAATAATCTGCAGTAGAATCCAAAAAGGGCCCAAGTCAAAAATTACATATTTCTGACGCAGAAATCTTAATCGATAAATAATTCTAGATTTGTTTACATATAAAAATGAAATTTGTTGGCCGAGTGAATAATATACGATGTCGTTTATTGGAATGGGATTATAGACGCGATTTTATAGAGCTGCATTAAATGAGATTAGTTATATCAAAGATAAAGTTCGTCAAATGTGAATCCTCATCCACTCAGTCGCGCATCGACATTGCGAAAACTTCAAGTATCGCTGGTACTGACATTAAGTGGGAAAAGTGTAAAAAAAATCAATTGAATTAATTCCTCCATAACTATGGACACCAGTGAGAAATCTACTGTGAAGAGGCGGTTTGGATCAAAGGTGTAATTTTATTTTACTATTTTGTGCTTCTATGCTGTATTTAATGAAAGCAAAATAATTAGTTTTATTTTCTCCTTCCATATTGCATAATGTATCGTAAAATTTTGAAAATTAATAATCACAAATAACTTTCGCGAGCTGTACTAAAATCAAATACACGGAAAGTTTTTTAAAATTATTGTAGACGATAAAAATGTAAATTTAGCAAAATGTTACTCTCATAATTCTTACTCCAATATTTGTCTCCTAGATTATTCCCGTTTTTATTCCTTTTGTTTTTATATGTGCGATGAAATGCCTATTGCCTTCTCCAATATCCCGGAGAGTCTTAAGAATATCAAACTTTGTTGAGCTAATTTATTAATAGGCAGATAAACAGAGTTATTTTGACATTTATAATATTAGAATGACCTTTCTTTATGTATAAGTTCCTTTATTATTTATATTCGTATCTATCCGTTACCCTAGTATCACATAACACAAGCCTTATAGTGCTTACTTTGGGACTAGTCTAATTGGTGGAGTATTGGAAATATTTATTTATACGTTTTTGTTACCTTTCTTTATAAGTTTAGCCAACAGAAGGCAATATTTTCTTGTCAAAGTCGAACTTACATTATTATTGTATTTTAAAATCGAAGGGTTATGTTTAACAACCTCACCAAAGCAAATGTGAAAGTTTGTGTTTGTAGTTACTCAGGCACGCAAAAAGTACTGAATAGATTTGATGAAAACTGGTGTACATGTAGTTCATGGCCTGGATTGAGACATAGCATTATTTTTATCCCGAAAAAGTGTCAGGTTGCTGAGGGATTTTCAAAAAACTAAAGTTAACGTTAACAAAGTCGCGGGCGGCCGCTAGTGGCAAATATAGCTTTGAAATTTTAAATCTTATCTATACTATATATTCTATACTTAATTTGGATTTGCACTTGTAATACAAACTGACATAATTTAGCGTATTCGTATTCTTTGTATCTACTTCGCAAAAAAATATGTAGCGTTGTGTACTTTTTCGGTTTTCCTTTTAGATTTATACAAGAGCGATGACTTATTTATTATCATCTAAATTTATCAATGATTCATTCGCGAATTCGAGAAAAAAAATTGTTTGCCTATGTTTTACTAGCATATGTGTTTTTTCCTGTACTATTCAACACTTAAACGTTCAAAGAATATATCAAAATGTAATTAAATGTTAGCAACTTTTTAATTTTGCTTTTAGTGTCATATATTTTTTCTTCAATAAACAAATATATCTTGAACTTTCAACATTCAAGGATAAAAGCAACGCTTTTAATTATTTATTTTATGTCTAATATTACGTAATTATTTATTAAAAATATTTAAAAAAGAAGCACTTTCACACGTAGTCATACAGAATATCGCAGTTAAAGGTAGAGCGAAATTATTACTAGATGCGACAAATTTTACATTATTTTCTCATTGTAAAATACATATTTCAAAGAGTATAAAGTTTAGGTTAGGAGCAAAAAGTATTTTTTAGCAACCAGATAATATATACGTATGTGCAACCGGCATAGTATGCGCGCTACACAACGTTGCGTACCTTAACACTTTTACAAATTTTAAAATGTTAAACTTTATATGATCTACTTTGTCCTTACACACACAGAAGAGCATAGAAATAATTAAATTACTGTGTATATAAGCGCGCCAATAAGATTCATCTTCTGTGTTGCTAGCTCACAATTTTGATTTTGAATGCAATTTATTTAACCCAACCCACTTTTACCGTTCAATTCATCTACTCTTTTTTAGCCTCCACTCATTTTTGTGAAAGTGGTATGAACAGCACACAGCTATAGTGCTCGTCATTCGATTAATCATTAGGTATATTAGTAAAGGGCTTGCTAGTCAGAGACGTCAACTAAATTAGATGCTTGTCAAAATGATGTGTTGTCTTATTCTTTCTCCATCGCTAAAATAAGGCTGCATCAACTTCAATCAAACAAAAAAAAAATTTACGTATCGAAGTGTCAGAGTCAGAAGCATGTTATTACTTTTATTGAAACAAATTATCATAATCAACCCATGCTCGCCCACTGCTGGACAAAGGTCTCCCCTAATGCACGCCACTGCTCCCGATTTTCTGCCAAAACAAATGAAACAAATCCATGCTTGTATAATTAACGACCACAAAATTAAAGTTTAAACAGGCCAATTCAACGATAATAATTACAATATAATGCGATTCAAATAAGAATAGGAAAGCCAATGACCTCTATCTGTCAAATGTCGCTTGAAAAGTACGGTTTGCAAAAAAAAACTGAACCCTTTTTTAGCACTCCGCTAATTCAAGAATAAAAACCAAACATTTGCAAACAAACAATAACAAATATTGATAAAATTAATATCGGATGATATTTTTTTTTCACTTATTGAGCTTTGGCCATGAATGGTTGATAACCTTCATCGTCAACCAAATGTCACGTTAAGTTGCGTTCAGAAAGTCGATTTCAAACTTTCGTTTACATAAAGGATGCATGTTCGTATGTGACCTAGTAATAGTGCATGATTATTCATAACTACTCCGGCGGTAATGCAGAGATGAGCGGAATAGATGAGCTAGATTCTGATTAATGTTTTTTCTCACAGTCCTAATAAATAAATGTTATTAAAAACCGGTGGTTTTTTTTTCTCAATCTTGGTAAATAAATGTTATTGAAAAAATCTGATGGTTTTTCTCATTTAATCTTCGTAAATAAGTTTTATTAAATAAAAACTTTTTTTGCTCACTCTACCTATTTGGTTTAAATTGACAGCTATAACATCACAATATGGCGCCCAGTCGGTCCTATTCTTAGTCGAATCGCATTATAGGTAAATCCATCATGAATATGGTCAATAGATCTTTGAGATCGGAGGAATTTAATAAAATAAGCACCAGTGAGCTTAGGCAGGTCAAAGGACATTCTTACAAATAGCAGTGACATGATTTCTGAAAGGGTATTATGTTGATGATAAGACGAGTTGAAGCGCATGCGATTATATTGATAAAAAATTTGACAGAATAATAAAATTACCTACGAATGATTTAGAGAATATTGTGTAAAAAAAAACGTAAATAGAAATAGGAGAATGTATGTGTACTGTGCATTTGAAGTTGAAACTGGGAATGGGAATACATACTAGTGATCCGCCCTCGCTTCGCTTCGGTGTAGAGCTGTAGTGTAGATTTAAATGACTTTTTATATATATATTATAAGTAATTATAAAAAAACTGCAATTAGTATATTTGCCTTTTCCAAACTTCTATTGACATCACGTCGCTCAATTGTTTTGCCTTCCCAGAATCTCTCCACTAACAATTGAAATTTATGGTATGGTGTTAAAGTTCAAACCGACTTTTAAGTATTATTACGAATCGTTTGTATGGGATTATAGAAAAGTGTTGTTTTTGGACATTTTCAGGCATTTTTTTAAATTTTTCACTGCGTAAGAACCATCCACGTACTTCAAGAAATATTCTAAAAAAAGAATTATTAAAATCGGTTCAGCTGTTCTCGAGATTTGCGCTTAGCAACACATTCAGCGATTCATTTTTATACTATAGATATTGTGTACTTATATGTATGAATAAAATTAACTACCGAAATGTAAAATGATGCTAGTCAAGACTTAATTTAATTATTTCGGCCAACCACGGATCATATCATACTATCACATTAAATAAATAATAGCACAACACACTAATACTGCGAATATTGTCAAACTATCATAATAATAATTGTTGACGACTTGAGATGAGTGAGCTCACTCATTTAGCATTAGAGAAATAAGATAGCAGTACTTCCTCTTAATACTCGGAAAAAATTACGAAGCATCTCTCTAAGTTTACGTGTTTTCAAAATGCCGAATGAAACTGCGAATATGTCGCCAGAATAATTTATTCTTCATTGAAATCTTTGATTTAGTGACATGTTCCTAAAATCTCGGAGACGTAGTGTCTAATAGAAGCCGTAATAAGAATCTATTTATATACTGACATGCTTTCATAACGGTTGTGTTAAAAATGCAGTAAGTACTGAAATTAATTAATAGTTCAATAAATTAAAAATAATAATGCTGGCAAAGGACAGTTAATTTGCACAAATAACATGGTGGTGTTATAATTAAAAGTACCAAAAACCACAAAACAACTAAGAAAACTTGAGCAAATTTGTGGCACTGCACCTAGAAATACTGTAATTTTGATAACAGTATAGCACCACTAATGGGTATTTTTTTATTTTCAAGAGTTTTGTGGTGAGCTCGGTTTGTAATTGAGCATGTTGTACTTTCAGAGAGAGCCGCGAGCATACTCCGGAGTACCCACTGACGATTATCATGACGTGCGCGACGAAAAGCCCTGGCAGCGGGTTAATATACACACACTACATACACTAACAACAATTTTGTACACTTCTTGTTTATAAATAAGGAATAATGTTCGTTCATAGTAAAAAAAATATTCAAATAGCTACAAAGTACTTATTGCATATCTGTGTTAAAGAAATACATTTAACATAGTCAATGTTTTACCCCCTTCTTAAGTAAAAAGTTAACCTTTTACCCCCAACTTAATTAAAAGTCAATCTTTTACCCCTTTCTTAATTTAAATCGAATTAGTAACACAGTATTATGTATTTGTTCATCAAACACAAAGTGATGTAAACAAAACATGACGTAAATTCAAAAACATTACTCCAATAGTCAAGCACACTATTACGACATTGGTACAGTCTGATGCTATTTGGAAAACAAAATATGTACAGACTGTCACTGCCTATTGCTTATGACAATTTCGAAATATACAGTTGATATAGTCTTTATGCACTTTTCTTGATTATACTTACGTAAAAATTCCCCTCTTTTGCAACCATGTTCTTCTTTCGTTCAATTTATAATTTATGCGTATAAAGAATGTATGTAAACAAATATTTAAAAAAAAGAAATCACGACTCGAAGGACCATTTTGTATGAATTTATGGAATTTATCAAATGGATCATTTTAATAAAGTTCTAATTACTGATTTGTAAGGTAGGAAATCTGTTCGTGTTACGAATAATTATGGAAAGACACAAAAATGTATGAGTACTTAGCTAAAAATAAGTACAGTGTATCATTAAAATTATTAATAAGTTGTTATGTTTATAAATAAAAGGATAATTACATTTGATGATTTATTATCCATCTATTTATAAATGACAATGAAATCAATCATCTTTTGAAACACTTCACAGTGTTTATTTGTATATTATACGTATCGATCATTCATCATTTTATTGATTAAGTTGCATTAGTCACTACATGCATCCTTAAAAAGTCTGTAGGTGACGTCTTTTTTGCCTCTTTCGCATGTGCAACTTTAATGTTAAAGTTCTGATTTTGTTGATACTTCAGAAGAATAGTGAGTAATTTAGTGACTAAAACAACTGTTACTCTGCAAAAATCATTCATATTAAGGTCAAATCCAGGAAAAATATACATTGCAGCTTAAGGCTAGGAAAATTTCGACGCGGCTATCAGGGCCGTGGTAGCATAATTGGTCAGTGCATTCGCCCGGATTGCGAAGGGTGCGGGTTCGAGTCCCGTCCGCTGCCTGTTCCGCGTGGATTTTTTTCTAGTAAAACTTTTCTTTAGATTTAAACATCTAGCAGTATAATGCTTAAAAAATATCATAAAAATATACATTTCCAGCTAATTAACTGGATTAAAGCGACTGATCTGACATTTTTTAAACGATGGTTCGGTGCATCGATCACTGAATTTTTTGTGTTCGGAGTTCGGATATATTTCGGTTGAGATATACACTAAATATTTTGCTTCTCAAAACCATTCAGTTATACATTCAGTTCATTAACATAATTATAGCTACTTACATACTTAAACTTAAGCATTAAAGCTTAAATTTTTATAGGGAGATAAATATTTTTGTCGTAAAAGGAATTGTGGTACAACATTTCCTATTTTAAAACCATATTGTATTTTAACGGCTTAAGTTCCCTTAATTGATCTCGCTATCCCAAACAGTGTGAGGTTGTTAAGTTAATTTACGAACAGCCCAATAACTACAACTTATTCTTATTTTCTATGATTTATGGTTAATTTTGTATTAATTTTTTTCCTTTTAATTCTGTTTGTCTTACGTATTATTATTTCCTTCACCAATATTACTGCCATTTTAATGTACTTTTTGGTTGTGGTAATTAATTTTTACTAACTTTTTCTAACATTCTAGGTTGTCTTTGAAATTACAAGAAAAGGGCTACATTTGTATGAGCCGGTGAAATCAGTGAGTAACGATAAATTGAAATGAAAATACCCGGGTTGAAGATTGTTTTGTCTTTGTTATACTTGGGTAAAAATAATGGCTGTTTTTTTATCTGTGGGTTTTTAAATAAGTAATGTTTAAGGTTTTCATTTTATTATTATGCTTAAATTATATGCCTTTATGTACATTTTTGCAATTATACGCCGAGAAATTCACATTACAAACATAGGCGATATTAATTATCAGTTAATCTATAAGGTGCAGCCATAAATAACTTTATCACATTTTGTTTAATATTTTAAGAAATTTATTCTGATAACACTTTTTTTCTCGAAAAGCATATAAGTACGTACATTAAAGTTATATGAATTTAGTTTTTATTTTTCTTGTTATCTATTTTGCACGTGTTTATAAAAATGAGGAATTAAGTCTTGATTATTAAGTTCCGATCACTCAAATCTTTATCATAATTATATAAACAAGAAAAGTCATTGCGTACTCTTCGAACAAGACGAAGACGCATTTTTGGCAAATTGTAGACTTTGTATGTTCTTCTCTAATGCGTCTTAAAGTTTTTGTTCACGTAACAATGCTTTGGATGGGTATATTTTAATGTAATAGGGTATTTGACAGTGTTAAAAATAAAGTGCCAATTGTTAGCATCTTGTGTTTAGAATGAATATTGGCAGGGGTTTTATTATTTTTACAAAAAAAAATATTCAATATTTTACTAAAAACTAACGAAAAAGATAATAGTTTTCTTATCTATTGTCACGTGACCCAAAACGCCCCAGGCGTTTGGCGGAACCTAAAATGACGTCACACGCAAGTAAACTTCCGGTTAAAGTAACATTACATTGTATCGTTTGACGTTTTAATAATAGTCGTGTGACGTCACACACTACTAAGACGCCATTTTGTCGAGAGAAACGTTTTCGCGGCAACTTGAAAATGGAGTTTTTGTTTTGTTTATTTTACTGAAATACACAACAGAATGATGAATATCTGACTCCATAAACATTAGTCAATAACGTGAGATCGTTTTCTAAAACTTGTCAAATACCCTATTTGTTGATATGTTATGGACTTGTTGTGAATAAAAACTATTTATTGGTGTCGGGAGGTGTTGGGCACGGGTGTTGGGTATTCTTGTGATGTATGTCAGTTTGTTTTTTAATTTTTTATTGCATCATTGGGCATCATAATATATTCTAAGACCTTTAAAAAAATGGGTAATGAATGTAAAAAACATGTTATAAAAAATTGTCATAATCATAGTAAAAAATACAGTTTTTAACAGTTTTTTTTGTCGATGGAGTAGGTACATTCCATTTCATTCATGATTGTTTTTCTAACAAAATTAATTTTGATGTTACTTTTTTTATTTATAAATGAAGTGTTTTATTTGGAAATTACATCCACTCAATCCATTATTTTACTTAATTAATAATGATTTCGGAAAATCATCTAAAATAATATATTTTACCTACCTAAAATACATATATGTATTTTAAATACCATGTTTTCTGTGAAAACATCTACCACTCAAAATGGTAACCAAATATTGCTATTCTATGTCTATTTCTCGTCCATAATATAACTATTTTTTCCGGTTCTATGTATAATCTTTTCTAAACCTATTAATTTTAAATCATGATTTTCTTAAATTAGGTAATGCTTTAAAAATATTAAAACTTTAACTTATATTTTTTGTATTTTTGGGAATATGTCATAGCTACAAAGTAGTAACATTTAGTTAATTTTTAAAAAGGGCTACAATAGGGTAATAGTTGTCTGATTTCGAACGCTGTATCTTCAGGTCCCCAGTATATTTATAATACTGGTGCTGGGCCTGTACATTCTGCTCGGCTTCCTCACACAACTCATCGAGGATGACATGCCCAGGGTCATAACGGAGGCTGAGATATCTAACGATGTGAGTATTTTTATTGTACTTTATAACAATCATCATTATCAAACCATTAAGGCCGAAACAGACTATTGAAATGCGACGCCACCCAACGCCACGCTTAATAATAATTATTAAAATAATTAACAAAGGTGGCTTTTCTGCTTGGAGCGCCCGTTGGGGGAAGTAACCCACCCTTACAGATTACTACAGTAAAATAACACTATATTTTGGTGGTGTTGTGGCGGCGACATCTACATGCCCACATATAACCAAGATAGAGGAATTAATCACTCGCCTCTTCAAGAGATGGCGCTACCGGCGCTGCACTCAAATAGTATGGAAGCCTGCATCCAGTGTTGCCAGGTCCGATTTTTAAAAATCGGGAAGCGTTATTGAAAAGAACAGTAGATGTATGGAAAGAGCTAGAAGAAAAACAGTAGATGCAGAGGTGTACTTTTTCCGATTTGCACCCCCCCCCTCTCCTCCTCAAAGCTAGTTATTTTTTAGACAATAACATTTATTTTATAATTATTAAGGAGGTTACCTACATTATTAATGGCGGAAAATGCAACTCAACATGCAATTTCATAAAGAAAATCGCATTCTAAGAAAAACAGGAGATTCATGTAGAAAAACAGTAGAACAGGAAAAATTTCAGAAAAACAGGAGATCTGTAAAATCTGGAGACCTGGCAACACTGTCTACATCGCACAAGCGAAATTCGGCGGCCAACAGTTCATATATATACAATACCGCCACAGTGTTCTGTTACTGTCGGTAAGTAAGGTTTCAGGGCTCCACGGGGTAGAGGATGGGGTCAGGGTAGGTAACGGCGCGAGGGATATTTTGTATTACAAGCGTCTACAGCCTGGGTTCCGAACCTGGGGGTAATTACGCCTCCGGGGTTAAATCAGCCATACTTCGGGGGTAACAAAGAACCTAATTATTTGGTCAAATCTAAATAATAAGAAAATACTATACAGGGTGTTATACAGAGAGGGGGGTCTGTTTAGGTAGTAGTAATCGTACGCATTTATAGGGTTGTCATAGGCAGGTGTAAAACGATATTTTTATAAATTTAATTAGAAAATAAAAGTGGTCTGAAAGGCGTCAAACTTTCGTAGGTAATTCTATACAAGGAACACAACCAAACCCTAAAGTTTTATTTCGGACTTTTGTCACACCCTGTATAATAATACTACTAAATAGAGCATGCGCTCCTTCTTGCTAGCGAGCCCGCGGGGTGCTGAGTGTGGGAAGCGGGGCGAGATTTTCTCCTGAAGATGACATTATTAGAGACGAAGATGTAGCGGCCAAATTGGAATTTCTTGGACTGATGATAACATTTTAAAGTCGGGGTAAAATCTGTTTTCCTAATAGGTTACAGGGGTAGCAGTATTGGAAAGGTTAGGAAACACTGGTCTACAGGCTACGGTGGCCGCTTACCATCAGGCGGACTATTCGGAAACGGATACCGCCACATCACTCGCACTCCCGGTGCGCACTAGGAGGGACCGCGGTCCCTCATAATGCGCGCCGGGTGACCGGTGCAGGAGTATTGTCTAGTTTTTACGGTCGCCTTCTTGGCGAGGTAGGGCCCCGCTTGCTTCTCGGAGCACTTGTGTTCCCTGAAGCGGCGGAGAGGAGTCCCCGATAGCTTCGTCCGCAACCCTCGGTTGGCGAAGTATGCGTAATGCATTTTCTAGACATTAAAAAAAAAGGCGGGTTAAAAGCTTGTTTGCCAATATTTTAACATTAAAAATAATACTTGCAGGATTGGAATACGTTCAGCGAGGAATCAGCCCTCAAGTATCTCCAGCGTATAATCGGCAACCAGCCGCGCGTCGCCGGCACCTCCTACCATCTGCAGAAGACCAGGGATATGTACGCGATAGTCCAGGAGATCGCGTCCCAAGCCAGGATACCCATAAGGACGGAGTGGCAGGTTGCTTCCGGTAAGATAATTAATAAGAAATAGAAAATCCTTAGCTTATGATAGGACTGAAAAACTTTTAAAAATTACCACCTGAAACATACGCCGACTGGTATGTACGCCGAGTTTCAAGGCCTACTCGAAAGGTCCCGGGTTCGAATCCTGGTGAGGCAAATGTTAGTATGATGAATGTCATGAATGTTACATAATAAACATCCATTGTTACCTCAGTATCACAAGCCTTTCAGTGCTTACTATGGGGCTAGACTAATTGGTGTGAGTGTTGGAAATATATATTTATTTAGAAGCTGTCCCAGCGAACTTCGTACCGCCATAAAAATAGGGGTTGGTGGTATAAGGTTGAAAATTTAGGATTGTATGTATTTTTGTATGGTGTATCATAAAAAAATAAAAGCAAAAAATGTTGTACAAAAAAAATATATTTAAGGGTGGACCACCTAAAACATTTAGAGGGATGAAAAATAGATGTTGTCCGATTTTCAGACCTACTGAATATGCATATAAAATTTCACGAAAATCAATCGAGCCGTTTCGGAGTAGTTCAATTACGCACACCGTGATACGAGAATTTTATTTATTAGAATGTTGATAATATCTTTTGCAGGTGACTATTTGCTGAACTTCAGTAGTCCATTCGTAAATTACTACCAGAATGCGTCGAACATCATCGCCGTGTTAGAGGGAGAGAGCGGATTCAAGGCCAACGGCGAAACGGGGGCATCTCTTCTAGTCAACTGCCACTACGATTCTGTGCCCTTTGCTTTAGGTAACAAAGTTCATGATAAAACTTGACCGGCTTAGCGATCTGAGAGCATGTTCGCACTCTATAAACAGTATTGATAATAGGGAAGATGCAAATATAATATTTATGCAAATTTTATGATTAAAATGTTAAAAAAATATAAAAGAAATGCCACTGCAACGTTTTTATTTTACATAATGTTGTTTTTTAACAATAATTACGAATTAAAAATGACTTGAAAAAAACGTATTTTAAAACACCAATCAGCCTTTAGTGACGTCACTCCTGTTAGGACAACTTATTTGAGATTATGGTTATAAAAGTGAATATTATTTTATGAGAATATTAATCAGGGGCTTTTTTAATAAAAATGGAAGTTGGGTTTATCAAAGCTGACTCCAGGAAATTACCAAGAGTTAGTGTTGACATGGTTGTAACTTTTTTGTCCAATGTGCAGAGTTTTCAAGTGTAGAAATGAAAGGGACTAAGTAGGGAAGATGCAATATTTTTATTTTTGTTTTCATTTTAAAGAATTCCATGTAGAATAAAACACACATATATTAAAAAATTAAAACATTGTGATTTATCGGAAAAAATACGGTTTTAAATTGACAATTTAAATTTTCGCGCGAAAACGAACCTATGGTTGCGATTACGTCACTCCTGTCTGTCACTGGTCGTAATTGTTCGTTGCTGGCTTTAAATTTTCATACTATTGCATATTTTTTCGAATTTCGAAATATTTTTTGAAAAATTTAAAATGGACTATCCATCAACATCATGTGATCATAACAATACCACTAATATTCCGAAAAAAAGCCGTGTTGACTCATGTTTTGTGCCAATCTATTTAAACAAAGTTCCCAAATAAATTGTTATTGACTGGAACTTCTGACCCAAAACTGAAAAAAGTGGTTTCAAGCTGCGAAGAGAAATGACAATTATTCTCCAAGGACCATTATTCGATGCTGAGAAGATCACTTTGACGTAAGTCGGCGAATATACTTGTTATATGCTTAATTAATACTTACAAAACCTGTCTATAACATATTTTTAATTTTACAGTTGGAGAATGACGTCGAAAATTAGATAAAGTTTAAAATGTGTGGCACAGTCTTCACATCGGCAGGACTGAACCAAGCTTTGCGTTTCATTTAAAATAACTGTAACACGATAACCTTCTTTACGTACTTTATGCTCCGGAGAACTCGACCTTTTACTGTACATAATTTTCCATCTCTTTTAATTTGGACATAGCCGATTGCATTATCGCCGTAAGATTTGTAGAAGCCGCTGAATAAAATACGAAGTTAAACAACTACGATTTATGCATACCGTAGTAATTAAGTCCCTTTCATTTCTACACTTAAAAACTCTGCACTTTGGACAAAAAAAGTTATAACCATGTCAACGCTAACTCTTGGTAAATTCCTGGAGTCTGCTTTGATAAACGCAACTTCCATTTTTATTAAATGTAAAAAACGCAATAAATATTCCCATAAAATAATATTTACTTTAACAACCATGCCTCAAAGAAGTTGTCATAACAGGAGAGACGTCACTAAACGCTGATTGGTGTTTTAAAATACGTTCCGTTTCAAGTATTTTTAATTCGTAATAATTGTTAAAAAACAACATTATGTAAAATAAAAACGTTGCAGTAGCATTTATTTTATATTTTTTTAATATTTTAATCATAAAATTTTCATAAATATTATATATGCATCTTCCCTATTACTACGGTAGGTATAAATCATACTTGTTAAACTTTGTATGTTATTCAGCGACTTCTACACATAGCAGTTATTTCAGCTCAACAAGAGAATCTTACGACGTAAACGCAATCGGCTATGTCCAAATTAAAAGAGATGGAGAATTATGTACAGTAAAAGTTGAGTTACTCTGGAGCATAAAGTACGTAAATAAAGTTATTGTGTTACAGTTATTTTAAATGAAACGCAAAGCTTGGTTCAGTCCTGCCAATGTGAAGATTGTGCCACACATTTTAAACTTTATACAATTTTTGACGTCGTTCTCCAACTGTAAAATTAAACATATGTTATAGCCAGGTTTTGTAAGTAAGGTTACTAAGTCGCGTTTTTACGTACATGCAGATTAATTATGCATATTACAAATATATTCGCCGACTTACGTCAAAGTGATCTTCACAGCATCGAATAATGGTCTTTGGAGAATAATTGTCATTTCTCTTCGCAGCTTGAAACCACTTTTTTCTCAATTATGGGTCAATTAAATTAATTCAATCAAAAGTCAAAAACAATTTATTTGGATACTTTGTTGAAGCAGATGGACACATTGGCACAAAACATGAGTCAACACGGCTTTTTTCGGAATATTAGTGGTATTGTTATGATCACCTGAAGTTGATGGACAGTCCATTTTAAATTTTTACAAAAAAATATCTCGAAAGTCGAAAAAATATACAAAAGTATGAAAATTTAAAGCCAGCGACGAACAAGTACGACCAGTGACAGACAGGAGTGACGTCATCGGAACCATAGGTCCGTTTCCGCGCGAAAATTTAAACTATCAATTTAAAACCGCATTTTTTCCGATAAATTACAATGTTTTAATTTTTTAATATATCTGTGGTTTATTCCACATGGAATTCTTTAAAATGAAAACAAAAATAAAAATATTGCATCTTAGGGAAGACCCTATTATTCAAAATAACAATTGAAAATTTTGTTTTGTCTTTTAAAAATCTACTTTTTTTTGCAACTTAATGAAAAAAGTGAGGTAATCACAACCGATGCCTTTTGTCAAGTTCTTAAATCATACTTACCTAAAAAATTTATAAATTGAAAATCAGTGCCTTATTTCTATCCCTAAGTAGATACTTATTCATTTTATTTTATTAAATGGGTCAGTGATCGTATAATAATATCGATGAATCGGCAATTAAACATTTGATTCTCGGGTAAAATGTTGTAATATTATTTGCAATATTACTTTTAGTGTCAACTATGAAAGTGTTTTGTCAAACCTAGGGCTCAGAGGGGGTAGGATTATAAATAAACTACGGCGGAGATATAATCTTATTCTTATTCTGAAGTAGCTAGTAAAGTTTCTCAGGTAATTATATTTTTAAGCATTTAACTGCTCGATGCTTAAATCTGAAGAAAATGTTACTAGAAAATATTCCACGCGGTCCAGGCAGCAGACGGGAATCGAACCCGCAACTCCGGGTGGATGCTACCGCGGCCTTAATGGCCTTGTCGAATTTTTTCTAGTACGTTCTTAGGCTGCAAGGCAGCGCCATCTCTTCGCATTGTAGGTAACCCACAATGTCAAACGAATACCTTTACAAGTATTAAACATTTGAAAGGACTTTTTGGCGGGATCGGAATGCGGCAGTTTTGTTTTTCTTGTTAAAAATTGTGTTGTGGCGGATGTTAGTGTCTAATAATGGTGGATTATTAACCACTAAGTGTTCGGGAACATGCACAAGTGTTGGCAAGCGAAACAAAATAGCGGAAATTGTCTTTCGACGTTTTCTCAAGAAGTCCATGGGGAGGTTCCAGTAAATCCCCACACATTTACTGAAACATAGGGAAAGGGGGTTTGAATTGACTGCCACTTACTTTGACTTGATTTAATACTTTGACGACGAGTGCTATAGAATTTGTAAACATTTTAACATTTGACATTGGCTGAATGCACAAGACGTGCGAAGCCATTTAGAGAAAAAAAAACATTTGAAAGAAGCAATAGCCATTATAGTTATGATTTTATTTTTTAATCTGAATATTTGGAAGTGGCAAAAACAATAGTAGTTGTATTTTTTTAATGTAAAGAAAAATTTCCCTTACAGTTCTCGGGTAACTCAAAATTCACGGTGTATTTTATGTGCTCCCAGGTGCATCCGATAATGCAATATTCTGCGCGTGTATGGCGGAAACACTACTACGATTATCGCGAAGACAGCAGCGATTAAAATACAATATAGTGTTCCTGTTCAACGGGGCCGAGGAGAACCCCCTGCAGGTCAGTACTTCCGGGAGAAGGGGGAGGGGGGGGGGGGGTCGTCAAAATCTGAATTAAAATATTTTTTGGAAAAGGGAGTATGTGTAAAAACGGTATTACTAGACTTGCAACGAATTGAAACTATTCGGTCAGGGGCCTCGCCGAATATTCGGTATACTGCCGAATATACTATTCGTTGCAAGTCTAGTTATTACCTAGACGCAATTTGTCATTGACTAACAGATGACAGCTAATACTATTGGTTTAAATTCATTACCTTGATTGTGATTGGTTGTATCAAAAACCACGTGACTCAACTACATAAGCAACTCTCTCACACGCACCCTTCTGTTAATTAACATTCAATCGATTGAGCGAGACAGAACTGTACCCCTAGCACGAACCATTATCGAATTCGAATAGTTTGCAAATGCGAAATGTCAATGTCAAATTTTGTATGGAAACTTGCACAGCAATTTCACAACGGACGTAACGAGAACTAAAAATCAGGAGATTATAATATTAAAATACAAGCACAACTAAATTACACAAGAATACAATTTAAACTAAGCGGGGTGTTTGTGCATGTGTGTGTATTTGTATATAAGTATATATATACATATATATATTCAAACTGTATTTTGTAAGTTCTTTAAAATAAAATTGTTTTACTAGATATATTAAAAGATTATATTTATATACCTATATAAAAATCAGTTATTATACGTTAAAATTTTAATAACAATGACAATTCGGACTCGCAAACTATTCGAATTCAATAATTGTTCGTGCTAGTGATACTTTACTTGTATTGTATTTAATAAGTGGTGTGCGTGAAAATATAAGATATAAATTTACAACACATTTGGTCAAAAATGCATTTACGGAGGTAATAAACATTGTTAGAAAGTTCAAAATTACAGGCCATACAACGGAACGTACGGTAATAGTACATTATGATACAGCCGAGGCGATATTGTTAGCCAGAGCCGTAGGTGAGGGCTATGAAAAGGCAGAGGCTGTAATTATCAAACCGCACGTATGTCATACGACGTTTTATAACACATTTGCGAGGAAATAATACTACCTACGTACGTACTTTCCGAAAATGAATTTGCACCTTTGTTTGTTTTCCATAAGATGAAATTATTTATTTTTATGAGCAAATGTGTTATAAATAACTATTGTCTATCATAACGCAGGCCAGTCACGCGTTCCTTCAACACAGATGGGCGGTGGGAGTGACTTCTGTACTGAATTTAGATGCGGCGGGGATGAACGGGAAACCTTCTGTGTTCCAGGTCTGTTATCATTAGAGATCGGATGCATATTTGCTTATTTTTATTTTTTGGTTAACAAATTAAGGATATTTTATTTAAAACAAAGTGGCTGAGTGGTTTGTACGCCGGGTTTCAAGGTGTCGCCTATTAGAGAGGTCCCGGGTTCGAATCTCGGCGTGGGCAGATGTTTGTGTGGTGAATACGAGCATTTGTACTCCAGTCATGAATGTTTATATTTTAAGAAAAACACAAGCAATATAATATATTTTAATTGAATTTGGATTTGAATGGAATTTGAATTGAGTTTGAATTGAATTAAAACAATCGTCTTTAAATTTGTCTACAAGGTGACAGATAAACGCATTCTAGGAGCCTACGCTCGCGGTACACCCCGCCCCAGTGCTCAATCTGTGGGTGAATTCCTGTTCACTTCCGGCATTATTCCTTCAGACACCGACTTCCGGATATTCAGGGACTTCGGCAATATACAGGGTAAGTGCTATTTCCTTAAGGTGCTCATGCTTCGGGGACAGCTCCCTGACACAAGAACCTGACATTTTTCCTTTGATATTTATTTAATATCATACTTCTCAATCCAGACAATAAGTTTTATATGTGCCAACTGCCAAATCCAATTTCTAGCAAATTTGTTCCCATTTAAAGCACCCTATTTGTGAATGTGGCGTATGAAATTTGTCCTAAATTAAACTAGTTGACTATGCTCAAAACAATTTCGGAACTAAATATCATAAACTCCTTGATTTTGACTTATCAAAGATTCAGTTAATTTAAATGACCCCATTAATAATAAAATATTAATTATATTTCGAATTCTAAAATAAATCATTTCATTTAAGATAATATTATTAGTTTGAACAGGCTTTCTTCCCGTAATTGTTTGTAGGTAATATGTGATAATGTATTGATGAAAATGATTATTCTCTTTTCTTTTTTTTTTCTCTTTATTTGTGGCCACAAACATTTTAATATAATTATTTTGTGGTTACAGTGAAATTATAAGAGACGACCTACAGTGCCAGCAATTTAACTTATTAGTTACAGAAAAACATTATAGATCAAACAACATTATAATATAGATATGGAGATTTATTAAAACTAATATCCTTGTATTTTATTATTATTATTATTTGATTCGGCATAATTTATTTATATTCCTTAAATTTTATGTTAATGTTATGCATAACCTATAATTTAAGAGCACATGTACCATTTTTTCTCTGGAAATGTTATATGTTGTAATGATTCATATATTTTTAAACAAATAAATAAATAAAACTATCATTGTTTATTAATTTTCTAATCCTTCTACAATACAGGCGTAGACGTAGCTTTCACTAAAGGCGGTCATGTGTACCACACTCGTAACGACAGGCCGGAACTTATCAAAACAGGCGTCGTACAAAACGCTGGCAATATGTTGCTGGGTGTGCTGATAGCGGCTGCCGATATGGACCTCAATGAAGGGGTAAGATATTATTTATCATCTTGTGTAATTATATAAATACTAGCAAACCAGTGAACCAAATGTTCACCAAAACCTGATTTCTCGAAAACCGGAAGTGCTACGTTACTCAAATCCGGTTTGTAGTCTTATCAGACTATTCTTAACTTATAACTTACATATTCTCTTTATCTATCTCTTACGGTTTGGCCGCCGAAACAGCACCACGGACAGACGGACTTGTCTAATAGATAAGAGATTAAAATCTAATATATAAAATTCTCGTGTCGCGGTGTTTGTGGTTAGACTCCTCCGAAACGGCTCGACCGATTTTCGTGAAATTTTATATGCATATTCAGTAGGTTTGAGAATCGGACAACATCTATTTTTCATCCCCCTAAATGTTAAGGGTAATCCATCACTATTTTTTTTTCAATTTTAGATTAATTTTTTTATGATACATCATACAAAAATAAATATAACCCAAAATGTTCGCCCTTCTACCACCAACCCCTATTTTTTTATGGCGGTACGAACTTCGCTGGGACAGCTAGTAAAATTATATAATAAAATTGTGTATTCATTGTAGGGAACTCACAATCTCAAATGAATACCTTTACAAGTATTAAACATTAGAAAGAGGAGATAACATTATTTTAGTTATATTTTTATTTTTAAGAATACAATTACTAGATGTTTAAATAAAAATAAAAAACAAAAAAATACTTTTTTTATTTTTTAAGCAGTTACTGCTTGATGTTTAAATCTAAAGAAAATACAACTAGAAAAAACGGCCGTGTCGAATTTTTCTATAGCCTTAGGCTAAGGCTGAAATAATTAAAACTAATAATATTAATTATTAATTTTATTAATTAATTTATTTATTAATTTTGTTTGAAATGGGTTACCTACAATGCGAAAAGATAGCGCTGCCTTACAGCTTAAGAAAGGCTAGAAAGAATTCGACACGGCCGTCAGGGCCGCGGCAGCATAACGGTCAGTGCATTCAGCCGGATAGCGAAGGGTGCGGATTCGAGTCCCGTCTGCTGCCTGGTCTTCGTGGAGTTTTTACTAGTAAACTTTTGTTTAGTATATAATATGTTTGGTACAGGTGGATTCCACTCCCATGGTGTACAGCGACTACCTCAACATGTTCGTGATAACCTTATCATACCCCGCGGCGCTTGGCATCGATATCATGGTGGCGATCTTGGCGCTACTATCCGTCGTCTACTACGTATGGCTGGCTGGACCGCGTGAGTATAACCAAATATACACCATCTAAACTTAAAACAGGAAATTATGACAATTCTTTTGAATCAAATATCAAAATCACACTGAACACACAACTTGCCTTAATTTAATTGGCTTCCCGTACAAATTTGCACATTGCATCGTATAATAAATTGGAAATTCATTTCATTCATTGTCCGTTGGACAAGAAATCTGCAAAATTTGGCCACTAGGGGCGCTGTAATCGCTTGACCCAAAACTTCTATCAAATACATACCTATTAGCTTATATTCATTTTTAAGCTTTTTTAAACAAATTATAAATGCCGCGTTGTGCAGTTCTTGGTTGTTGTGAGAATACTGTATGCTTACCGGCTAAAATATATATATATATTTTTACAACACACACCAATTGGCCTAGCCCCAAAGTAAGCACTGTAAGGCATGTGTTATGGGATACTAGGGTAACGGATAGAATACATATATAAGTTTAATAGAAATACATATTTTATATGTTGCCTTAAAAGGGTGAGTAAAACTGAGCTGTTTACATCATGATATGTATTTGGGGCAGGTATGTAATTGCATCTGGATGTCTTCATTTTGATCAGAAAAAACTGCCCCAAAATTAAAATTGCGGTCATATGCCTCAACTGAAGTCTGTGAAAAACCCCAATGTTATATTTCCCATTTTAGCCGGTGGTAACCTAACTCTATGAGATGTCTGACTGATACAAAAATAAGATAGATTTGACTAATGAGCCGAGCCTGCTAAAAGTTACGGAGATCCATGAACTATTAAAATAATCATGGAAAATGCATCTATGTACCGAGAATGAGCATTCTAGCATAATAATAGAAAGATTACCTTTCTACTAGATTAGCTTTTCTGCCTTGCCTCTCCTTTTCAACTCTGTTTTCAGCTGTATTACAGACCATGTTGAATACATTTTTACCACATATTTAATATTTTTAACAAAATTAAATAAATTTAAAATTTGACAGCTGCATATTCAGCTGTGGTTAGGGTCAAGAGTTTGCAGCGCCATCTATGTCGAGCTTTGCGTATACTTCTCCATTTGCAGAGTTGGCCATATAATAGAAAATAATGAGGTTGAGTATAAAGGGAGTGATATTAAAAATGCAGGAGAGGCTGAGTATCAAGAAGAAGAGGTTAGTCTTAGTCTTAGTAGTACGGCGGGCTGTTTCCGCAACTCGACACCTAGTGCCTATTTTGCGTGGGGATTGGCATCAGTCCTGCCATCCCAGCTCCTCCAGAAAGCTCAGCAGTCCCCGAATGTTGCTGCAGGCCTCTACTATTGTCTTCGGGCTTCCCATTAGAGAAGTCCTTTGTCTTGCAACGCCCCTGCACTCCAGTAGGACATGGGCGCTCGTCTCGTCCGCCTCCAGGCAGGCTCTGCACAGAGAGCTGTCAGAAATACCTATATTACAAAGGTGTTTGTTAAAGTAGCCGTGACCCGTGAGTTTACCCACGATTTGTTTCAGGGCTTGTCTAGGTAGTCTGATTAACTTACGTGTTAGCTGCAGGTTTACCTTAGGAACGGCTTCCCTGGCTTGCCTGCAGTCCGTGAGTTTTGACCAGTAATCGTCGTGTTGTCGTTGAGAGCGCTCCCTTATCCAGGTTTGCAGCTGCCGATAGGGTATGGGTATAATTGGCTCCGGACCAATGGCCGTCCTGCTAGACCCCTCCCTGGCTAAGCAGTCCGCCGCATCATTACCCCTTGAGCCGCTGTGTCCTTTAATCCACTGTAGGGTCAATCTATTGTCGTTAGCAATATTAGTCAACTTACTGTGGCATTCGTAAATTAAAGAGAAGAAGAAGAAGAAAAGAGAAGAAGAGGTTAAGGAGGACATTAAATATGGAGCAATTAAAGTTTCGAATTCGGAAATATCTTTCAGTGTTAACAGAGTAATAAACAAATTTTTGAGGAGTAATCATCGAAATCGATCTCGGAAATATGCGCGAGCAACAATAAAACGAACTTTGATAGAAACAGTTTCTTTTTTTTTTGAGCCAAAAACGCAAAAAGCCATCGACTAACTAAGTATGGCAAGCTAGGAACAATTATTATTTGCTCCTAGCTGGAATGCATTCACCAGACTATTAATGTCCCCATTGCTGGGGCACAGGCCTTCCCTATGGATGGAATAGGGAGTTTGGGCCATGACCCACCACGCGGACCCAGTGCGGATTGGCGGGTGCTAACGACTGCAGATGCAGCCGGGACCAACGGCTTAACGTGCCTTCCGAAGCACGAAGGAGCTCGAGATAGTAAATTTTTGGTCACCCATCCAATGACCTTATTCTTTCTTATTTTTTATTTATATTTCTAAAATAACGGTATAAGAATCATCTTATTTTACTATAGAAAATTAAAGACTACCAATAATAACTTATTTAGTTATTACGACAGAAAGGTTGCAGGTTGTTTAGGACTGACATAAAAAAAATAATGAAAGAAATACGAAAATCTTTTTTGTACTACTACATGAACAATATTTAATGTACCGTATCCTTGGACTACGGAAATACACGTGATATATTACTACCCCCTCCCCCTCCCTCCTTGTGATATTTGGTGATTTTTTATGGATCCCCCCCCCCTTTCGAGCCTCACGTGATTATTAGACAGTCCCCTAGGAGAATTATTAATAGTATAGTGTTTTATTAGAGGAGGAGTTCGTTGGTGCCAGTGGTTAGCGCGTTCGGCTGCGGTCGTTGAAGTTGAGCAACTTTCGCAGTGGTCGGTCATTGGATGGGTGACCAAAAAATTACTATCTCTCACTCCTTCGTGCTTCGGAAGGCACGTTAAGCCGTTGGTCCCGGCTGCATCTGCAGTCGTTAGCACCCGCCAATCCGCACTGGGCTCGCGCGGTGGGCCATGACCCAATCTCCCTAACCCATCCATAGGGAAGGCCTGTGCCCCAGCAGTGAGGATAATAATAGGCTGATGATGATGATGATCCTTGGACTACGGAAACACACATGATATATTACTACGGGGGGGGGGGGGGGCTCCCTCCTTGTGATATTTGGTGATTTTTTATGGACCCCCCCCCTTTTGAGCCTCACGTGATTATTAGACAGTCCCTTATGAGAATTATTAATAGTATAGTGTATTATCAGTATAATGTTTTATTAAATTGAAAAGTTTATATTTTCTTCTCGCAGGTTGGTCCACCGTACAAGAACTGCTGATTGTATTACTAGGTAGATTGGCAGCACTGATTGCCGGTTTTACTGTAGTTTTGGTAACAACGCCACTCGCTGTAGCCACCACCATACAACTGAGGTAATTATACTAATAAATAAAAATCATTAAGAAAATAGTACTAGAAATAAATCCACGCGGACTAGGCAGCGGACGGGACTCGAACCCGCAACCTTCGCTGTCCGGGCGAATACACTGACCATTATGCTGCCGTGGACCTTATTATATATTTTGGGATGCTAGGGTAACGGATAGAATACATATACTGTACATATATAAGTATATTTATATAGAAATAAATATTTTACATCTATGACTGGAGTACAAATGCTCGTATTCATCACACAAACATCTGCCCCCACCGGGATTCAAACCCGGGACCTCTCGAGTCGGCGACCGGTGAAACCCGGCGTTAAAACCACTCGACCATGGAGGTCGTCAAATGCTGAAAAAATAAAAAATATGACAATAAAATTAATTTATTTCGAGCAAAATAATTCATAATCATTATTAAAGAAAGATGTACATGTCACAAAAATACAATTAATCTAGCGGCCCCCCCTACTTCGTCCACGTTAACTTGAGATAATTATATTGATTTGAAATGTGGTATGTCGTCACATTTTGGTACAATATTTACTTAATAGTGACGTCACAAGGCCCACTCCTAAACTTAGATGCACTTTACCTATACAATTATTCGGTTGATTAATGATAAAAAAACCTTATTTTTAGTTATAATGTAACTGATGGACTGGACAGAATTTCGTTTAGTTTACCCCGTCATTCTCCCTATAATGAAACGGTAGAGTTAGTGAGGTTGTATAGGAGGTAATCTCAGGATGTGCTGAACCGATTTTGAAAACACTTTTACAAATCAAAGCCACGTTATTTGTGAGTATATAAAGGGTATAAATGAACCCGAAACTTTTACCGCCTTATCACAAAACTTAGACTTAAACTTAAACCTGAACTAAACATTATGTTTAAACCAAGACTAACTATAGTCCACGTTTTGGAATAAGGTGGTTTATGAGTAACGAGGACGAAGTCGCGATCACCTGTACCTTTGAGGTGTCAGTTGGTCTGTCTGTTTCCTAATAAAATTCAACCTTATTCTTTCCACATTAAAGCACATATCTTCACATATGGCAGATTCTTAACGCAACCGTAGTTGGAAGTTAGTGACGTATTGGTTGCCTACCGTTAAGATGTCTATTTCCTATTCAAAATTCAATCTTATGCGTTAAACATTAAAACACATATCTTCAACAAATATTTAACGCAACAATGGCTCGTAGTAACAATGTACTGGTTGCTACCTTTAAGATGTCTGTTTCCAATTTAAAATTCAACCTTATGCGTTCAACATTAAAGCACATATCTTCAACAGATATTTAACGCAACAATGGCTCGTAGTAACAATGTACTGGTTGCTAACTTTAAGATGTCTTTTTCTTATTCAAAATTCAACCTTATGCGTTCAACATTAAAACACATATTTTACCAGATATTTAACGTAACCATGGCTAGTATAGTAACGATGTATTGGTTTCCTACCGTTAAGATGTCTATTTTCTATTCAAAATTCAACCTCATGCCTTCAACATTAAAGCACATATCTTCAACAGATATTTAACGCAACAATGGCTCGTAGTAACAATGTACTGATTGGATACCCTAAAAATGCTTACTTTCTTTCCAGAATTCAATCTTATGTGTTCAACATCAAAGCACATATCTTCACCATTTATTTAACGCAACCATGGCTAACAGTAGCGACCTTGTTGCCTACCTTTAAGATGTCTATTTCCTATTCAAGATTCAACCTTATGTGTTCAACATTAAAGCACATATCTTCACCAGATATTTAACGCAACCATGGCTAGTAGTAGCGATATACTGGTTGCCTACCTTTAAGATGTCTATTTCCTATTCAAAATTCAACCTTACGCTTTCAAAATTAAAGCACATATCTTCAATAGATATTTATCGCAACCATGGCTCGTAGTGACAATGTACTAGTTGCTAACCTTTAAGATGTCTTTTTCCTATTCGGAATTCAACCTTATTCGTTCAACATTAAAGCACATATCTTCACATATGACAAGTACTTAACGCAACCATGGCTCTTAGTAGCGATGTACTAGTTGCCAGCCTTTAAGATGTCTATTTCCTAATCAAAATTCAACCTTATCCCGTCAACATTAAAGCACATATCTTCACCAGATATTTAACGCAACTATGGCTAGTAGTAACGATGTACTGGTTGCCTTGCGGCCACTTCCTGAATATAAGTTTGTAAGGTCCCTGAAGCAATGGCTAATATGTAATGCATTTTTTAATCTAAATGAATATTTTAATAATAATGTTTTGGAAAAATGACTATTGTATGCCGGATTAGGGTAACTGTTTGTTTCAATTGTGTGCACTAACATCTAGCAGTATCACTAAATGTAACAGTTTCGTAATAAAGAATTATTCTATTGTATTCCTACCTTTTAGATGTCTGTTGCCTATTCAAAATTCAACCTTATTCGTTCAACATTAAAGCATATATCTTCACATATGACAGATACTTAACGCAACCATGGCTAGTAGTAGCGATGTACTGGTTGCCTTACTTCATCGCTACCGTTGCTGCCGCTCACTGCTTCGATGCCTGGCGACAGCAAAAGGTATGTAAACACGATAATTCATTACTATTTTTTGCTCATTAAACTAATAATCCATATTTCAGTGTTTTAAAGGTTAAATTTACGTCAGTCGCATGGCTACATCTTCGAAAATTTATCTTTGTCTTTATAGATACATGATTTAGATTTCTTGTTTATTCGAGAGTGGTTTCTATACAAATCAAATCAAAATAATTTTATTTGACACATGTGTTGATTCACGCATGATTCTGTGAATCTATACTTAAATTTGACAGCAGTGTATTGTCCTTGTCATTCTCTATACAAAATGAAAATGAGAGACTGTTACAGTTATTACTTGAATACTAAAGGACATGGCTAAGAAACTGCCCTTAACGTGTATAATTATTTTGCCCTAGCCCATAATTTTATTATATTTTTTTATTAATTATTACGTGTTTATAATTCTCATAAAACCTTTGTGAAATAACCAAATATTTAAAAGTATGAAAATTTACTTCATGTCTATTACAAAAGGAATATGTTCTGTTTTACTAAAATAAATGAACAATAAATGTATGCTAAAAATATTTCTGTCAGTATATCGAAATAAACAATATTAATTCAAAACTATGACATATTTGGCTCTTATTTTTATTATAACAAATCACTGAAGGCCTAAAATAATAGATTTTATTTTTCTGATCGGGCTTGAGAGAAGGCTGTATGATAATTAATGCTTTGATTTTTGCAAATGAACAAAACAAAACTTCACAGATTTCATGTCAGGCCGACAACAAAAAAATATTTGTATTTATTTTTACTTTTAAAAATGCTTTTTGTGAAGTGTTAATCAGATAAATATGCGAAATTGATGGCTCTGTAAACATTTAGCAACATCTTTTATCAAATGTAGCCAGGTAATGACGTCGTAGGAGATCTCATAATTTTCAAGATTGTGACTTTATCAAAAGTTCCTGAGCCCTTTTTCCTAGAAATTATAAATATTCAGCCATTCTGCATTATATATTACTAAGTACAATATTTATATATTGCTAGGGCAGTCGCTCATACAAAATTTTACCATGTCCCTTACTTTTAATTTTAATGCCAGAATCGACAATGTTTAGTATTTGACATACTAAATACTTTGTCTCATTTTTCCATCACCTCTCTCGCTCTCTTCCGTCTGCGTCTGTGAACCGCGTCAAGTGATCTCGCACATTATTATTGATTTAAATTAGATTAACTTTATATTAGCATACAAAATCATGTGTCTAGTTCCCTTCTGGCTTGTTTGTTACTCTATGATATGGATATATGTAGGCTGATTTGTATTTCTTGTTCTAGAGTGGGTTAAACCGTTCCATCCGCACTCTCCAAGCAATGGCGGCGACTCGTTTATTCCTAGCTTGTCTATTACTCGTAATGGCGGCTGTGCCGGCTATAACTCCGTTGAGATATGCTCTATCGGCGCCTTTACTTATCATGACTATGGCCGCTTTCACTTCTATATCGGTGGTCAGATATTTGAGGCTGCAAGGTCAGTGGAAACTCTATTTACCATCCAATACCTAAAGTAAGTAGAGGATTTCGATTGCGCAAGTGGTTATCTTTACGCTGTTTACCATCCAATACCTAAAGTAAGTAGAGAAGTTCAATGGCGCAAGTGGTTATCTTTACACTATTTACCATCCAATACCTTAAGCAGAGGAGTTTGATGGCGCAAGTGGTTATCGTTACACTATTTACCATCCAATACCTAAAGAGAGTAGAGAAGTTCGTTGGCGCAAGTGGTTATCTTTTTACTATTTACCATCCAATACCTAAAGTAGGTAGAGAAGTTCGATGGCGCAAGTGGTTATCTTTACGCTATTTACCATCCAATACCTTAAGTAGAGGAGTTTGATGGCGCAATTGGTTACAGTTATACTATTGACCATCCAATACCTAAAGTAAGTAAAGATTGTACCGCAATTATTGCAAAAATTTAAACTTCGTGTCCCTAGAAGGATTCCCCGTACCCCCATAACATAATTGTGTCCTCCTTTTCGTAAAACAGTACACAGTACAAACTCTCCTTCCTTCCAAACGTCCTTAACGGTTGCAGTGATATTATTGATATCTTTATATGTATTCACTTCCTAAGCTCAAAAGAATATTGTCCCAAACATGGCATCAAACTAACTGATTAAGCTTGATATTTAAATGAAAACTGTATTGTAATTTATAATTAAAAAGAACAACGTCTTAACTTAGGAAATAAATAATGATATTGTAATGAACTTAATCCCTATTTTTAGCGTCTACTTCAATGCATGCCTTAATAGTGTTAGACTAGAGTGCATTTAATCTTGTAAATAGTTTTAAGTATTGTGTAAACAAACACTGGTAAACCATATAATAAATAAATAAATAAAAAATTTAATAAAATTATAATTATTAAACGATTGTTTTTTTCAGGCTACCAACACTTAATTCTTGAAGTTCTGCTATCCGTCCCCTCAGTAATGTACATCTTCATGTTGGCCTTAAGACTGAACTCCATCATGCTGCCCATCATGGGGAGATCTTCAGCAAACTACCCAGATTATTTAGTGGCAGTCATTAATCTGGTGATGGCGATATTGGCGGGAATCACTGTGGTAATTACATTATGCTCGAAGGACCATTTTTTAAATCTCTGTAATTAACTTTTAAATTCGAAGGACCAATATGTATTTTTTATTTGTTAAACTGTAACTACAACCTGTTTAAATCAAATATAAATAAATGATTAACTTATATTGAATAATTGGGTATTTGACCAGTTGTAGAAAACGTTCTCACGTTATTGACTAATGTTTATGGAGTCCGTAAAATGTGGAAATTCATCATTCTGTTGTGTATTTCAGTAAAAATAACCAAATCAAAAACTCCATTTTAAAGTTGCTGCTAAAACATTTCTCTGGACAATATGGCGTCTTACTAGTGCGTGACGTCACGACTGTTATTAAAACGTCAAACGATACAATGTAATGACACTTAACCGGAAGTTTACTTGCGTGTGACGTCATTTTAGGCTCCGCCAATCCCTAGCGTTTTGGGTCACGTGACAATAGATAAGAAAACTATTATTAGTCCAGTCGGAATAAACATGAGACCTATTCTAAGACACCAGCGCTTAGCCAATTTTTTCCTAGGTAGTATAGACCCCCACGAATATGCCCTCCATTTGTCCCCGCTAGAACCCGTGTTTTGTAGCCAGGAAAATTGTTTAAACAAAGAAAAACCGGATTTTTTGAGTTTTTTTGCTTGTAAACGGGGATTTTGAAATTTTTTTTGAATCAAAGTTGTTCATTAGCTTGCCCTCTACAAAATCAGTTCTATGAAAAAATAACGTGAGATTGTTAGTTTAGCAGTAAATTGCAATTATGTCGGTTTTACGTTTGCAACAATTCAACATGTTATAATAAACATTTTGATTTCTAAAGTAGTTTATCATGTGGGTAACGCCACTCCCAAGAGAGTCATGTAAAATTTATCGACCTGTGTCGCAAACTTTAGCAACAATTCTCAATCTCCGAAAAAAAAGTACTTGCCTGTCCCGTCTTTCCCAGAAGGCGCACAGCGGGGGAAAAAATTCAGGTGATTCGATTCACCAAGAATTTTGAGGAATCGATCGAGTAGAAAAAAATCGTTAGTAAAAATGTTCGTTTTTGGACGATTTAAATTTTTTTTAAAAATTGACGTAGATTTTTTTTTTTAAACTAATGTATTTTTCTCCTCAACTCGAATATACGATTGAAAATTTAAAAAAATCAGTTTATTTATGTACAGAAATTATTTACAAAACTATTAACTATAATTCGATTACAAGACTGCGTTGTATTCTATATTTCTAATTAAATTAATTTCGTCCTTTTTTCTTCCGGTTCATAATCGGAATTCTCAGGGTATATTAGTATTATAATATATATTATATCGAGCCCTTACCGCCAAATTATCGTAAGCGACACTCGCCAAATTATCGTAAGCGACACTTTTGTCGAAATGCGTTTTTTGTGGAAACTAATATTTTAAACCGTAACGGACCCATCTCTGTTGATATTTCCCTCTATTCTTCCCTCTATTATATTATAACGGTGTTCTTTTGGAGGGAAATATCAACGGAGATGGGTCCGTTACGGTTTAAAATATTAGTTTCCACAAAAAACGCATTTCGACAAAAGTGTCGCTTACGATAATTTGGCGAGTGTCGCTTACGATAATTTGGCGGTAAGGGCTCGATATATATATATACTAGCTGTTACCCGCGGCTACGCTCGCGTGGTTTTCCTATTTGGGGCTATCATCCTCTTTTGACATAGTGAGTAAAAAAGTAGCTTATTTCTATTAAAATTACGGCGCCTTTCTGCTTGAAGCCGTACATTTAAATCTCTGCGCGCCTGTGCTTGTTCAGGTGTTTCGAATGACCTCAAAAAAGCTTGTCGTTCTGCTTGCTCATCAAGTCTTTGCTGAGTTTCAGCAGGTGTATCTGCAGCTCTTAAAGCAGTTCGACGCCCCGCTTGTTCAAGTAGTCTTTGTTGAGACTGAACATCCGATTCAGCGGCTCTCAAATGAGCCTGCCGCTCTGTCTGCTCCTAAAGTCTTCTCTGTGTCTGCGCCAGTGATTCTAAGGCCCTCAAATTCGCTTGACGTTCAGACTGTTCAAGACGCCTTTCCTGTGTCTGCGATTGAGATTCTGAGGCCCTCAAAGCAGTTTGGCGATCTGCCTGTTCTTGCCTTCTCAGTTCAATTTCTTCAAGAGATTCTTGCGACCTAGTTAATCTCTTTGCTCGTGCTTGAGAGGATACTCTATAAAGGCTAGATTTGCGTTTGCGCGTCATTATTACGGTGAAGGTATCTGATTTTCTCAAATCCAGTTAATGTTTACGAATCTTAGGAAATAGTTTGAATTTCGTTTCGTACATCTACTTAGTATGGGAAGTAATGAAGTTTCAAAATATAAATTTTCTTGATATTTAATGGTTTAATAAATGGGATAGGGTAAAGTTTTGCTGATAGATGGGATAAAAAAAAATTGCTTGGGTAATTTAAGTTATAGCTAGGGTTAGCTTTGTTTTTTTGTTTTTGCCGACTGATGTCGATGTAAAGTAAAGTAAAGTTAAGGTTAGGAGGGAGATGTACGAGGGATTTTGGTAAGGTTTTGCTCCCGTAAAGTCTTTGCAATAAAACTTTGCAAACAGTTAGGGTTCTTTTCCCGTAAAGTTTTTTTTGCAAGTTTTGCAAACTTATTGTGAGGGCTAGTCTGTAGTAAAGGCCACCTCCCAGTTGTATTTATGTCCTTAAGCAGGTAGGGATTTTAGATAGGACCGTCGAACCCTCTCGATGTAGTAGGTAGGAAAAAAAATTTTGTTCGGTCATCTGGTATGACAAAACAATTTTTTTTTTAGAGGTGCCGGAGGGATGTAACGTCCGAGACGTTATAACCTCCTTGTTTAGGTAAACTCTTTGCTTTTGCAATGCCTACGGTTGGCAGTTATATTAAAAAGTTAATGTCATGATTTTAAGATTTGAAATAAGGAATCGTCTGTCTTTTGATAGAAGGTTCCATTGATGATTAGATCTTCAGGCACCAAGAATTCCTCTCGTATTTAGATAAAATACTTTTATATTAGCCTGAATGATAAAACAAAATAAATAACTTATCTCTATCAGTATCTTTCAATTAACATCTACGCCCCCAGGTTCTATCCCTTCTGGGTAGAACTCTATAGTACCTACCTACAAAGGTATCTACCAAATAGGCAGCCCTTCTTTCAGAGCAACAAAACCAATCAAAAACTACAATACCATATTATTACAAAAACCAATACCTACCTATGCGTTGTCTATCTTACTGGTAAAAATAGAGGTAGGTAGATTTTAATATAATAATCGTAATTTATATCAGTGAGCCAATTTTATACATTCGAAGAAACTACCAAAATACCTACCTAATTCATTTAATGCATAACAAAACCAAATCACAAAGGAAAACAAAAACAGATATGTAGGTAGGTAGGTACCTTGGTAAATCGTATTTCTTTAAAATCAATCAAGGTAGGTAGGTACCTACTGCTTGCTGTTGCTTACCTGCTGAAATAGTAAGCACTTAACACCACCACGTTGATTCTTCTCTAATAGCACAGATAACAGAATACTATTAAAAACAATAAATATAAAAAAGTAATGTTCATGAATAGCGCCATCCGAAAAACCTCAGATTTGTAGTGCAAGTAAACTCGATTTTAATGACGGGTAGCGACATCTCTTAAGTTTCACACGCAACAGCTTGGTTTTCGAATTGTTATTCGTGTTGGTAGCGCCTACCTCTACTCAACATCCAGGATCAATCTTCACTTGAAAATTATTGGATAATATACGAATACTCGATTAAGGGACTAAAATAAATCATAACAGCTGTTTATTTAGTATCTGTCTACTGTAAACAGCTGATTATTGAATATCTATTTGATGTTTATAAGATTTTCTGGTAAAATATTAGGACACTGAAGGAAGTCGTTTTTTTTTTACTAATATTGTTTTAATTAAAATATCTACCTACATCACGTTAAAATTAACAATAAATATTAAAAAGTCATGTTCATAAATAGCGCGATCTGAAAAAACGCAATATCACAACTCACATTTTTAAGCAATTAAAAATACTCATTTTAAAGACGGGTGGTGCCATCTATTAAGTTACTCAGAAAATATTATTTCCAGAGAGACTACTCGGTTGAATTGGTATTCGAGATGGTAGAGCCATCTCTTATTATTATAAGCAACATCCATAATCTTTAATCACTCGAAAATGATATATTTTATATTATAAATTTAGAGTAGTATTTGCTTGATTTAATTTTAAAAATGAGATTAGAAAGAAATTGCGTAAAATTACCTCGATTTAATAAATGAAATACTAACACAAAATACTCGGTATTGAACACGAGTGGTGCCATCTCGTATTAAAATAGCAACTTCCACATTTCAAATTTAATCTGTCTTCGTGACAGTAGCGCCATCTCTATCGGGACCAACCATGAAAATGATTAATTTAGTTGAAAATTATGTAAATTCGAATACATAAATTAAAAAAAAGTAGCCTATAGCAGTCTCATAAGTTCAAGCTATACATATACCAAATTTCATCACAATCGGTTCAGCGGTTTAGGCGTGAAGAGAAGACAAACAAACAAACAAACAAATACACTTTCCCATTTATAATATTAGTATGGATTATATATATATATATATATATATTCAGAATAGTATATTCGAGTTGAGGAGAGAAAAATACATTAGTTTAAAAAAAAAATTATTCTACGTCAATTTTTAAAAAAAATTAAATCGTCCAAAAACGAACATTTTTATCAACGATTTTTTTCTACTCGATCGATTCCTCAAAATTCTTGGTGAATCGAATCACCTGAATTTTTTTTCCCGCTGTGCGCCTTCTGGGAAAGACGGGACAGGCAAGTACTTTTTTTTCGGAGGTTGAGAATTGTTGCTAAAGTTTGCGACACAGGTCGATAAATTTTATATGACTCTCTTGGGAGTGGCGTTACCCACATGATAAACTACTTTAGAAATCAAAATGTTTATTAAAACATGTTGAATTGTTGCAAACGTAAAACCGACATAATTGCAGTTTACTGCTAAACTAACAATCTCACGTTATTTTTTCATAGAACTGATTTTGTAGAGGGCAAGCTAATTGTTAAGTTGTTCACTTTGATTCAAAAAAATTTTCAAAATCCCCGTTTACAAGCAAAAAAACTCAAAAAAACCGGTTTTTCTTTGTTTAAACAATTTTCCTGGCTACAAAACACGGGTTCTAGCGGGGACAAATGGAGGGCATATTCGTGGGGGTCTATACTACCTAGGAAAAAAATTGGCTAAGCGCTGGTGTCTTAGAATAGAAGTCGGTCCAAATTATGGCTATTCCGACTGGACTATATCTTTTGCTAGGGTTTTTAGTAAAATTATGAATATTTTTTTGTAAAAATAGTAAAAACCCCTGCCAATATTCATTCTAAACACAGATGCTAACAATTGACACTTTATTTTTAATACTGTAAAATACCCTATTTCACGTGTATTTGTCATTTATATACTTGATTTATGATTAATTTAGTAGTAATTAAACATAAATGATTCTCTTATTTTACTATGCACTTTCAGGGCGTCCCATTGGTCACCTTATTAAACTATTTATAAACTGCCTGTATCGTTAATGTGACATGCAATAAATGATTTTGATTGAGTAGAATAGGGTTCACGAAGGGGTAAATTAAACGAAATTTTATTTATTCCGTCCGTTGAAATATTAGAATATAATGGACACGTATTTTTTCTTTTGTTAATCAACCAAAAAATGACTAAAAATAAAGCGCGTCAAAGTGTGGGAGTGGAAGCTCGTGACGTCACTATTATGTAAATTTATATTTTTGCCAATACGTGACGACATACGACATTTCAAATCAATATATCTCTGTATGGTTTGATTATGTGGATAAAGGAAAAATACAATTACTTTTTGATAATCTACCTGATACAAAAAGAAAAAAAAAACCAAAAAAAAATTTACTAGAAAAAAATCCACGCAGACCAGGGGGCCATTCGCCTAACGGAAATGCTTTGGAAAGCGCTAACGCTTACGATTTCATTTTGTTATTTATAGCCGCCTGAGGTTTTCAAATGCCTCGCGCTGTTTATTTTCTTTTGCATTGGTAATAACAATATTAAAAAAAATGAGCGTGAGGTATTTGAAAACCTACGGCGGTCAGAAATTACAAAATACTATCGAAAGCGTTAGCGTTTTCCAGAGCATTTCCGTTAGGTGATAGGCCCCCAGGCAGCAGATGGGAATGCGAAGAAATGGCGCTGTCTTGCAGCCTAAAAAAATCTAGAGAAAATTCGACACGGCCATCAGGGCCGCGGTAGTATAATGGTCAGTGCATTCGCCCGGATAGCTTAGGGTGCGGGTTCGAGTCCTGTCTGCTGCCTGGTCCGCGTGGATTTTTAGCTAGTAAAATTTTCTTTAAATTTAAACATCTAGCAGTTAAATGCTAAAAAATTAAAAAAAAAAACCATAGTTTTTGCTTTTACAATTTTATTTTCCTAATTTTGTTTTATCGTTCCATAGTCCGGGGTTGAACTCCTTTTCTCCCGTCGCCGCCTGTGGTTGCCGCTAGGATTGGTGGGCGCGACTTGCTTCATCCTCATGTTCATCCCTTTCAGTCCTTATCAGGATGAAGGCACCTCTGTACAGAGGCATCATTGGTTTGTGAGTATACTGTTATTATAAAGTAGGGAGTACTAATTATAGACTAAATTCTTTTTTCGTAAGGTCAGCAAAAGAGATTAATAAACTAGCCCCTTTCCGCCAACTTTACTTATTTTGAACTTAACCACACATATTTTTAAATACCTTGAACCTAGTTCTTGGTTTGCTAAAAACATTTAACGTATGAGAAAACGTGTAAATGGTGTTTAATTTCTTAATTAGTTATAATTGTAGCTAAAAATACATTATCTATTATGTCCCCACTACTGAAGAATCTGAATTGATTTTTATGAATTTCTGTATATAAACAAAGGAATCTTAGAGGTTACTTATTGTAACGAACACATAATTTAAAAGAAGAGCTCGATAGCGCAAGTGGTTAGTTTAGCAACTCTTGGAATGGTCGCTTATTGGATGGGTGACCAAAAACTCATTATCTCTTATTCCTCCATGCTTCGGAAGGCGCGTTGAGCCGTTGGTCCCGGCTGCATCTGCAGTCGTTAGCACCCGCCAATCCGCACTGGGCCCGCGTGGTGGGTCACGGCCCAATCTCCCTATTCCCTCCATAGGGAAGGCCTGTGCCCCATCATGGAGGACATTAATATTCTGATGATGATGATGATACTTTCATCACTGACTGCTGTTAGCGACTCGAGTCTATGTTAATAGAAGGAATGTTATATAATAGGGTATTTGACAAGTTTTAGATAACGATCTCACGGTATTTACTAATGTGTAAAACTAAATCAAAAACTCTATAAGTTGCAAAAGCGTATCTCTAGACAATATGGCGTCTCACTGGTGTGTGACGTCACACGACTGTCATTAAAACGTCAAATTATACAATCTAGTGTCACTTTAACCGGAACTTTACTTGCGTGTGACGTCATTTTAGGCTCCACCAATCCCAAGCGTATTAGGTCACGTGACAAAAGACAAGAAAACTATTACCTTTATCGTGGGTTTTTAGTAAAATTATGAGTATTTTTTCTATGAAAATAGTAAAAACTCCTGCCAATATTCATTCTAAATACAGATGCTAACAATAGGGGTGATGACGGGGTACAGTAAACGAAATTCTATTTAGTCCGTCAGTTAGATGATCAAAAAATAATGAACACGTATTTTTTCTTTGGGCAATCAACCAAAAAATGACAAAGTTATAGCGCGTCAAAGTTTGGGTGTGGGGGCTCGTGACTTCACTTTTGAGTGAATTTACACTTATAAGTGTACTCAAGCGTGACGTCATGCGACTTTTCAGATCAATATATCTCTGCAATGTTTATATTATGCTAAAAAAGAAAAAATACGTGTCCAATATTTTTTGATAATCTACCTGATAAACGAAGAAAAAAAAATTGTCATCATCCCTACTGGCACTTTATTTTTAATACTGTTACGTGTCGGGATGCGGTTCGAAATTATATGCCAGTTCACGCTTCACTGTTCTTTATTCACCACACAGTTCACACAATTAACACACAATGTTAATTACAAAACACTCACTAAACACTGTATTTCACTATACAAGTCTCTAAACAATCTCACTTGAACACTTTTGTTGCACTTAGATCGCGTTTGGATTCGCTCCGAAATCGCTGTTGAAACTCAACCGTCTCTGCGCGGCGCCAATCGCGCTTATATACGCCGATCGACGCATTCTAGAAAGTACCTGTTAAATTGAGAATTAGCTAGCACCCGCGAATACGAAATACCTACCTATACCTACGCAGGTGACGCGCATAACTTGTAAACGAGTGCAGATGTCGTTGCACTTCCTCCCTTACGCCGCACTGCATAAGGCTCATTTTAGAACGAGCCGCATCACTCGACCTCTATCGCGACCCGCGGTGATCTGGCAAATTCGATCTCTGGCACTTTCGCGGTTCCGTTTCGGTTCGCGTTTGTGACAATACTATCAAATACCCTACTTACATTTGTAATGGAAAGTGACTTCATGGGTTATCTCATATTGAACTCATTTTTCAAATTGACGACTCTGTATATAATACAGGGAGAGAAAAAACAGCCCTTGCTGAGTTTCTTGCCGGTTCTTCTCAGTACAAGGTCTCCCGCCGTAGATTTGCGAACCGATGGCGTAGCTTTTCGACATTCACAAGTGCTTGTAACAGCCTAGACTGAATAATAGGGATGTCGAAAGTTGAAAAAAATATCGATATATCGATACATCGATATTTTAAAAAATATCAATATCGGCTTCGATATATCGCGAAAAAAACATCGATATATCGATATATCGGACCAATTTTCCCAAAAATATCGTACAGTTGCTCACGAAATATGACACGCGGAATAATAATGGAACGAAAATTATCTCCCTAAAAATAGACCCTATTTTCCAATGATGACATAGACAATACTAAATACAGCACAGATCATAAATATGTTGAATATCATTAATCTGAGATCCAGTTACGATTTTTCCAGATACGAATTTAGTTAGATCGTGATATGCCGCTACTAATTAAAAAAATATCGTTTTTGATACGAATTTCGATATTGTTATTTTGTATCGATGTATTGATATATCGAATCAAAATATACCGGCAAAAAATATCAATATATCGAACAAAAAATATCGATATATCGATACATCGATATATTTTCAACAAGCCTACTGAATAAACGATATTGAATTTTGAATTGAATTTTCCTATTGGTTGATCTGTTGTCCAGCACTCGGAGATAGTATCGTTCGACCGCTCCCAGTCGGTAGTGGAGCGCACCGCGGGAGTGCTCATCACCAAGCACGACCCCTACACCATCTCCCGCGCTCAACGAGAACTCACCACAGCTGGCCTCGCACTCAACGTCAGGACGGACAACATCAATAGTTGCGCTTATAGAACTTACTGCGATCTACCGCTCTATAGGATGGCGTTTGGGAGAGTGCTGTGAGTACATTTGATTTATCTCTTATCTATTAGACGAGTCCGTCCGTCTGTGGTGCTGTTTCAGCGGCCAAACCGTAAGAGATAGATAAAGAGAATGTTCAAGTTATAAGTTAAGAATAGTCTGATGAGACTACAAACCGGATTTGAGTGACGTAACACTTCCGGTTTTCGAGAAATCACGAATTTCAAACGAAACCACACAAAATCTCCAAAGTTCTCGATTAATTAAATACATTTCTTTTTTTAAATCATTTGGTGAACTTTTGGTTCACTAGTTTGCTAGTTTGTTTTATAATACTAATAATATCATTTACTGGCAGGCAATCCATATGTTAGTATACAATATGACTTATAGCTAAGTGTTAGTAGTCTATAGTAAGTATTCACTCAAATAGAATGCCGCCGTAGAATGTCATGTACCTTAAAGACACTCAGCGCGTTTTGCCTAAACTTTAAAATTATCATGGCCGGTTTTAACGGATTAATACACGAACTTTATTTATTTATTGACGTTTCGCAACCTTTTAGTACAGTCAATCTGTCGAAAAAAATATCGTTTCAGTGAAAAAAAAAACCTAAAGGGTAAGTCTTGTTTCTTCTGTTGCCAAATGACGTCAGTAAGCCACCTTGGCGATGGGCATGTTCAACTCGTAGGCGTTTTTTGAAAAACTCAAAAAAACCCTGAAAAAAATTTTTGAAATTCATTTTTCTTGTTTTGTATGCATTTTAGAAACTTTTTTTTCGACCATAATTGTAGAGGACGGTGAATACTACAATTTAAGTCATTGTTGCAATCTCGTACAACAAAAAATGCGCATTGTAGGTGGCGCTAAAGTCTCAAAAAAGTATTTTTTCACTTTTTCATCCTGAAAATATCATTTTAATGGAAAACTTTAAATGGAAAAGTTGTTTCGTACATAATTACCAACAACTTTTGTCTAAACAATTTTTTTGTATTACTTACCGTTTTCAAGTTATAAATTGCGCAGGTATGAAAAATCCAATAGAGCGGTTTTGGGCAGTTCAAGTACACATTTGCAGTGCACATTTCAATGTACGTTTTACTATTTTTAAAGTTAAAGATATATGTATAAGAGGTAATTATGTACGAAACAACTTTGCTATTTAAAGTTTTCCATTAAAATGATATTTTCAGGATGAAAAAGTGAAAAAACACTTTTTTGAGACTTTAGCGCCACCTACAATGCGCATTTTTTGTTGTACGAGATTGCAACAATGACTTAAATTGTAGTACTCAACGTCCTCTACAATTATGGTCGAAAAAAAAAGTTTCTAAAATGCATACAAAACAAGAAAAATGCATTTCAAAAAATTTTTGAGGGTTTTTTTGAGTTTTTCAAAAAACGCCTACGAGTTGAACATGCCCATCGCCAAGGTGGCTTACTGACGTCATTTGGCAATAGAAAAAACAAGACTTACCCTTTAGGTTTTTTTTTTACCACTCAACCTACAGATTGACTGTACTATTTTCAGGTATGCATCGTCAGAATAATGATTTTCCATTTCCTTTGTCGAGTTACCTTCGAATATTGAGCGTTCAGATATTTCATCGAAAGACTATTATTGAGCGTTCGGATATTTCATCGAAAGACTTATTGAGCTCAATAAAAGTATTTCGAAGGTAGCTCGACAAAGTAAATAAAAAATCATTATTCTAACGATGCAGACCTGAAAAGGCTGCGAAACATCAATAAATAAATAAAGATCGTGCATTAACCCGTTAAAACTAGTAACCGTGCAAAACTTAATATCAACATTGGTGCATTATGAAATAATAAAAGAAAACTAAGGGACCGTTCATAAAATACGTCACGCTAAAATCAGCTTTTTCCGACCCCCTCCCCCCCTATTTTCACGCTGTGTCACACAAAAACGGAGACCCCCCCCCCCCCTCCCCAAGTATGATTAATTTCTATTGATAGTACACAAATTTTAAGAATTTAAATATTTATTTAGTTTTTATATTAAAATTTAAATATATAAATATGCGCTAATGTCGAAAAATAAACATGAGTAAATATATCAAGTTACAATTTATTGTATAATAAAACTATATACGTTTGAATGTCTATATGTTTACTAAATACGAAATAAATGATTTTCTATCTTGATGAAAATTGAGAAAGAAAAATAGTTGAAAGAAATACTAATTTAAAAATTTTTAATGAACGACGAACGTCACGTTGCCGTAGACCCCCCGTCCCCCCTTGTCACATCTTGTCACACTTAGCAAGACCCCTCCCCCCCCCCCTTGTATGCGAACGTATTTTATGAACGGCCCCCCCTAATATAAAATTATCTCAATTGAAATACATATGTGGGTATTATATATGAATAGGTACAATGTCAGTTGCGAAGTGTTTTATATATTTTACATTTTTATATAATGAACGTCACGATAATCTCCTCAGGAGCGAAGCGTTATTCATATATACTTCGCCCCCGGCGCCGCTCACGCCGGCTCCTCACGCTGCGGCCAACATCCAGTGTAACGGCGATATATGCAACTACAACTTCACATTCACAGGTATAATACTTTATATACTAGATAACATTATACTTTAAGTACTTACATCTCGTCATTTTTCAACTTGACGACTCTGGATATGCAATAATACAGGGAGAAATAAACAGCCTTTGCTGAGTATTTGCCGGTTCTTCTCAGTACAAGGTCTCCCGCCGTAGATTTACGAACCGATGGCGTAGCTTCTAGACATTCACAAGTGCTTGTAACAGCCTAGAGTGAATAAATGACTTTTGAATTTACACCAAAGTTCCTAAATATTTAGACATATTTACTTTATAGGTTTGATATTTTTGATAAGTAAGTAATTTTTACTTAGTAGGAGCATTTTACGGCCGCCCGGCCGGGCCTGATTAATTTGGAAAAGAGCTGAGTGAATTTTGTTAAAATTTAGCCCACATTTATCACCTGGATTTAGACAAAGGATTAATTTTTATCCCATAAAAATGCTAGGATCCCTCAAAAAAACTAAAGTTATAGTGAAACGAAGTCGCAGATGGCTGCTTTAATAATATTTATATTATATATGTCTCAGCTCAGCTCAGCCCCCTTTAGTCCTGGCGCCCAAGGCCCAAGCCTTATTAGCCTGTGGATAAATCCGGCCCTGACAGTGGGGACATTAACGGACTAATGATGATGAACGCTTAAAATGTTTGTAATAAAGTCACAAATTTTTTTTTATAAAATTTTAATTACTATACAACTCTTTGAATCGTCCATATTTTTTTCCCTACCACAATTTATTGACACTTAATTTCTGGATATTTCTAAGGATTTTATTGTAGAAGCATACACAAAGACCTTTAAATGAATTATTGATTTTATGGAGCCTTGTGATTGTTACAGGTAATTTATTTTTATTTCTAGTATTAAGCTAGTGCTTATCACTATTATAAGGAAATTATGTAATAGTTTTTCTAACATACATTAAATTTTCATAAATGTACTGAGAAGCAACAGTCATTATATTCGTCATTATCGATTATATACTAGATAACATTATATTATACTTTAAGTACTTGCATCTCTAAAGTCATTTTTCAATTTGAAGACTGTATATAAAAAAACAGCCCTTGCTGAGTTTTTTGCCGGTTTTTCTCAGTACAAGGCCTCCCGTTGCGCCCTAGGTTTAAGCCTTATAAGCCTGTGAGTAAATCAGGCCCTGGAAATAGGGACATTAACCTGTCAGCTGCGGGAAAGCCTCCGCCTTTGTTCGGTCAACATGCAGCTAAATATTTCATTTCAATTATAGATATGTCCTTCTTTTTTAGTAACTTCCTATAGAAATTGTTTCAGCCTTTTTATTTTTAACAGAAATCGTAGACACAATCGATTCTGCACCTAAGGAGGCATAAATGCGATTTGAATAAATTATACGCATACTTGTGCAAAGGTTAAAGGACTAATGATGATGAACGCTTAAAATGTTTGTAATATCATCATCATCATCATCATCAGCCTATTAATGTCCCCACTGCTGGGGCACAAGCCTTCCCTATTGATGGAATAGGGAGATTGGGCCATGACCCACCACGCGGGTCCAGTGCGGATTGGTGGGTGCTAACGACTGCAGATGCAGCCGGGACCAACGCCTTAACGTGCCTTCCGAAGCACGGAGGAGCTCGAGATAGTAAATTTTTGGTCACCCATCCAATGACCGACCACTGCGAAAGTTGCTTAACTTCAACGATCGCAGCCGAACGCGCTAGCCACCTGCGCCATCGAGCTCCTCATTATGTTTGTAATATAATATATTGTTATTGTTTAGTGTCTCCACACAACCTAATAACGTTCCAACCGCGTAACAACGTGTCTTTACTGAGTTGGTCGCTACAATCGTCGCCTTGGCCTGCGTATCGCCTGCAAGATAGGCCGGTGTACTCCATCATACATTCCGTGGCCACATACAATGAGGCCATACCACCGTTGAGGATATCGCTGGTGTTGCGGGTGAGTTTACTACATATATAAATATCGGTCGATCGGCGTCCTGTGTTTCTTGTTATTCAATTTTGTGTCATATTACCAATACAATAAGAGGTTACCCATAAAGCACATCACACAGATTTCGTTATTTTTACCCCTCCCCTGTCCTTTTCACGGTGGTCACATATGTGAGTCCCCCCCTCCCCCCTTCATAGAGTGACGTCAAATATTTTGCATCAAAAAATTATAAAATTAAAACCCATACAGTAGAGTAGATCTAAATATTTTGAGTTTTTGAAGTGAAACTGTTTTTCGGACGCGGTGTAAATGGAAAAATCCTATGGAAAAGATGAAACTGAAATGCGTCACGAGTGTCACAGACTTATATATATATATATATATATATATGTGTGTGTGTGGGATGCGTGCGCAGCTCTTCCCGACGAGCATGAAAGTTGGAGAGTAACTCGGCAAAGGCTGAAACGCTACCAACGTCACGAGCGTTACTCGCGACAATATATATATATGAGTGATGCGTGCGCTGCTCCATTCCCCTTTGCCTTATGCACCGCCTAATGTTAGCTTGTTTAAGGAAACAAGTTTCACTTCAGATGTTTCGTCCGTGCACTCATTTTTTTATAATAATTGAAACGTATTGGATTTTGAAATGTAACGTCACGAAACTTCGGACCCCTCCCCCCCTTAACGTACTTTATGGATGCCCCCTAAAGAGTAATTATTTATTAATGTGCCTCAATTTGTTACCGCAGGCCCCAGTCTCCATACAGTCTGGCCCACTTCTAGACGTGTCTCTACATTCTCATCTGATCCATCATCCAGAAGCATTTACGACAGAATACACGAATTTACTAGCGTCAGCACCGAAGTACTTCAACATAGCTAGCTTTATTAGTTTCAGGCACAACTATGTATTTTAACGGAAGTGAGATGTAGGCAGAATTTAGCTTTAATTCCCGCACTCAATCACTTAAATTAATAAAGTTAACTAAACTAATTAAAAAATTAAGTTAGCTAATTAGTTAAGTTACTATGTTCTTTCGATAGCAATAATATAAGACAAAATCTTGTCTAGTCTTTGATTGAATACACGCCTAGATATCGCTAGCAGAACCGCACTGAAGCGGCCCAAAAAATATCTACTAAATATGGTAGATACGCACGCACACATTGATTGAATGCTTTAAAACATTCTAACATTAGAGCCGCGCACACATTGCGCGTAACATGAGCCGTTTTCTTTGGATTACTCTATTTGAGCGTTTATATAATCAAAGACAAATTTCTTGAGTTCAGTTTGAGAAGTAAAGTCAGACCACGATAAGTCAGCAGTGGGTTGGCAGTAGAAAAAATTAAAACTGCACATTGTAGTACTGATATTAGTTAAATTTATTTTATTTAAAACTTTATTATTAACCGTCTTAAGAAGGAGAAGGTTCTTAATTATTAAAATATTGTTGATTGCACATTTATGGGCCGACTCAAATAGTAAAAACGGAGCCCTAACAAACTAGTATCAAGAACTTAGTCCAAACTTACTCGTTGAGGTTAGGATTTCTGCAAAACATTGCTCTTTTTTTCCCAAAAACCGACTTTATTTGTCCGAATCCAATTTTCTCTCTTCTATTTACCCCACAAACAAAAAAAATCAAAAAATGTTCTTCAAATTAAAAGATTCTTGGATGACATTTTTAATGACGTCATAAAAGGACTGCCAGATAGTTTTCTTGGTGTGACCAGATTATTGACGCTGCAGAGTTATCGTGGTTCGACTTTATTAAAATTTACTGCCATCTTTTTCTTCCTTTCATAACTTTTCAGTTACTTTCGAACTAATACTGTCAATGGTGTCGATTCTGGCATAATTCTCTATGAAAACGAGAGACGGGTGTTTACAATATCCCGGAATCGACATCAATACCTCGTAGCTGTAGCCTTTACCAGCTGATGTTTTGAGTGCGGGACGGTCGTAATTATAATTAGACGTATGGCGGACCCGACGAAATTTAATTACTTTTTTATCTGTTGTTGAGCCTCCCTTTAATGCGGCCCTGATTACGTCAATTTACAAGTCAAATAAGAGACTTATTTTATAGTATGTTGTAAGATTTAAAAGAATTTTATACGGACCTACAGAGTGACAGAGATAAAGCCTATTATTTTTCCTGTGTGTCAAAAGTAGTCGTTGAACATCTTATAATGTTTTTATAAATGTTAAATCAGTATTATTAACAAATTTTACTTCTGACTTTTCTAGTCTAAAAAAATCCTTTTCTTTCTGAAAATATATTTTTATTTCGGGTTTCATTGCCAGTCACACTTTCTTAAGAATTCGATCAAATCCTCTATTGCTCAATGTGTGCATATCCTTTAACTTATTTGAAAGATTGTACTTAATTATTACCGAATAATTTTGCTAACCGATTTGTTGCAATTAATCTTAGTCAAACATTAATTTGTGGTTGTGGATAAAGAGGTTACAGATTATTATTTTATGAAACTATCCAAAGATTTTTTATTAGTGACAAGTAAAAAAACTTTAGATAAAAAATCGAGCAAGTCAAATAAGACACACTTAAGACTAAAAATATAAGTAACATGAACAAGTAGTTATAGTGTATTCTTGTTATTTATTTTGTACTTAAAAATTGTTATGTGAAAGAGGCCTTATTTTTTTCATATATTTTTTTACGTGTAAATGTTACCTTTTACCTTATAAACATGCATATATATTTGATAATGTGAATAGGTTTAAGGAACGTGGACCAGTGGAATAAAAGACTTTATCGATAAAAAAAATGTTTTTATTTATTTCTCAGTCTTTCAAAAGTTGGCATACAAAAAATATTTTTTTGGCATGGCAACATTATTAACGATAATCACAGGTAAAATAATATGAACTAATTGTTGTTATTCTGTTCTTTGAACAATTTACTTACACTACAATCATTGGGTTACACAATAAATAATATGGGTTTTCTAATTTAAGTAAAATTAAAACACATAATCCTGAAATTTAATTTATTTGAGATCTGCGAGTACATAGATTCGATGACTGCGTAACAAAAATAATAAATTTCACATCTTGTTGGTATGACAATACATCCTTTAATTTTTGTAGCTTTATAGAAGTTTGAATTAATGATAAATCAATCCCTAATTGGCAATGTTTCCTTAATAGGAAACGAGACTTTTTCTGCTGAATTTTTTTAGAAATAAATGACCTAAAGTTGATCCACTCAGCTTAGTTTGCACAACGCAACATTGCAACAAGTCTACGTTGCATTTCACAGACATTGTTCAGATAAGTGACAGAAAATGTGCTCTTGCGTCGACAAGATACGTTGAGTGATTCAAAACTTTTCATAAATGCTGTTAAGTCAATTGCTTGTTTCTTTTCAAAACGATAACAATACATGTACAGGGAATTTTTAGGAATTCCCGTTTAAGTATAAATATTGTTAGTGTTACGTTTGTTTAAATAGATATCAAAAAATATCATAGAAAATTAATACAACTTTTTTGGATCAAACAAAGTTAGGTGCAGTGGTTAAGACAGAAGTGCGTATGCAACATGTAGACGATTAAAGAAACATCTTATATTCTGTTCACGGAACAAGAACAAGAGAATAATTGAATAAAACACATTTTAAACAGACTTGAAACTCGATTTAGTGTTTTTATCGAGTTTCATATCTGTTAATATATGTTTTATTAAAAGCTTCTGTAGCCTCATTTAAATTAACATTATGTTTAATTCTAATCTAGTGCATAACCACATATTTAGAAACGCGACTACTTGACTAAAAAAAATGCAAAAAAAGAGTTAAAAAAAAACAACAACAGAAATCAAATGCAACGTTTCGATATACATATGTTTTTATTTATCAATAAATTTTCTTCGCATCTATGTTGTCCTACTTCGAATAGAAGTATTCAAACATTAAGCACTTAACACTAGTAATAATAAAGACCAAATTACAATAAAGATAATAAGAAGAGTTACAAATCAACATTCCTCAGCACGCGGTGCCGCATAGAAAAACAAAACCGAAACAATTTTTGTATAATGGCAACACAAACCTAAAAATGATGAAATCACTGACACTTATATTTTGTTAAAATAAAATAGCCACTGGTTTATGTGAATTACTCATTCATGATTCTACTGAACTTAATTAACTTATAGGAACATAATTAGAGATGCTATCCAACAGTTTTATATGACAGTTTATTATAAAGTTATTCGTAATTCAACAAGAGTTGAGCACCGCGCATGATCAAGGTAGGTATTATGACTGATATAAAAAAAAAACATTTATTTGAGAAATCACAATAAAATCTACGTTATATAGTGAAAAACAAGGAGTATATGAACAAAGTTTGCCAAAAAAATATACTTATTTTAATAAAAACTGTAACTCGTAAGAAAGATGTAGTTTCTTTAAACTATACTGATAGTTAAAAAAAGGTGACACCTGGTTGTCAAAATTAAAGTGAGCAACAATATTACAGACCCAAACATTTATAGTCTTGTGAACAATTTTTATGACATCATATATAGGTATTTGTTTTAATAATAAAGACTTATACATCACTTTTAACAAACAGTTTTAATATGTTATCTGTAAAACTACGTGAACAAGTGCAATTCACCTCATTTGACAAAAGTGCATTAAGCTTTAAGCACTAAAATTACGTTTGAAATTTCACCTTACACTAACTAAAACAAAAATAAAAGTGTATTTTTAGGATATATTTATATGTTTTCCATCATAATAAACAGCTCTGATATTTCTAAAGGTAATTTAAATTCCTGTACTAATACATAATTTAATCGTGTTGTAATTTTAGGATTAGAAAAAATACAATGACGATTAAACCTTAGCTACTTATAAAAAATCGTTTTAAACTATATCAAAGATCATAGACAAATTATTTGAAAACTGTACGCTGTCTATTTCCAAACACTAACAGTGACAAAATATTATGTACTCTAATAATCTTTACATTATAAATGCTTCCAGAGCATCTCTAAACGTTGGGTCAATCAACACTTAAATAATTATTTTATCTTCATAGAAAATATTGAATTAAAATTTCAGTTAATCTTAGGGCGTGACCAATCATAGCACGGCAGAGTATCATCATCCAATGATGACGCGGATGCTATTTAAAAGCGGTGTTCTGATTGGACGAATTATGAGCTTTTGCTGCGTTGTATTTGGGCACACCTTAATCGATCATAAATTGTTCTTTTCCTAGTACAAACGAGAGAAATAGAAGTTACAATTTACTAACAGTACCTTTATTGTATTGCCTTGAAGGCTTAGCCATAGTTCAAGCATCTAATGAAATTATATCGGCCATGCATCGGCAAATGGTTTTATATTACAGATACAAAAAAAGACAAACTATTATTATGCAATAAACACGAAGTTTTTTGTTGAAATTACTTTTACTGCTAACAATAAAACATTTTTACAGCAATGTTAATTTTATTTAATACACATTTGCATAATAAAGTACATTTAAATGTGTTAAATGCGTTAATACATTGACATAAAATTTATCCATGTACACAATTTTATATAACGATTACGACAAATCAAAAGTTGCGAGTTGCGTAAAGAATAAATCATTTACAATCGATCATGTACTCTATGGTAATTATAAATAACGCTTTTAGTGCACTGAACTAAGTCATATCAGTATTAGTACTACAATTTAAGGTCGAGATAAGATTAAAATTTAAAATTAACAAGAGCGAATTAAGATTTAAAATGGCGGGTACTTTTGACAAGTGGTCGATGAGAACTAATCGCGCAACTTTACAAAGATCTTTTAATTCAAGTTTTATCTTACTTTTGTAGTACTATTATTAGAATATTGTATTCTATAGCAAATTATAGTAAAATCTACATCCGTAACAGTTATATTGCTCCATGTAACGTGTAATCTTATCACCTACACGAAAAGGGTGAATTTTCTTTGACACACAAAAAGTTTCACAAACTGTGCTTTATCGTAAAGACAATAGGGTAAATTTTTGAATAACATCTTAAGTTTCACTAACTGTGCTTTATAGCAAAGACAATAGGGTAGATTTTTGAATAACATCTCCCTAATGCAACGTGACGACGAGTCTGCTGGCGGCCACCATTTTGTTGTTAAACTTTTTCTTGAAACTCTCGGCTGCATCGGAAGATTTGAAAGTGATCTTCGCGCTGCGCTCTTCCTTGTCCAAACTTAAACTCTGGAAAATCAACCCGGGCGTTTTTGTGACAATCTCTTCGGTAACTAACTTACACAATGAACAACTTAATCTTCAGAACTATAATACGATAAAAATACATAGATATACCACAGGTAATGAGTCGTAAGGTAGATATATATGTTACGTCGCATACAATTCACGCCTTTTTTACCAGTACCCTTAGTACGAGTCTATTTACGAAAACTATGATAGTTTTCGTAAACTCGCACTTGTACTAATGGTACTGATTTTATTGTTTTCGTTTCAATACAAATAAACAATGTTTAAATTGTATATTTAAATCATTTGCGTCTTCTTAAATTTTATGTATATTTGGTTACTTTTCACGAAAATAGACATAGAAACATAATTTACAATAACGAAAACTATGATAGTTTTCGTGAGCTCAAACTCGTACTAAGGGTACAGACGTACGTACGAAAATGCAACAAAATGATAATTATACTTTTCAATGCGACAATTTTGCATTGTTCAAGTTATTGATACTTAATTATGTAGTGTTGTTGAGTACACAGTATGAATAGTATAAAATATGGATCACAGTAAACTTATTCATTATAGAAGAGAACAAAATTGTATTCGTGTACGTACATAATTTCACGTTTCGCATCAGATAGGTGTAGCATCGATTTATAAACATACATTAATAAAGAACATTGGGGCATTACAAACACCCAATGAGGTTTGTCAATTTCTGAATTCATATAATTTATTGTATCTGTTTAAATTGACTGCAAAGTTTTTTTAAGGCGTATTTAACAAAAGCCTAAATTTGCATTAACACATCAGCAACCGACTGAGAATATTATAGGTGTTCAGTCTTATATTATGACACAATGAAATGTTTTGCATAACATTTGTTTCAACATTTGCATAACAAAAATGTGGAAATACATGGATGAAAAGGTGTTTTTAAAGAGTGTGTATAATAACCAATTTGTGTTGTTGAATTATGACAACTCTTAATGTCAAAAAAAAAAGGTTTTGAACGAATGTTACTTTGGACATATAACAATTAAATTCAAACTTTATCTTGCATTCACTGTTTTCAGATGCCTTTTACCACCCGGATGTAAAATACAGAGATAAAATAGCAAATAATTATTACCAATTAAACTCGGTGTTATAATATAAAAAAAACCCCTAAAAATATTATTTGTTCAAATATTTTCGACGTCTCATTTAGTACTCTTACAATTAAGGTATTTAGACATAATGTAACTTTTACCAATTGTTAAATTGTACCAATATCTAAAAATAGGGTTAGAGTAACGTTTACGTAAGCCAAGATATCATACAATGTTTTATTTCAGAAAAAAAATTATAAATGGAATTATTTACTAATTATACACGAACGCAATACGTGATACAGCGACACACATATAAAACATACAATCCTTATATGATTATTGTCTTTAAAACTTATTTGTAAACAGACTAGGGATTGCATCACATGAAACAGTCGTTTCATTAAATTTATGGAGCGATGTGATAATAAATCTCATTAGATCATACAAAATACGTAACATAATACCTGTAAAAGAGGTTGCTATCACACCAATTTTGACGACAATTTCTCCAGCTTATATCATAATAATAGGAGAAGACTCTTCAACATGCAGAGTTTCGAGTGCAAAGCAATTTATGCCTTAAGACGCAGTTTTTTGACATCATTCTGAGGCCGAACCACGAAATTGACAGCTGCGTAATGGTATCACATCGTCAGAGTCTATGAAAACTAAGCAGCCATCGGACGTAAGCTCGAACTGGCTACTTCCATACAAAATTTGACGATGACGAAAAGATGACGGAGCTGTCAAAATTCGTACTCGGGCCTCTGATAATGCTAATACCATGGTACAAAGTCTCAATGAATCATTTGTAAACTTAACATTTAATAACATACTATACCCAAAAAAAGGTTTAATGGAACAATCGCCTATGTACAATAAACATCATTATATATGATAAAACACGTCAAAAACTTTATACGTTCACGAAATTACAGTAAAAAAAATATACAACAGCATTTGAATTTGTGTGTAGATTTTAACACTAAAATATACGATTGAAATGTCAAGCTAAACAAATAATATAAATATAAATACATATAGTATCACATATTATATCACAGAAAGTTCCTCGATAATAGGCTATACAGTACTTAAGAACTACATGATGTATTCAATAGTGAGTGAGATGGGATTCTCTTAAAGCAGTTTGCATCTTTATTACTACTTAAAAAAATAATGCACAAGCCCTAAGTTACAAATCTCTCATTATAAGACGAAGAAATAATTTATGAATGCTGCAGTTTAGCCATCTGTGCAAAGATTTGTTGGTGAACTTTGACAAATATAAATACAAAACTGGCAACATTTTCAGAATAAAATGAATTGTCTAGTTTCACAATTTATCAATGTTGAGTTTTGGTAAGGATAAGCTCAGCTCTTTAGCTTTTTTGAAGTTATACTTCTTTAGCCGCGTTATGAAAAAATTACGAGAGTGAAATTTTAAGATGCGCGCGCATCACTGTAACACAAAAGTAACATAATGAATCTAAAGAAAATATAACTAGAAAAAATTCCACGCGGACCAGGCAGCAGACGGGACTCGAACCCGCACCCTTCGCAATCCGGGCGAATGCACTGACCAATTATGCTACCGCGGCCCTCACGGACCGCGTCGAAATTCTTTCTAGCTATTCTTAAGCTGCAAGGCAGCGCCATCTCTTCGCATTATAGGTAAACCCACAATGTCAAATGAATACTTTTACAAGTATTAAACATTTGAAAGAAGAAATAGCAATTATAGTTATAATTTTTATTATTTTTAAAGCATGTAACTGCTTGATGTTTAAATCTAAAGAAAATATAACTAGGAAAAATTCTGCCTGGTCCGCGTGGAATTTTTTCTAGTTATATTTTCTTTAGATTTAAACATCAAGCAGTTACATGCTTTAAAAATAATAAAAATTGTAACATAATGAAGTTAGCCGCGGGCGAGTTATGAAAAAATTATGAGAGTGAAATTTTAAGATGCCCGCGCAAAACTATGAAGTCGGCCGCTAAACCGCACATTACTCGTAAGTCTCGAAAAAAAGCTTCCAACAAAATAGTAATAGGATCTCTTAGTCGCACATGTTGGGACGCTCGTCGCCTCTGATCACTGTTTTCATATTTATAATATTTTTCCACATGTTTCTAGTTTCTATATTCTTAACACGTGTTATAATGTTATACAAATGCGAAATTTATATGTGCTAATAAATTTTATTCAGTAGTGATTTAAATTGAATATTTTGATTATTTATTAAATTTTTCAAATTAAAACTGAACTTTATTGACTGCGTTGACTATTCTTTTCCAATCCTTTTATTATCTTATTGTAATTAATTATCTGCATGCAATTAAAAACTATTTTTTAATAATTCCAAAAAGAAGTATAACTTCTCACGCGCGTACTTAAGTACACGCACCCATATTTTTTTTTTAATAGATATGTCCGACAAATAACTCCACCCCACCTGATGCTAAGTAAAGGTCCAGACGGGAAGATAGCTGGTACAGCAGTTCTACCTGCCACACCAGCCATCCTCACCCTGCCGGCCTGCATGTTGCTTCTTCACGTCTCTTTTAAAGGATCCCAGGATGTAAGAGGGAGGGAACACGTGAGCGGGCAGAGCATTCCATTTACGGATAGTGCGACAAAGAAACGAGTCACCAAATATCTTTGTACGCGTTGCAATTGTGGCCACAGTTAGACGGTGACAACGTAGGCCAGCGCGCGTGGTCCTCTGAAGGAAAGGGGAAGGTGGAATAAGAGAGAATAACTCCTCAGAACACTCGCCGTGGTACAAACGATAGATCGCGCTTAGTGACGCCACGTCACGGCGGAATTGAAAAGGCTCGAGGTGTTTAGTCACCTCCTCATCGCCTATGATGCGGATCGCGCGCCGCTGTAACCTATCCAAAGCATCGAGCAAGTACTTGGCGGAGCCATCCCAGAGGTGCGAGCTTATATGAAAGTACGGCTATTTTCTCGAGGTTCAAGACAGACTTAATAGACAAATTGCTACTACATAGGTACAAAAAGTGTAGGATTACTATTTCTTACGTGAAATCAATTCATCGTGAATACACTACTAATAAATAGGAGTTATCTGTACTAAATATTATTATTTTCTAAATTGGATATGACCAGAATGAATCTCAGAATCGAGCTCTGATCCTCAGAGAAAATTGGCGCATTACATAACTTGTCAAAAGACAAATAATCTGGATTTTAAAATGAACCTTAAGTTTAATAGGTAGCAAATTAGCTTAATTTTGCTAGAAGTCGTTTGGCCCTTACAATAATGTCAAATTGTCAATTTGACATTTTTATATTGGTTGAATTTAGTTTGGGTTGGATCTAAAAATTTACATTATTGCAGAAACGAAGCCATTTTATTGGCTAATAATAATAATTTAACAGGTAAACCATTATTTTATATCTATTATTAAATTATTTCAAGATAATAAAAATTTCAATTATATCCGCTCTTATTTATATATCACAGATTAAATAAACACTTCGTCACTATTGAATACACCACAGATATAATTTTGCTCAGTGCAAGTTTGGCTGTACACCAAAATCGATGTTGTTTTGTTAACACGACAATATTGTGAGATTTGTTTATCATTCCTGCTTGTAAACACTACGATAACTTTGCAAATAAGATTATTCCTGACCAAAATAAGAGTGATTTTCAACTTTAAAACTATGACAGTTATCATTTTATTCAATTATTGACAATCATCTGTGTCTGAATAGATTTCCGAAATGGTAGCGTAGCTTTTTGGTTATCATAAGCGCTCGTAACACCCTAAATTTAAAATCCTCTATGCAAATTACTCTCAAATTAAATTTCATCAATTATTACAGTACATTTTTTATTATTATTTATTTGTTTATAATCAGACAACGTAGGCCCATAGATTAAGACCTTATAAGTATTAAGTTTTAGGAAAAGATTACTAATATACCTACAACGGAATGTGTGCAATGTTTTTATTTTACTCAATGTTTGTATTAATATTCTTAATGTAAAAGTAATTCTGTCGGTATGATTTTCTTTCATGTTCGTCTGTTACGTTTAAATGCCTAAATAGCTGAACTGATTTTGATGATGAATCTATGTATGGAGATAAATAGAATGTCCGAGAAGGATACAACATATTTTCAATACTATTGGGACATTATCGCAGGCTAAATTGAACAATGTGTAGTGGCTTCATTAGCATCAAACTTGCACTAAGCAAATTGAAGTTATATACAGAGAAAACTTAGGATACAAAGTAAATGAGGCTGGGTTCACACAGCAATTTCTACACCGTACTGAGTAATTTTTAATAATATCAATTATTATTTTAGCTATAAAGTTTTATAAATCAACTAGCGTCCCGCCCTCGCTTCGTTTCGGTGTAGAGCTGAAGTGTAGACTACAGTTTTTGTTCTCAGCCTTGTATTACACACAATGACATTCATCTATGATTGTTCTTATAGCTGCATGCAAAGTCTCAGCCCGATCGGTTTAAAATTGACAAAGTTTCATACAAACTTTCATTCCCTATTTTATCCCCTTGGGGGTAGAATTGATCAAAATCCTTTCTTAGCGGATGCCTACGTCATAACATCTACCTGCATGCCAAATTTTAGTCCGATCCGTACAGTGGTTTGGGCTGTGCGTTGATAGATCACTATGTCAGTCAGTCACCTTTGAGTTTTATATATATAGATGTCAAACTCTTGATACTCCAATTGATTAATATAGATAATTGGTCAGTCATCCGCCCGGGTAGCGGACGGTGGGGGTTCGAGTGCCGTCTGCTTTCTGGACCACGTCGAATTTTTTTCTAGATTTTAACATCTTATGATTGGTCCATTAAAAATAAAATCTCTATAATAGCAAGGTCGGTTGTCCGGAAGAAATCGCCTTTACCGATAAGACTGTCAATTATATTTAATTATATTAGTTCATTAATGTTATGCAATTATGTATTTGGTGTTGTAATAAAGTATTAATCATCTATCTACCTAATACTACATTTAGTATATAGAACATAGTCATTTGACATAGGTTTTGACGTCGTATATACTTTTCAGAATTTGCGCTCATCTATCGTCTATCTATATATATATAAAAATGAAACCCGTTTTCCGTTGTCACGACATAACATGAAAACGGCTTGACCGATTTGGCTGTTTTTTTTTTTGTAGTTTTCTAATACTCTGTACAAGGTTCTTACGGAAAAAAAATAAAGAAAATCTCTCAGAAAGATTGAAAAATATAACGTAACGAATGTCAACGTCATTCAATTTAAAACAAAAAATCTGTGGTAATCTGTGACACCACATCGATAACCGCGCTTATAAAATGACGGTTCAAATTGAATAGGTACTCATACATAAGATAGGTCAGCTATACAAAATAAAGTAGTGCATCAAAGCTACGCTAAGGCGGTACGAAGTTCGCCGGGTCAGCTAGTTTTAAATAAAAGTGCTGCCACTGCCATAGACTTCAGGTTTTCTTATATTATTCCACTATGCGCACAGCGAGAGTTCTTTCTAGATATAAGATGATCTCTTCTCTATTATAATAAAAGGTGGTCTAAGTGTGTGTGTGGCTTTAAAAAAAACGATTATAATTTCTCAACTGAAACGTACAAATTCGGAGGTAGATTTCCAATGTGATAATTCCAAGAGCAGTTGAGCAATGACATGGATTTATTAACTAAAACCATTTTCGCATGATAGATTTCGTAATAAACATTTGAGTTGACCTAAAACTAAAAGTCTTAAATTTTTGTATGCTTTATTTGACTTTTTTTAAAGCTTTATTTTATATAAAAAACTCAAATTTCATCGCCATCACAGACTTTTAGCAAGTTTAATATTGTGCTAAATATTTGTATTTGTTTATATAAGTATTTGAAAAAATAATGTTTTGAAAATTTTAAGCTCAAATTCTTACAAATATAACTTTAAGACAGTGCAATGCTGTGTGAACCCAGCTTAATCATATATCGGGTGACTATTGATTCGCAGATTTTTTTTATACCAAATTCAATTCTAGATTTTTTTTTTTTATAATTTTAAAAAACCTCATAGTATCAAAGTAGCAGAAAGCACATTTTAACTTCAACGAAATTCTTTTCCTAGGAAAATTATTCCCAAAGAAAACAATCTAACCAAAAATTAAACATAACACCCAAAATCAACCAAAAAAATGCGAACCAATAGCGTTATCCCCTTGCCCCCCCCCCCTTAAAATACACTAATTACCTGCGCGTTTGGTCCCGCCAAGGCTTGCAGTCTGGCCGTAGTAATGGCTGGAGGCAAATGCGTTACCATGGCAACGGTGCCTCGTTCCCTCTGTCTCTCACTCTCCCCGTCGGAGGCGGAGTCCTCCTCCGCGTATTCCACTTGCGGCTCTTCCTTTTTGACGACTATTCTAGTATTCTCCGCGCCTATGGCGGTCCGTACCGCCCTACTGAATATACCCGGGTTCGGTTTGGTGGGATCGGATTTTATTTCGATGCGAGAAAACACGGATTTCTCCTTTGCAGTGGTGGTTTTCCTTTGGAGGATCACGCGACGGTTCGCGAAAGAGCGACTGTTATCGTCCGTTTCCTGCTTTTCCTGTTGGAAATAATGATAATATAAATAAATTGTTATATTCCTTCACCTTTAAATCTAAAGAAAAGTTTTACTAGAAAAAAATCCACGCGGACCAGGCAGCGGACGGGACTCTTTAATACTTGAAAAAGTATTCATTTGACATTGTGAGTTAGCTACAATGCGAAGAGATGGGGCTGCCTTGCAGCTTAAGGCTAGGAAAATTTTACCGCGGCCATCAGGGCTGTGGTAGCATAATTGCTCAGTGCATTCGCCGGGATTGCTGGATCGAGTCATGGTTTTTTTTCTAGTAAAACTTTTCTTTAGATTCAAACACCTAACACTTAAATGTTTATTCATTCATATTCTTTATTGCTTCATGATGGTACATACATGGGTTCTTAAATTTAAAATAAAGATTCACAACATGAGCCCTGCAAGGGCATTGCAAATTTTCTTAATTTCTAACAAACAATAGTAACACTTAATAGTAATAAAAGTGATAATTATGTTTATATATTATTTCATTCTTTGTCCTAATTAAATAGACATAACATTAAATAAATATTTACAATTCATTATTTTTTATCATTAACATCAAATTGATATGCATTTATTTATACATATTTGGTGTTCTATTATAACTTGATAAATAAATTATTTAAATATATATTGCAATAATTGAAAAACTGTACATTTTTTATTATTGTGATATTATTATTTTCAATATTAGTATACTGCCAATTATTTAATTTCATTATTAAGGTATTCATCAATATTATAAAAACAGTTATTAATTAAGAAATCTTTTAATTTTTTACTGAACATTGTATGTTTTTCTTCGTCTTTAATATACTGGGGTAATTTATTATATAATTTAATAGCCATATAGTATGGACTGCAGTTAAGGAGTTTTGTTTTGGATGGTGGAAAGTGTAATCTTTTTTGTGTCGGGTATTTATATTATGAGTATCCTCCACTTTCTTAAATGAATTAATATTATTAGAAACTAATATACATAGGTCATATATATAAATCGATACCAATGTCTCATTATTTTGTATTTGATAAAATATGGTCGACAACTTTGTATGTTTTTTATTTGAGATATTATTCTTACACATTTCTTTTGCATAAGGAAAAGTGAATTCGCATTTACACTGTTTCCCCACAGTATTATTCCGTATTTTAACCAGGAATAAGCATATGCATAGTAGGCAGCGAGCGCCGTTTCTGTATTTGTGCTTTGTTTTATTTCAAATAACGCATATGTGAATTTAGAAATTTTATTTTTTATGCGAATAATATGGTTTTTCCAGTTAATATTTTTATCAATATGCAGTCCAAGCAAATTGAACGTGTCAACTACCTCTATTTTAGTATTTTCTATAGTTATATTTATATCTAGGGGAGGCATTGAATAGGGAAGGAATGTATAATTTTTGTTTTTATTAAATTTAATTCAAGATTGTGATTTTTGAGCCAGACTTTTACATTTTCTAGTGTGTTTCTAATAATTAAATTATGATTTGAACCCTTGTCGCATTTACACAAGATGGAAATGTCATCTGCAAATAAAACTGGTAACGAATTTTTTTATCAAATATTTTTGGAAGGTCGTTCACATAATAATATATCAAAAAGAGAATACAGCCCAGCACGCTCCCTTGGGGGATGGAACAGGTCATGTCTTTCTCTTCTGAACTTACTGTTTCTATTTCATTTGTTTTGTTATTTAAATATTCAATTTGGACTTTTTGCTTTCTATTTTTCAGGTATGATTTGAACCAATTATAAGCTGTACCTCGTACCCCTGACCTATATAATTTGGATAATAAGATTTCATGTGATACTCTGTCATACGCCTTGGACATGTCCAGTAATACTCCCAGAGCACACTTTTTATCGTTCATATGTTGAAGAGCACCTTGAATATACTTAAAAACAGCAAGAGTTGTTGATCGCTTTTTTCTAAACCCATTCTGACAATCATCTAAAATATTATATTTCTCTAAAAATGTGTACAACCTATTATACATAGCTTTTTCAATCACTTTAGAAAATGTTGGTAATAATGATATTGGTCTATAGTTTTTAGGGTTACATTTATCATCCTTTTTGTGGACAGGTTAATAAGTGATATTTTTAGTAAGTTAGGGAATTCACCGTCAGAACAAGTTTTATTAATTAAATAAGTGAGAGGCTCCAATAATTCTTCTGCACATTGTTTAACTAGTATAGGGGGTATTTGATCAACACCATAGCTGTGTTTATTTTTAAGGTTTTGTATTATTTTAGTAACTTCTTTATTTGTCACGGGATTCAAGAAAAACGAATTTATTGGGGGGTCCCAAACCGGCAAACCTAAATTAGTATCGGTGAAACTGTCAGACTGACCAACAGAGATAAAATAATTATTAAATATTTCAGCAATTTCTTTTGGGCAAAACACATTTTTATTAATATAATATAATTTCATATTTTCGTAGTTTTTTTGTTTATTTTTTCCAGTTTTGGTGTTTATGATATTCCACATTGCTTTTACTTTATTTTCAGAATTTTTCATCTGTTTAATGTACATAAGTTTCTTAGAGACTCTTACACATCATTTTAGTATGTGATTTATAATAAAATTTTAAAGCATTGTTGTTTGTTTCATTTATGAGTATTCTTAATGATCTTTTATTGGTACATGATCTTTTTATTCCTTTGGTAAGCCAAGTTTTATTAGGGGACTTTTTTATTTTTATTTTTTTTATTGGAATATGTTTATTTAAATTATTTTGTATTATTGTCATGAACAAATTATAATTTTCATTTACATTTTTACTTTTATCAAAGATAGTATTCCAATCTATGCATTTGAATGAATTTTTAAATAAATGTATTTCATTTTTTGTAAATAGTCTTTTTTGCTTATACAACATACATTTCTCCTCCTTTTATTTATTTTTAAAAAATAAATAAAAACATTCCTCCATCCTTTCTCTTTCCTTCCTTAGATATATTTGTTTTCCTGCCATTGATATTATTATTATTTACTATAACACCCCTCCTTTTCTCCTTCATATTTATTTATCTTTCTATTATGGGTTGCCTGGAAGAGAGTCCTGCCTAGCAATAAGGCTGCCTATATTGTGTACGTTCTGTCTATCATGTTTTTTAATTAACTCGCTGTCTTGTATGGTGTATTACAATAAAGAATATTATTATTATTGTTACGACAGCGCCATCTAGTCGCTCCTCAGTCAACTAAGGAATCTAAATGGCTTGCAAACTTTATTGCATCAAGTGTTCAAGTTCAACACTTGGAAACTTGGATTGCCGACAATGTATCCTGTATATATATACGCAGAAAACATTGTGGTTAAATTACTTTTTATTGGCTTTCGAGTAGTAAACATCTAACCCGAAACAAGGAATTGTCTTTCATTTGGGCACCCAATTCATTACATAAATAAAATGAATATTTCTAATACACACAAACATCAATTAGCCTAGCCCCAAAGTAAGCACAACTCTTGTGTTATGGGATACTAGGGTAACGGATACAATATTTAAGTATATATTTATTTAGAAATACATATAAACGATGACTGATGACTTAGCACGTATTAACAGATCGCTTTCAACTATGAGAGCGATCTTGAGTACAGTTTTGAGTTGCTGTTTTATAAGTGAACAGTATGACAAGATGATGTTAGTGTGATCTATGTACGATGTAATTATCACACTAACATTTGCCACTACGGGATTCGAACCCGAGACCTCTGAGTAGGCGACACCTTGTCAACCGGCGTATATACCAATGATGGCGATAGTTTATTCATAATTTATGTGCAAAGAAATTGTTGAGGAGTTCGATACAAGTGATTAGCGAGTTCGGCTGTGATCGTGGAAGTTAAGCAACTTTCGTAGTGGTCGGTCATTGGAAGGGTGACCAAATATTTATTATCTCAACCTTCTCCGTGCTTCGGAAGGCGCGTTAAGCCGTTGGTCCCGGCTGCATCTGCAGTCGTTAGCACCCGCCAATCCGCAATAGGCCCGCGTGGTGGCCCAATCTCCCTATTCCATCCATAGGGAAAGTCTGTGCCCAAGCTATGGCGGCTCCAACATTAATAGGCTGATGACGATAATGAATTTAAAATATCTTCCAATTTACCCGCAACAATAAAATTGCATCTAAAACCTCGCTACACAACATTGGCTAAGCGCATTTAAACCATAAAGATAAAAATTAATTTATGGTCCTTCGAGCTGCCGTAGTAATCAACGTCAAAACATATCCAAAATTGAAACTATTATGGGATTAAATAATATTTTGTTATTTATAAATGTTGAATATGTCAAAACAACTCATTCGCATTAATATTATAAATACGTATGTCCGTTTATTTAGACAACTAATAGGGATGATACTAACTTTTTTTCTTCTTATATTTGGTAGATATTATCAATAAGTATTGGGACACGTAATTCTTCTTTATCCATATAGTGAAAACACAAACGAGATATATTGATTTGAGATGTCGCATGACGTCACTTCTTGGTACAATTTTTAGTTACAAGTGACGTCCCGAGCTTTGAACTTTATCCTTGTCATTATTAGATTGATTGACAGAAGAAAATGTACTTGTCCATTATTTTTTGACAATCTAACTGACGGACTAAATACAATTACGTTTAATGTCATACCCATCATCATGCTCACTCAATGGCCCGATTTGAATAGCTAAATATAGAAATAATTTGATCTTTAAAGATGAACATAATAGATAAATCTTTAGAGCAACAACTAAATGTCGAAGTCATTATAAATCAATTAAGTTTGAAGGCAAACGAAGTCACGAACTCTAGCTAGTGTAAAATAAAGCCCAGTTGATAAAGTTTGACAAGGCGAAAGATTTGAACATTAAAGAGTAAAAAGAGTGATTGATAATGATAAAAGGGATTTACTCACCTCCTTATTGTTATCAAATGTAATTCTGGGCCTAGACTTGTTTGTGTTAGCTTCGGCTTTAGGCTTTGCCTGCAATAAAACGCTCAATCTTTATTTAATGCATTTAAATAACAAACAATGACATTTTAATTCTAGTTTTCATTTCAAAGCGATATCTACAATAATATGAATGTTGTCACTGAAGGATATTATTGGGTGATATGGGCTGTTGTTGTTCGAAATAAATAATTTTTATTTTCTTTCATTTATTCCTTTATAATGATTTTCATAGTAAAATTAAATTAAAAAAAAAATGCATATATAATTCACATTTCAATTCTTTCACAATAACGCATATTTGTTTATGTTGGAAGAATGCTAAATAAAATAATAAATTAATAACACTTTTATAAAACATAATTTTGATAAAATCTCTGTTCGATAGCTTAGTGTCTTCTATATGTGGATAAAATCGGATATTCTGATTGTAGAATATTATTCATAGTAAAATACAGATCTTATTGAAATATGTGCGTACGTTGTCTTTTTTGAATTCGAATTGCAAGAGGGAGAGTGAATCTATATAAATCAAAATGAGTGAATGTAGTAACGAATGGGTACGAAATGAATGTATGAACGGACGATGATGATGGACCGATTGCAGCTTCTCTCTTCGAAGAATAGATGGCGTTAACAATCTCATTTATATTAAATTCAAATTAAGCAAAGGCTATTTGACATGAATAACATGTACATAATTTAGCTTTTTAAAAAATCTCATATTGATGTCATTAATAAACTTCAAAAAAAATGTGTTACAGTTTGGTCAGTTTGTCGTCGATTATCTCAAAAACTACTGATCCGATTTGAACCGTTTTTTCGGTATATAAATGGGTTTTTTTTATCAATAATACAGGGTGCAAGTAACAGCCCTGGCTAACGTTTTTTGCGAATAGATGGATAAACGTTTCAACAGATATTTTCATGATCATTCAGATGAAACTTTCTTTTGTTGTTTTCCGGCATCTTATTGTATGACTACCGTCCCTATTAACCCTCGTTTTCACCAAGAAATAAGTCCGAAACTAGTTTGTACAAAACTAGTAGAACACATGTTGTGGTTGTTTAAAAGGTTTTTTGACGTGACAACGTCTTAAATTAGGTTGCGGCTGGGAGTCACTTATGAAAAAGTGTAACGCTCGGTAACGTTACGATGAGTTTAAGTTTACATGTACAATGTTTTAGTAAACAAAATATATTTCTATAGTTAAAATTTGTGCAATTCTTATTTTCATTCAATTCCTTGTTCCTATTGTGCAATTTAATTATATTCATATCAATAAATATTCTACCGAGAAAAAGACGTTGTCACGTAAAATCTTCGCCCGTAAAACCGACTTTACAGGCAACCATTTTTTTATATTGTTTTAAGTTTATTTATTTTGAGTTTTTTTTAGTTTACACTGCATAGAAAACTAGTACCTTGACAAGTATTGGTGTCGATTCTGGTATGATTCTTTAAACCAAAACTTAAATTTGACAGCAGTGTATCGTTGTCATTCTCTATGCAGAGTGAAAAGGATAGACTGATGTTAAATTTAGTTTTAAATTTAGACTTAGAGAATCGTACCAGAATAGGCACCAATAATCACTTATTTACTTCACATATTTATTTCTCCAACAAGTTTGATACAAGTATTGTATACTATTGTACGTTTTATACATGTATTATACTTTGGTGTAAACGAGGGCTTACGATACCTTTCATTTCGACATTTAAAGTAAATATCTGTCTAACTGAAAATTTTAAATGTATAAATATTTGCAGTTTTTTTTTAATTTGTTTTGTCAGTAAATAAATAAATTAAACATTCAAATCATAATTATAGTACTATGAATAGTAATTTTCACTTGAATGGACTAAAAGGAAGACACTTTATTATTATTGCTGTGTACAGTTGATGGTGCCATGTGAAGAAAAGGACAATAGGGGATATAAACTAAGGTACTTAAGAGCGGTCGCAAGCTGAGAGACATTTGAGAAATAGGTATTTTAAAAAACTATTGCTGTCACGCTTTGGCAAATACAGTGCAATAGGGACAGTAAATAACGCTGAAAATTGCGTATAAAAATTGCAAAATTCGAGCTTTGCCTCTCGATTTCGATACGATTTCCTCTTCGAAAATTAGATAGATGTATGTAAAATAAATTTTAGCCATATAATAATAAGGTAGTTATAATATGCCCTTAAGTTTTGCTTTTTTGTAAATGCTTATTAAATCTCCACATTAGACGTCTATGTGATAGAAATTTGTTTATTTTTGTCATTTTTGATGGCTTCTAGTTTCTTTGAAACTTAAGTTTGCAAAAAGGAAGACATAGGAGCATTGAATGAGTAAAATTATATTTTATGTATGAAAATTAATTCTTTAGTGATAAAACTCAAGGAGGAATCGAGAACGTTTGTATGGAAAAAGCATTGCCCGACTTCACCTCTTCATTGTTATTTGCTACAATTACTGTGACCAGGGGGCCAAGCGCCTAACGGGATTGCTATCGCTCTCGCTTACGATTTAATTTTTTTATTTCTGACCGCTGAAGGTTTTGACATGCCTCGCTCTCATTTTTTTCTTTTGCATTGGTACTAACAATATTAAAGAAAACGAGCGTAAGGTATTTACGGTATTGAAAACCTTCGGGGGTCAGAAATAACATAATGAAATCGTAAGCGATAGCGATAGCCATACCATTCCCGTTAGGAGATTGACCCCCAGTAGTTGTTGATGGTGTTTTTGGTCTTAATTCTTACCTTGGCGTTTTTCTTTTCGTTGTTTTCAGTTTTAGTGGAGCTCGTTACGACAGCTCGTCTCGGCGGTGTTTTTTCTATAAAAATAAATATTAAAATCACAACCATGGCATATTATATAACTTGAGCAACTGCAAAAATATATGAAGGATAAATATATAGGGCGTCCCACGGGTTTGTCACACGGAGATTTCATGATCTTCCTTACATTTAAAATGATATGATGATGATGATAATGATGATTTTTAGTAATTTATTGTGATATAATTTATTTAATAATATAATGTGTAATTTATGTAATGCAATTTTTATGATATAGAATTTTATTAATTCTATTGATAAGTAAGATTTTTGCTGTGTTTTAAATTTGTATTTTTTTTTTTTCAAAAATTACAAGCTCTTTAAAGCATATCGCTATGCCCTAGCCGGGTTCGTGTAAGGATCTCAATGAACGCTTTGTAACATCTCTGTACAACTACATGAAAAAGCCCCTGTATATCATAAATCCTTTTTTTATTGTGTATGCTGTTGGTCGCAGATGACTTTTATAGCGTCACCGGTTTGGGGACGGCGAGATCCTAAGGGGACCTCAAGCCGAGAATTGGCGAGTGCCTCTGGAGGTATTCCAGGCGGATGGCGTCTCCCCGCGGGGGGAGTCTCCTCTCCGTCTGGAGCCTCCAGACCACGAGCACCTGAGGGGCTCGGCTCAACTAGAGGGCTCTGAGACTCGGACCTCGGCTCTAGTTAGCCGTTGGCGTGTCGTGTGTAGAACATAAATCCTACTCGTTATGATCAACCTGTAGTAGTGAGAGCTACTGAACCCTCCGAGTAACGGTCTGTCTGTAAGGCTAGAAATTCTCATGGTGATGAGTCATAGCATGCTTAGTACGGTAAGGACTTGTGCTAGCCGGAACCGCCTGGCATTCTACCTACTTACTTTAAATCGCTTAAACAAACGCATACATAAATTTCAACTTTACAGAATAAAGTTTATTTTTATGTATATATTACACACCTTCTAGTTAACCTGGCGGGTACTTGTGCTTATCGTAAACGCCTGGCACTTTTTTTAAACTTAAAAATGAAATAAACTAAATTGTATAAAAATTTTAAACTTACAGTAACAAGTTTTCTTTTTGACAATTTCAAAAATATAGGTCTTGATGACGTGCAGGGCTGAGGAGTGCCAGGCGATGCTTACCGTACTAAGCATGCTATGACTCATCACCATAAGAATTTCTAGCCTTACAGACAGACCGTTGCTAGGAGGGTTCAGTAGCTCTTAGTCTATAGTAAAAGGTAGGAATAATCTGATTCCGTTGTCATAGCAACAGTTGTTATTCAGCTTTCTTGCCTAGATATTTTTCATTATTAAGGGCCGATTTTTCCAAACTCGGCCAAAACTTAACTGTTCAATAAGTTAATACTCAATCAAATAGAGAGAGATGTCATCGGTTACATTACACCAATCAACACAAATCAACTCTTTATTTTGTCCGTATAATACGATATCGGAGAGATACATTTTATCCAGTGTTCGGGAAATTAGCACGAATAATACTTTAAGAAAATTTAATTGTTATTATTAAATTTTATTATCTATTGTTTTTCTATTTCTGTTTGTTATATAGGTACTGCGCCTGAAATTAATGTCTATTATTACTATAATAACTGTTGCTTAGAAACGGAAGCAGATTCTCCTTACCTTTTATTGGAGGTTGACTGACGAAACTGGCTGTTAAAGACACTTTAAAAACCTATCAAATGTAAATATACTTATAATTATATATTTTTTTTATTATTTTAAAGCATGTAACTGCTTGATGTTTAAATCTAAAGAAAATATAACTAGAAATAAATCCACGCGGACCAGGCAGCAGACGGGACTCGAACCCGCACCCTTCGCAATCCGGGCGAATGCACTGACCAATTATGTTACCGCGGCCCTCACAGACCGCGTCGAAATTCTTCTAGCCATTCTTAAGCTGCAAGGCAGCACCATCTCTTCGCACTATAGGTAACCCACAATGTGATAAGATGGCGCTGCCTTGCAGCTTAAGAATGGATAGAAGAATTTCGACGCGGTCCGTGAGGGCCGCGGTAGCATAATTGGTCAGTGCATTCGCCCGGATTGCGATAGTTATAATTTTTGAAGTGAAACTTCTTTATCGGCGTTGGAAAAATTCACATTTTTTTCGGTTACGCGTCACGTTTTTTGGTTACGCGCCATCTTTTTTTAAAAAGAGCACTATTTACCTCATCCGAACAATTGCTTCTTCTGTCAACTTTAAAAAAAAAAGTATCGACAGCAAATATTCGTGTTTCACACAAGGTAAAGTAAGGTAAGGTAAGGTAAGGTAAGGTAAGGTAAGGTAAGGTAAGGTAAGGTAAGGTAAGGTAAGGTAAGGTAAGGTAAGGTAAGGTAAGGTAAGGTCAGGTAAGGTAAGGTAAGGTGTAGTTATACCCCTTTAGTGGGTGAGTTTTTGAAAAATCTTAGCGCACGCCTATATATATATTTCTGGAAAGTTGCATGTTAATTATTCCAAAAAGGCTGAATGGATTTGGATGAAAGGAGAATGCCCATTGGTAGTATCGTCCTTGGTCGGCCATGTACATCCGCCTAATTTATATCAAAAATCATTTTTTTAATTTTCACAATACCATGTTATTTGTTTCTTAGGTTTTCACACACATCACTCATTAAACGAAACTAGTTTTTACGGGTTAATGCACGAAACTTTTACTTTTATAAAAGTTTGATTCTGACGACGTAGCCTGTAAAGGCTACGAAACGTCAATAAATAAATAAAGTTTCGTGCATTAACCCGTAAAAACTAGTTTTATTTAATACCATGTTAAATATTAAGCCATAACTTTGACGAACAAATATCCCTATAATAAATCAGTAATGAATTCACTTCCATTACATTTGTATTTTTTGACATTCGTATCCTCGGTGTTGCCATTTTGTAACAACCGTAGCAACTTATCAAAATATAATCGATTCACTTGTAGTGATTTGATTAAAATCACACTAATATTATAAAAGCGAAAGTATGTGAGTATGTTTGTTACTTCTTCACGTCTAAACGGCTGAACGGATTTGGATGAAATTTGGCACACATATAGTTTATTACCTGGATTAAGACATATAATTAATACATGCTTTATATCCCGAATAAATTTTAGGTTCCACCGGCCGCTAGTATAAATACTATTTATTTTGAAAAAAAAAAATGGTTTCTGTGGGAAATAAAGGAATGAAGTAGCGTGCGAAAACCAGTTAAAAATAAAATTTGAAAGTATTTACTTACCTTTAGTTTCGTGGAAGACTATCTTCTGTCGCGGCGGTCTTGGGTTCGATTTTGGTAATTTGCTGCGCAGGTCTGTATTGGAAGTCGTCGTGGGAGGGTTCGATCTGACACAATACAGGTTCAACTTTAAAAATACTTTCCTAACACAATAGGGTATTTGACAGTATTAAAAATAAAGTGCCAATTATTAGCATCTGTGTTCAGAATGAATATGAGCAGGGATTTTCACTATTTTTACAAAAAAAACATAATTTTACTAAAAACCCACAAAAAAGATAATAGTTTTCTTATCTATTGTCACGTGACCCAAAACGCTTGGGATTGGCGGAGCCTAAAATAACGTCACACGCAAGTAAACTTCCGGTTAAAGTGACATTACATTGTATTGTATGACGTTTAACTAATAGTCGTGTGACGTCACACACTAGTAAGACGCCATATTGTCCAGAGAAACGTTTTCGCGGCAACTTAAAAATTGAGTTTTTGATTTGGTTATTTTTACTGAAATACACAACAGAATGATGAATATCCACTTTTTACAGACTCCATAAACATTAGTCAATAACGTGAGATCGTTTTCTAAATCTTGTCAAATACCCTATTTATTGTAAACTGAAATTCAATGAACATTTATTATTATTAATCTTCGGGGTTTTTAAAATGTCCTATGGGTTAAATCTAATTTTAGTTGAATCGAGATTTAGCCAATTTCAGGTCTTAATTATACTTACTTCGGTGGCGGCGCATCGTCATCGGATAATATTCCATCAATATCGCCCAGAATGAGGTCTAGATCGTCGTCGGAATCCCCCGCGGTTGCGACATTAGCGGTGGCGGAAGCGGAAGCGGGTAACGGGGGAGTTAGAGCTCGTTCCTCCGTACGTGGGGGAGTTAGACCTTCTGTTTAACAAAAAATAAATATCTAGCAGTTAAATGCTTACAAAATATTAATAGCGTTGAAATGGCATAAAATTACAAATATTTTCGAATTAATACATGTATGTACATTTAATTAAAGAACAAATAGTATAATATTTATAATTAAAAACCTTAAAAAAACTAAAATACATTATAAGAAGGAGTCCCTTTAGGCAAGGTTCCGAAGATACTGGCAGCGTTCTCCCTTTGAATAGCTAAGCACGATATTAAATACCGCCGATACACCACCTTCGCTCAAAATGTGTCCCAATCAAGAAGTGCTTGAACATCACTCAAGCGCTTCTTTGTTTACAGTCACGCGCGAACCATTGAAAAGCCAAGATTGTGCAGAGGTCCGTGAAAAAATGCGGAAAAATTACTTAAAGTACGTAAAGTGTCATTTTTTCGACAGGTATCTAATCAATGTTTGATAATTTAACGCATTTGAAGCCAATTTTGTTCTAATACTTACTATAAACTGATTTATTAGAAAATATTTGTGATATTCGGTTATATAGCCATCTCTTTTCCTTGTGGTCCGTACCGGCTATATTGCTAACAGCGCATTCAGAATTGCGAGTAGAGTCGAAGAAATAAGGTCTATATTCTTCCGCATATCGCAATAAGTGGTAGAATTTCACGAGTTTGCTTTTCGAACTGTCGTAACTCTTTGACGTATGCGTTTTACCTTATACAGTATGCAATAAATGTGACTTTCAATGATTAAATAATGCCTTATATTGTTTTTGACTACGCGATCATCGTACGGAGCTCCGTGGATCGTCCAATGTACCTTTTGGACAGGTTTCGGCCACGATTTTGTTCGTGTTGGTGTATCTAGGGTATTTAATATCATTGTAGCTAGACTAATTCCTTGTCTAAATTAAATTAGTAAATTATCTAATACTAGTGGGGTTCCGTCTGTCGTCGTATGGATGGAATAGGGAGATAGGGCGGTGACCCACTGCGCAGGTACTATTGGCGTGTGCTAACGACTGCAGATGCAGCCGGGACCAACGGCTTAACGTGCATTCTGAAGCGAGATAGTAAAATTTTCGGTCACCCATCCAATGACCGACCACTGCGAAATTTGCTTGACTTCAAATATCACAGCTGAACGGACTTACATCCCCCTTATCACCGCTTTAAAAAATGACTTCTCGGAATTCAAAGTATCTGTATGCCAAATTACATCTTAATCAGTTCAGCGGTTTAAATGTGAAGAACTATCAGATAGACACACTTTCCCATTTATGATACTAGTATGGTTGCGAAAGTCTCTCTGCATGTATCTTGCCTCCTCCACAATTAAATCGCTGATAATATTTTGATGAAATTTAGTATAGAGATAGTTTATAGTCGACGACCTCCGTGGCCGAGTGGTTTGTTTTCAAGGTGTCGGGTTCGAATCGCGGTGGGACGAACACGAGCATAATTACCAACTTACTTCACTGGTATCATAAATAATTATTTTTTACAGAAATAATTACTATTAACTTACCACAAGTGGAATTAACTTCCACCTTTTCCTCTTTCACCGGAGACCTTTCTCTAATCTTCTCTACTCTCTCCTCTCTAACTATTTTCTCCGTTTTTATCTCCCTCTCTACTCTTGCCTCTCTTTCTGGCGATTTCCTTGTAGTATCGGGTTTGGTGTCGTCAGTACTGGATGGTTTGTCATTCTGTTTCACTCTGTTCTCTTCCGTTCTGAATGGTTCTTTTGGTTCTTTAGCTTTCTCTTGGCGTTCACGCTCTCTGTAGAAGATTGAAGGTAGTTTGATGACAAAAAATATTCACTTCATGTTTTATGTATGTAATATCAATGACTTATTTAAATTCAAACATAATTTTATAAAATTAACAACATGTGTATATATATATGTGTGTGTGTGTGTGTCTATATATTTATATGTCTTGTGCTCATGTATATTTAATTATTATGTATAAGATAAGTACTTTCTGTTACGGTATGTTTATATAAATTAATTACTTTTTTAATAAAGCCACATTCGTGTCTTTCTGTACTCCTGAAGGTTGACAGAGAATGCTTTTAGCATTAAGTCCGCCTTTTGTTCATTTTGTAATTGTGGCAATAAAGTTTAAATAAATAAACATAACACTTATAATTGAAGCGTTGGTATCTGCACTAGTTTAGCATAAAATTGTGATAAATTAGAATACCTTTAGTATTTAAAATGTTAGTAGGATACCAGTATTATAAATGTGAAAGTTACTGTTTCAATATTTGATATAATTATATTTGTTACTAAATCACGCAAAAATAGTAAAAAGGATTCGGATGAAATTTGGCACAGATATAGTTTACTATCTGAATTGAGACACAGCCTACTTTTTATTATATAGAAAAATGGGAAAATTCCTCTGTTATTCCTAAAAGTATTGAATGTTTACACGCAAAAAGTCGCGGGCGGAAGCAACTGGAAAAATAATATGAACAATAACATATAAAGGAATATATATGTAGGAAGGCCAGAGGGGAAAATCTTCCTCTGAGCTGGATGATGGTCGGGGCTTGTATATATATAATGCGATTCAAATAAGAATAGGAAAGCCAATGACCTCCATCTGTCAAATGTCGCTTGAACGGTTTGAAAAAAAATCTTGGAACACTTTTTTAGCACTCAGCTAATTCTAGAATAAAAATGCAAACATTTGTAAACAAACAATAACAAATATCGATAGTTAATATTGGTTGATATTATTTTTTCATTTATTGAGCTTTGGCTATGAATGGTTGATACCTTAATTCGTTAACCAAATGTCGCTCTAAGTTGCGTTCATAAACTCGATTTAAAACTTTAGTTTTCATAAAGTATGTGACCTAGTAATAGTGCATCATTATTCATAACTACCCCGGCGGTAATACAGAGATGAGCGGAATTGAAGAGCTAGATTCTGTTTAATGTTTTTTCTCACACAGTCTTAATAAATAAATATTATTAAGTTTTATTAAATAAAAACTTTTTTTGCTCACTCTACCTATTTGACAGCTATGACGTCAGAATATGGCGCTCAGTCGGTCCTATTCTTAGTTGAATCGCATTATAAGTGTTTGGCTCCGAATTTCCCTTGCGGGATGTAGGCATCCATACTTATTAATCGCAGCGACGGTAGCGCCATCTCTTGAAGAGGCGAGTGACTATTTCCATCCTTTGGTTATATGTGGGGCAAGTAAATGTCGCCGCCACATATATATTAAAAAAAATATCTGACCTGTCGTCTAGTTGTTTCTGCAAAGCCACGGCATTCTTCCTGCGACGCACTTCTTTAGCTCTCAATACCCTTTCTCTCATAGTTTCTTGTTCTCTTAAGCGACGCCTGTATTCACTGTCCTGTAATCACAATAAATTTATTAATAATAAATACATATTCAAAATCATTTATTCAGTTTAGGCTGTTACAATCACTCATGAATGTCTAGAAGCTACGCCATCAGTTCGTAAATCTACGGCGGGAGACCTTGTACTTAGAAGAACCGGCAAGAAACTCAGCAAGGGCTGTTTTTTCTCTCACTGTTTTATTATGTACAGAGTCGACAAGTTAAAAAATGACTTCAGAGATGATTCATGAAGTCACCTTTCATTTCATAATGATTAAATATACATTAATTGTTTCCCTGCATTTTGATTGCTGTGTCATACAGTATAAATACAAATAGTGTTATTTCTATTAAATGTAACTAAAAATTAATATCTTCAATATCAAGGAAGTTAGGGCAGACTCATCTCCTATTGTAAAATGTTCTTGATTTATATATATAATAGGGTATTTGACAGTTTTAGAAAATGATCTCATGTTATTTACTTATGTTTATGGAGTCTATAAAAAGTGGATATTTAAAGGACCTGTTGTGTATTTAGTAACAAAAAAACTAATTTAATTTATTTTTTGTTGCCACGAAACCGTTTCTCTGGACTGGACATTAGGCGTCTCACTAGTGTGTGACGTCACATGGCTGTCATTAATTCGTCAAACGATTCAATGTAATGTAACTTCGGTCGGCAGTTTACTAGCATGTGACGTAATTTAGTCTTGGCCAATCGCAGGCGTTTTCGGTCACTTGACCATGAAGTTAAAAAGTAATTTCTATTAAATGATTTATAGAAAAGTTAATTATTATTAGTTCTTTCAGAATAGTAAAATCTCTTCTATTAATCATATTAAATATAAATTCCAACAATTGTACATAATTTTTCTTAAATTCAAATAGCTTATTAATTTACTTAAGCATTCTTAAGCTTTAACCGAGATGATTCCTATAAATTTCTAAAGTAGGTCACGATAAGCTAACCTCTTTAATGTCCACTTGCAACAAATGTCACAACGACACTGACAATTTGACATCATTGTATCATCTAGGTTTAGTTAAATTGAGATTTAGCAAAATTCGCGCTAGAGGGCCTTCAGGTTAAAGTTAAAATTGTATTTCCTTACCATTCGTTAAAGATATTTTTTAACGCAAAAGGTATAAATGGTGTAAAAAATTGTGTACTATTAAAATCAAGTAGATTTCAATCGCAAAGTAAATCAAAAATACAAAATGTGATAAACCAGTAACTTTTTTTTGAAGTTATACTTCTTTAGGCGCGTTATGAAAAAATGATGAGAGTGAAATTTTAAGATGCGCGCGCATCACTGTAACACAAAAATTACTCTTTAGGGGGCATTTATAAAGTACGTAACACGTTAAGGGGGGGAGGGGGTCCGAAGTTTCGTGACGTTACATTTCAAAATCGAATACTGTCACTTATGCAAAAAAAACCTTTTTTGAGGAAAAGCGTTTAAAAAACTTTAACATCCCAAAACATACAATATTTAAAGATTTTTTTTATTTTTTGAAGTTATATTTCTTTAGGCGCGTTATGAAAAAATGATGAGAGTGAAATTTTAAGATGCGCGCGCATCACTGTAACTTTTGTGTTTACTAAGAAAATCTACCAACAAAATAGAATCTATTTAGTGGGTGCTAACGACTGCATTGTGAAGGCCTATCAAAAGTATTTATTAATCTGGAACAACGGAACCAAAGCGCGATTCAGGAGACTACAGCGCCATCTCTTGACCATTGGTGTAGTAGAACCAAAAACCACATCTTAATTTTTTGTAATAAAGTAACAGTTATAGGTATTCATATTTATAATATTTATCCACATGTTTCTAGTTTGTATATTCGGAATACGTGTTTGAGTTTCATACAAGTGCAAATCACATTATGTTCTAATAAATTATATTCAGTAGCTATTTTAATTGAATATTTTGATTATTTATTTATTTTTTCAAATTAAAACTGAACTTTATTGACTGTGTCCTTTTCCAGACTTTTTATTAATTTATTGTAATTAATTATTTGCATGCAATTAAAAACTAATTTTAAACGATGCCAAAGAAGGATAACTTCTCACGCGCCTACATAAGTACACGCACCCATTTTTTTTTGGATGGTGATTCGGTTCGTATTATATAATTACTAGCTGTTCCAGCGAACTTCGTACCGCCATAAAAAAAATAGGGGTTGGTGGTAGAACGGTGAAAATTTAGGGTTGTATGTATTTTTGTATGATGTATCATAAAAAAAAAAATATTTAAGGGTGGTCACCATTAACATTTAGGGGGATGAAAAATAGATGCTGTCCGATTCTCAGAACTACTGAATATGCATATAAAATTTCACGAAAATCGGTCGAGCCGTTTCGGAGTAGTTCAATTACGCACACCGTGACACGAGAATTTTATATATTAGATGTGTAGCAGTGTTTTTGTTATGGGCAAGAATTATTTCTAGTGCTATTTATGTGCTGTACTGCATACAATAGTTACCTCGTCGTGCGGTCGCTCGGTTCGCTCGGGCCGCTCGGGTCGCTCGGGTCGCTCGGGGCGATGCCTCCGCTCGGGCGAGCGACGCGGCGACTCTGAGCGACGAGCGGGCGACGGAGATCGCATCCTGTTAAACAATGTAATTATAAATGAAACACGTTTCAACAGTTTTGGTTGGGCGTTTTATTATGTGTGAATTTTTTACATCAACAATGTTCGCATTTGGCTTTTCAATTTGCAATATGCTCGCTGACGCCACCTAGTGTTCGATCTGCGAACCTGTCCAGATGGCAGATATGTGGGTACTGCGAATATTGTTATGCGCGGGTACGCGAACTTAATAACGGTCGTTGGCTCGTCATTTTCCAACGGCCGCTCTCTGCTGTGTTAGATTCTGCTGTGCAGATAGGTCGTACGCAAATAAAGTGAAACGCAACGCGTAATTATCTCGAAAATCACGTAGAAGATTGCAACCGCACCCAGAGGAAGAAAGAAGGAGCTGCATCGGCCGTGCCCACGCCAGCAAGCCCGATAAGGAGGCAGAGAGACATCCAGGTGAGTCGTTGGTGACATTGCTCGGATTCAATTTCCACTTGGTTCATTGTGTTGATGTTTCTTTGTGTCTAGGCAGCTCATACGTAATAATTCGCCCGCCGCATACATATATAAACCCGCATTCCAGTGGATGGCTATTTACACGCCATACCAAGTTTCAAAATGCATAATTTTATAACTTTTTTGAGGTTTCGCATCCTATTCAGACTGCGTCGTCAGAATTATGATTTTTAATTACTTTTGTCGTAACCATGGCGGTTTAAGAGAAGGATAACGATCGCTACGTGTTAGTATCTGTAGAATTTATAGTTCATTTTTCAGCCACCAGCCGCGCTGCCGTCGGTAAGTAGTATCTGTGAAGTTAGCTATTTATGAGTACAAGTAGATGAAGTTAGTTGAATATTGTACAAATTTTCTTCGCGGCATTGGTCTTTTCGATTTAGCCCGCTTTTATTGAGACAATTTAGCGATCGCAGCGTCTCACTTATTTTGTCCATATTTCTGAGACACTATTTTCTACAGCGAATAATTTTACTAATTTTCATAAAGAGTGGATATTCATAATTCTGTTGTGTATTTCAGTAAAAAAAACTATATCAAAAATTCTATTGTCATGTTGCCGCGAAAACGTTTCACTGAACATTATGGCGTACTTAATAGTATTGACAATTGAATTAATTTTTAAATGGTTGATTGAAAATTTATTAATGCTGAACGTTTTATAATTACGACTGTAGATCTACCTACTTAGTTTGATTTGCATTATATTTTGGACAATTGAATTAATTTTTACAATATGTTATACAGGATTAAAAAAATGTAATATTGGAACGTTTCATAATTATGACTGTAGATTCTATCTATTTAGTTTAGGATTATTGCAATACCCTAACTGGGTTCTTGTTTGGAATGATATATAATTTTTTTTTGTAACAGCATGTAAACAACAAGAATGCAATAAATGAATATGAATATATGACGTCACACGACTGTCATTAAAACGTCGAACGACACAATGCAATGTCACTTCGGCCAGAAGTTTACTAGCGAGTGACGTCATTTTAGTCTTGGCCAATCACCGGCGTTTTTGGTCACGTCACCGTGGAACAAAAAAAATCATTTCTATTTAATGATTTTTTAGACAAATTAGTAATTATTCGTTCTCTCAGAATAGTATAATCGCTGCTAATATTCATATTAAACACAGATGCCAACAATTGGTATTTTATTTTTCCTACTGTCAAATAGACTAATAAGAGACATTTTTTTTCTTTTTTTTATAGCGAGGTAGGCAAATTACTCTACCCCATCTGATGGTAAGTGATGATAAAGTTCAAACGCGAAGATAGTTGGTACAGCAGTCATAAACTGCTACACCAACCATCCTCACCTTGCCGGCCCGCAAAAATGCTTCTTCACGCCTCTCTTAAAGGACCCCAGATTGATAGTCACATGAAGAAAACAGTAAATGTCCTTCGCTAAACAAGAAACAGAACTAAGTAGACCCGCGGTAATCCGACAAACGTTTTGCAGGGCGATGTCAGATAACCGAATTTGCCTAAGACCACCCTCTATAGTCGGGATTTTTTGGTCTATATCAATGGACAAGAAATCTGCAAAATTTGGTCACTAGGGGCGCTGTAATCGGTTGACCCAAAACTTTTATCAAATACATACCTATTAGCTTATATTCATTTTTAAGCTTTTTATTAAACAAATTACAAATGCCGCGTTCTGCAGTTCTTGGTTGTTGTGAGAAAACTGCATTCTTACAGATTAAAATATAATTTTATATGTTTCTTTGAAAGGGGGGGGGGGGGGGGGGCGGGGATGTATCTGGGGCAGGTAATTGCATCTGGATGTCTACAGATTGATCAGAAAAAACGGCACCAAATTTAAAATTGCGGTCTTATGTCTCAAGACTGTAAAAAAACCCAATGTTAAATTTCCCATTTAACCTAACTCTATGAGATGTCTGACTGATGCAAAAATAAGATAGTTTTGACTAATGAGCCGGCTAAAAGTTACTGAGATCCATGAACTATCAAAGTAATCATGGAAAATGCATCTATGTACCGAGAATGAGCATTCTAGCATAATAATAGAAAGAGTACCTTTCTACAAGATCAGCTTTGCTGCTGTAGGAAGGCCAAAGGGGAAGATCTTCCTCCGAGCTGGGTGATGTTAGCTCGGGGGCCGCGGCCCGACTGATGTTGGTCGGGCATCGTATATATGAAGTTAGCTTCCGAATTTCATTTGCGCGATGTAAGCTTCCATACTATTATTGATCGCAATGCAGGTAACGCCATCTCTTGAGGATGGTGAGTAATGATTTCCTCCATCCTTAGATGTCGCCGCCACACTGCCTTGCATAGATGCTCCTATCCTTTTCAACTCTGATTTCAGCTATATTGCAGATCATGTTGAATACATTTTCACCACATATTTAATATATTTAACAATAAAAAAACACAATCAAAATTTGACAGCTGCAATATTCGCCTCTGGTTTGGGTCAAGCGTTTGCAGCGCCATCTATGTCGAGCTTTGCGTATACTTCTCCATTGATTTTATGTGCAAATCAACAATGATAATCGTGTCGGATTACCGGGGGCGCCGGATTAGACGGGGTCCGGATTACCGAAGGTCTACTGTACTAATATACGCTAGGTTTCTCACCTTCTTCTCAGTCCCGCTCTATTGGCATGTATGAACTCCTCCTGTCTTCTCAGTAGTTCTAGATCGCTGTCGGATCGTCGCGTACTGGCCAAATCATTCTCTATCTCGATGGTCGTGTTTTCTATATACCTGTTGAAGGAATGCTTGTTGAAACATGATTATAAGGGAAACGCAAAGAATTAGAAATGATATGGAAGCATAATGGCGCAATTACACTTCGACGTTAGCCCGAATACGTGTTAATATTTCCAACAACACTTACACCAATTAGCCTAGTCCCAAAGTAAGTGGATAACGGAGGCGTAGGGTAACGGATAGAATACATATACTGTACATATATAAATATATTTATATGATCATCATTATCATCATCATCAGCCTTTTAATGTCCCAACTGCTGGGGCACAGGCCTTCCCTATGGATGGAATAGGGCCATGACCCACAGCGCGGGCCCAGTGCGGATTGGCGGGTGCTAACGACTGCAGATGCAGCCGGGACCAACGGCTTAACGTGCCTACCGAAGCACGGATATTTATATAGAAATACATATTAAACATCCATGACTGGAGTACAAATGCTCGTACAGATTCAACACAGAAACATCTGCCCCCACCGGGATTCGAACCCGGGACCTCTCGAGTGAGTCGGCGACACCATGAAACCCGGCGTACAAACCACTCGGCCACGGAGGTCGACTAAAAGGGAACAAACGAGTGCCAATGGAATTCGGGTAACGACTAATGGCTCAATTCAATTCAATTTATTTGCATTAAATAGGGTACAAATAATGCTGTTACATTTCATCTAAATTGTATCTTAACCGATTTTGTCATATAAAGATAACATGCAATTTTTTTCTATTCAATTACCTATATAAATGTCAATTATTCTTATTATAATATTATAATTATTCGATGTTGTCAATTTATCATGTCCATAATAGGGATGATGACTAATTTTTTTTTCTACGTTTATCAGGTAGATTATCAAAAAATATTATTAATTATCACATAATATAAGCATTGCAGAGATATATTAATTTGAAAAGTCGCATGACGTCACGTTTGAGTACACTTATAAGAGAAAATTCACTCAAGTGACGTCACGAGCCCCTACTCCCAAACTTTGACGCGCTATAACTTTGTCATTTTTTGGTTGATTGCCGAAAGAAAAAAATACGTGTCCATTATTTTTTGATCATCTAACTGACGGACTAAATAGAATTTCGTTTACTGTACCCCGTCATCACCCCTATTATGTGAATGTCATATTTAGAATGATCTTGTAAAGAATCAAAATTAAATGTTATATTTCAACCCAATAAGTATGTCTTCAACCCCTGCATCAAATCCTACCATAATTCATGAACTCAACCACACAGCAAAACACATTACACTAAGTCGTTAGCCCGAATAAGAGTGCCAATGGAATTCGAGTAACCGACTAAGTGTAAATGAACGCAGTGGCGGACTAACAGGGGGGCGGAAGGGGCGGGCCGCCCCGGGCCTCCGATCTTGGGGGGCCCCAAATGCCTCTGCGTTACCCTGATCAAATCCTAAACAAGGCTTTAAAGAAACCAGGAAAAGTGAAGGTAAAAAGAACGATACCGGGTGAATCAGCTCATGATGCTGGATTATCAATTCAAGAAGAAATACGTCGGCCAATGTATGAATGCATAGACCGCTTTATACAAGAATTTTCGAATTGGGCTTTTGTTGTTTAATAAAACAAATCAAAAATATTTTCCAAATTATTGAAACGTAAGTTTATGCTAGAAGCTTCAGATGACGCTCTGGCTGTAGCAGTTGACAATTTGATACAAAGTTATGGTGAATTGGACAAGACTAGTTTTAACGAAATAAACATAAGAATCTACATTTTTTTAAAGCTGGGGGCCTCATTCAGCTTTGCCGCCCCGGGCCTCTGACGGGCTTAGTCCGCCACTGAATGAACGGGATCGAGTACGTCCGTATTCGGGTAGTTTTCGTTTTGGTTACCCGTCACCGTATTTCAGTGTAAATATTGCTTCTGGTGCCCGAATTTGAGTAATGTCTTTCGTGCACCCGGATACGGGCTAAGAATTGGGTGTCATTGAGCCATAAGTCTATAACAAACACCGCTAAAACATGATTCCAAACTCATACAATGCAATTAAACTTCAATACTAACGCGACACACACAGAGACAGAACAAAATCCTTTGCCGAATCAAATCTCTGCAAATAATTTTTGGCAACCTATTCACTGAGCCTACATATCCTAACATATCTAAATGTTACAGTGAAATGGAAATCTCAAACAAGCGAGTGCGTACGAGACAGATTTTTTAAGCATTAAACTGCTAGATATTTTAAGCTAAAGAAAATATTACTAGAAACTGCCTAAGAAATGCTAAAGAAAATTCGAGACGGCCATCAAGGCAGCAGTAGCATAATGGTTAGTGTATTCGCCTGGATAGCGAAGGGTGCGTGCGGGTTCGAGTCCCATCTGCTGCCTGGTCCGCGTGGATTTTTTTCTAACAACATTTTTCTAGAGATTATTTTATTTTTGTGATAAGTTATACTTGTTTGCATATTACCTCTCTTTTTCAGTATTTTACACCACTTAAGCTTACAGGAGGTAATTGAAGTCCTTTAAAGACGCGTTATTTCATGGAATTCATTCATAAATTACTAAATCTTAAAAAACAATATAAAAAAAACAGATGAATGCCCTTTAATAAGCACCCGCCAATCAATAGGCCACGGTCCGTACGTCCTATCCCATCCATATGGATGGCATGTGCCCCAGCTGCAGTGGCATAGATCTTTGCAATATACGAGCGCGCGGCTCCCTTACTTGTGTGAGTGACTTATCTGTATACGCGTCAATGTAGGCGTGACAGTGACCGTAGGTACGGTTAGCAAACAAAAAAGCATTAATTCAAGTTATGCATTACAACCATTTTTATATTTTATGTTCCTTTTTTTATTTATTTATTAGGAGTGGTTAAAAAAAAAACAACATCGTCAAAGTAACTACCTAACAATTTTACATTAGTAATAATAAATGATTACAGGTAGAAAATTAAAATAAACACAAAAGAAATGTAATCCTAAACAATACCTTAACTCTAAAGAAAATAAAAGGCTCTCTCAGTTATTATTAGTAATGAATAATATTATTTTTATATATTTATACTAGCTGTCCCAGCGAAATTCGTACCGCGCATAAAAAAAATAGGGGTTGGTGGTAGAACGGTGAAAATTTAGGGTTGTATGTATTTTTGTATGATGTATCATAAAAAATAAAAACAAAAAAAATTGCCAAAAAATGTAAGGTTGTATCACCCTTAACATTTAGGGGGATGAGAAATACGTGTTGTCCGATTCTCAGACTTACTGAATATGCATATACAATTTAATGAAAATCGGTCGAGCCGTTTTGGAGTAGTTTAATTACGCACATGCACAATTAGATAGATTTGACATTCTGACCGTACTTCGTGAACAACAGCAACGTGGAAACAAAAAGTACAAGTGACTCGAGCGATGGTTCGCTCGCTACTGACCGCTCCATCGGTACGCACACTAACGAAAATATGTATTTACGATTACAACTACAAATAAAGGCCACGCGTGCTCGTAGATTGAAAGATCTATAACATTAATCTATACTAATATTATAAAGCTGCAGAGTTTGTTTGTTTGTTTGAACGCGCTAATCTCTGGAACTACTGGTCCGATTTGAATGATTCTTTCAGTGTTGGGTAGTCCATTTATCGAGGAAGGCTATACCCTATATCTTTTTTTCAAAATTAGGGATCCGTAATAAAATTGCTATTTTGTAACACAAGGTGTAAAATCGAAAACCTATTTTTGCGTACGCTGCAAAAACTATTGACAATAGAACAAAATGATGCACTACGGATTTGTAGATCCCATTAAGACCTAGAAAAAAGTCCGCGAGAACATATATCTAGCGATCATGGTTTAATCACAATAACCGATTTTGTGTTCAAAATAATTATTAAATCGTCTGAAGAAAAAAAATCTACGTTAAATATGTATCGTAATATTAAAAACACAAACAACCCTTAATTTTTACCCCTCTACCACCCATATTTTTATGGCGATACGAAGTTCGCTGGGTCAGCTAGTAGGCTAATAAAAACTTCAATGTCGACTTTAAAACGTCGATTTGTTAATAAAACTCACCTCTGCGGAGGTAACTTTCTATTGGCCGCTCGAGCGAGTGCGTTCCTTTGTTCTGCTATGAATCTCTCTGCAGCATCGTCAATATCCTTCACTGGTCCTAAGAGTATACAAAACATTAGAGTCACAAAAAACAAAAACAAAATACCTTAAGGTGCACTTGTAGCAATTTTGTTAAAACTAGATTTGTCTGTTTGACATTTTTGTACGGTTTAAATCTAGTTTTAATTATATTAAGATTTAGCATATTTGAAGCAAGCAGCCCCAAGTAAGAATCGATCGTATCAAATCGAATCTCAACTGGTTCGGGGTAGTCTACATTGTTAGTGCTACTATTTAAAATTGACAAGTTTTAGAAAACGATCTCACGTTATTGACTAATGTTTATGGAGTCCGTAAAAACTCGATATTCATCATTCTGTTGTGTATTTCAGTAAAAATAACCATGTCAAAAACTCCATTTTCAAGTTGCCGCGAAAACGTTTCTCTGGACAATATGGCGTCTTACTAGTTTGTGACGTCACACGACTGTTATTAAAACGTCAAACGATACAATGTAATGTCACTTTAACCGGAACTTTACTTGCGTGTGACTTCATTTTAGGCTCCGCCAATCCCAAGCGTTTTGGGTCACGTGACAACAGATAAGAAAACTATTATCCTTTTCGTGGGTTTTTAGGAAAATTATGAATATTTTTTTTGTAAAAATAGTCAAAACCCCTGCCAATATTCATTCTAAGCAAAGATGCTAACAATTGGCACTTTATTTTTAATACTGTCAAATACCCTATTATGTGCGATTATATTAAAAAAATAATATCAACATACTAATAAACGCTCTCGCTTCATTTTGGTGAGGTTCTTGTTCTTGTGATAAATTGGCTAATTGATGAAATTGGTAAATAGTAAAGAGTCGTGCGTCGGCGAGTGTCGTATAAGCGGATATAACTTAATAGTAGGAAAATAGAGATAAATTTGCTTCATTCAAAACGCGTCGCGACGAGTCTGCGCCAGTGAGTTGAGTCTATGTCAATACTCTGTAGTAGGGGATTTTGTCAGAGTAGACAACGGTGCGAGTAATATTGTTGGTATCGGAAGTCATGCATTCCCGACCGTCAGACCAGTTTGTTTGTCGGGATTATTTTTCCCCGACCGACGGAAATCCGGGATTGTCCCGGAATTTGCCGTCTAGTCCCGGAATTTGTCCGAGTCCAGTAATTAGACCTTGTTGTCCCGGAATCCCCAAAAAACACAAGTTTTTTCACAATACTACTATGCCCTAGGTAGAGGCACCTACGAATTGGCATCGTCTGGCAACCCTCGGGTTACGGATGGGAACCCTGTCACACCAGTGTGAAAGTCGGAGATCTATGCATTGAAATAAGTATGGAGTTATGTTGCCCTGGTACATCAGTTTTTTTTTCTGATTGAAGTCTTTAAACAAGCTTTTATTTAACATGCACTGTTCAGTTGGTATGTCACTATGTGTGTATGTAAGTACATGATATAGTCCCAACGATGATACTGGAAAGGAAATCGAGGCTTATCCACCTTCACAATTAACTTTGAAAGTGTGACGGTGTTGGTCGGGGAAAAAAATCAATCATCAAAAGAAAATTTGTAGTGACGGTCGGGAACGCATGTCGCAAGCATATATATATATATATACATCACACTTTAAACCGTTATCCAATGTAACAAACTTGCAACCAATGTATGGAATACATATTCATGTTCTTCAATATGTGTTTGAAAGAAACCAGGGCTTGTAACCGGTTTCGAAAACACCGGTAAATAAAGGTTAATACCGGTTTTTAGTAAAGGTTTCGTTCGGGGCGCGTCCGAAATGAAAGCGGTACCTAGAACCTTAATAAACCGGTTTAATCCAGAGCGACACGTGCACGCGTCGGCATCGATTGAAGTTTGTTTTGTTTGAACTATTCAAGTCACAACTTGTTAATGCTCAGAGATTGATGCATTTATTGACACGTTTGCTAGCGTCTAGTGAGTCAAGTTATTCAATTTGTAGTTGTGTACTGACACACTACTTCACTCACTCGCTCTGTAGTTGGAAAGAAACTGACATAAAATCATTATAAATTTGAATTGAAACGGCGAAGACGATGCGGTCAGTAAGAGCGAAATGAAACCCTTTAAAAACCGCTACATTGATTCAAAACCTATTTGATTTCGCTTTTTAGGAAAACCGGTTTTTTAAAGGTTAAGGTAGAGCCAAACCTAAGTAAAACGCTCCTAATGTACTTGATACTGATTTCGGTTTGAAAATTAACCGGTAAACAAACCCTGAAAGAAATTTTGTCCGTACATGCATAAGCAAAGATTCGGATGATTTGAAAACCATTTAAGGAAATTAATCGTACGAGTCAAAGTGTCAGAGCTGAATATGAAATGTTTGACATAATCATTCTACAGTGCATTGTACTTAGAATTTCTTCATTAATATTATAAATAATACACACAAATCGCAAATACATTCTATTTTAACTATTCAAAAACAAGAGATAAACTGAGCGACATAGTACTATGTACTTACATATATTAAAGCCAAACAGTGCACACACTAACAACTACATAATTATAATGTAACGAAGGTATACCAAAAAGCGCACACACACACACAACATGTCAACAGCTATACATATGTTATAAATATATAGCTTATGTTAAAATTACCGAATTTGCTTTCCAGGGTAGGGCTGAGGGGTGGACTCTTTTGAATCCGTGTCGGTATGTATGTTGGCAGCCCTGAAGGACAATATTTGTACGTCAGAGCGTTAAAGAGACTTAATTTTCAGGATATAGGGTAAACTAGTCAATTATTAATAATTTAAACAGAGCAATACAAAAAATCTCCTCGAAAGTTATAAACCATCAAAGTCCTAAAGTATTTTTTCCAATGTTTACTGCTATTTAAGCTATTTTATTACGATTTTTTCTTTATATATACTATAATATAGTCTCTAAAGTAAAGGCAAAGTGTATTTGTAGTTGCACTTAATAACAATCCAGTCTTACTACAACCAATGGTCATGAAGACAGTTTGAAATAGCGCGAAATCTTAAAAAATCAAAACAAAAATCATATTTATGCCTTTTTAAAAAATTTCAATGAACCAAAGCAAGCATGGTGAAGTATTTTTCATTTATCATCTATTTGCTTACTGAGACTTTAAAATAGCTTATTATGGCAGTTTTCTAGACTTGATAATTGACTTTATTACAAGCAGAAAGTTGAATTAAATTTGATTCACACATATAATTGCTGCAGAATAATCTGTACGGTGAGGATGTTAAATAAAGGTAGTATTTGAACTTCAACTTTCAATGAAGTAACGACCTATAACATAATGGAATGATCTAGCCAACACATATTTAGCACCACCCTTCTTAGCATTTAAAATATTTATGAAAACTGAATAAATTTAATACTGACCCTCGACCGGTGCCTGGAAATTCCCTTTAAAGTGTGGATTAATCAGCACTTTCTTGCCAGCTAGTCCTCCGGGTGGTAGATTAGGGGGTAATTGTACTGGCAACATTATCACTTCTTGTTCTCTTGGCTTTGGGCCTGGTCCAAATTTGTCATTTGGTCCCGGACCAAACTTATCCGGTACAGGCAATTGCTGTCTTATAGTCACTTGGGGCATATGATTGACGTTGTTTGGCACAATTTCCCTAATAGGAGGAGCGAAAGGCCTAGGATTAAAGCCGGGTCTCGGAAAATAAACAGGACGAGGCCCGAAAGGCCTTTCGTCCACGTTCGGCCTGAAATTCGGCCTCGGTCCGTTTGGACCGAATCGATTCTCGGGCCGGTACTGCATTTCCGGACGTTCGGGAGAAATCTCCGGGCCCATTTGGGGAGGCATTTGCGGCATTGGTTCTTGACGGAAATCCGGACGTTCCGGATGAGGACGCATTTCTGGGCGAATATCTGGTCTAATATCCGGGCCTGGTCTCATTTCCGGGCGTATATCAGGCCTTATATCTGGACGATTATCAGGGCGGAAGTCCGGTCTCATTTCCGGCCGCATGTCTCTCATCTCCGGGCGCATTTCTCGCATATCTGGGCGGAAATCCGGCCTAATGTCAGGCCTCATGTCTGGTCGCATTTCCGGGCGGATGTCGGGCCGGAATTCTGGCCGGATATCCGGATGGTGTAATTCCGGTCTGATCGGAGGTGCATTAGGTCGTATCTGTGGCGGTGGAAAGGAATGTCGCTGACTGAAGTTTCCCTGTTTACAAAAACGTAAGAATAAATAAAAACATAACTATAATTGCTATTTCTTCTTTCAAATGTTTATTACTTGAAAAAGTATTCATTTGGCATTGTGGGTTACCTACAAAGCGAAGAGATGGCGCTGCCTTGCAGCTTAAAGGCTAGGAAAATTTCGACGCGGCCATGAAGGCCGTGGTAGCATAATTGGTCAGTGCATTCGCCCGGATTGCGAAGGGTGCGGGTTCGAGTCCCGTCCGCTGCCTGGCCCGCGTGGATTTTTTTTTCTAGTAAAACTTTTCTTTAGATTTAAACACCCCCCTAAAGAGCGGACGCGACCTGAGAGACATTTGAGAAATAGGTATTTGAAAAATCTATTGCTGTCACGTATTGGCAAATACCGTGCGATAGGGACAACAGTAGCTAACGCTGAAAATTGCATATAAAAATAGCAAAATTCGAGGTTTGACTCTTGACGATTTTCTCCTTGAAAATTATGTAAAAGAAAATTTACCCATACAATAAGCAGATCTTGTACTAGGACTCTGTTTTGGTTTTTTGTAAATACTTATCAATGATATTAAATACCCTAGTACAACAACACGAACAAAATCATGGCCGAAACCTGTCGAAAAGGTACATTGGACGATCCACGGAGCACCGTAAAATGATCTCGTAGTCAAAAACAATATAAGTCATTTTTTGAACATTGAAAGTTACCTTTAACGCATACTGTATAAGGTCTTAATTAAAACGCATGCGTCCAAGTGTTATGACAGTTCGAAATGCAAGCTCGTAAAATTTTACGACTTATTGCTATACGAGGAAGAATATAGACCTTATAACTTTGACTCTACGCGCAATTCTGAATGCGCTGTTAGCAATACAGCTGATACGGACCGCGAATATATAAGACGGCTATATTGGCACGACGATACATCTGAATATCACAAATATTTTCTATTAAATAAGTTTATAGTAAGTATAACAACAATGAGCTCGATGGCGCAGGTGGTTAGCGCGTTCGGCTGCGATCGTTGAACTTAAGCAACTTTCGCAGTGGTCGGTCATTGGATGGGTGACCAAAAATTACTATCACGAGCTCCTCCGTGCTTCGTAAGGCACATTAAGCCGTTGGTCCCGGCTGCATCTGCAGTCGTTAGCACCCACCAATCCGCACTGGGCCCGCGTGGTGGGTCATGGCCTAATCTCCCTATTCCATCCATAGGGAAGGCCTGTGCCCCAGCAGTGGGGACATTAATAGGCTGATGATGATGATTACAACAAAATTTGCTTCAAATGCGATAAATTAACAAACATTGATTAGATACCTGTCGAAAAAACGACACTTTACGTACTACAAGTATTATTATTTTTTCGCATTATTTCATGCAGTTCTGTTTCATTTTGATCTTGACTTTTCAACGGTCCGCGTGACTGTAAACTAAGAAGTGCTTTTTTTATAGCCAGGTAGGCAAATGACTCTACCCCACCTGATGTTAAGTGGTGATAAAGTCTAAATGCGAAGATAGCTAGTACAGCAGTTATAAACAGCTTGTGAGTGGTGTTCAAGCACTTCTTGATTGGGACACATTTTGAGCGCACGTGGTGTATCTAGGGTATATATTTCGTTGATGCTTATTGAATGAGCACACTGGGCGTCTTAATTAGTGTTAAAAATTAGTTTATATTCGTAATTTTTGAGGGCTCCTAGTTTCATATTCATCATTATGTTGTGTATTTCGGTAAAAAAACCAAATCAAAAACTCTATTTTCAAGTTGCCGCGAAAAACGTATCTCTGGACAATATGGCGTCTCACTGGTGTGTGACGTCACACGACTGTCATTAAAACGTCAAACCATACAATCAAATGTCACTTTAACCGGAAATTTACTTGCGTGTGACGTCATTTTAGGCTCCACCAATCCGAAGCGTTTTGGGTCACGTGACAATAGACAAGAAAATAGTTAATAGTAAAAAACCTGCCAATATTCATTCTAAGTACAGATGCTAACAATTGGCACTTTTTTTAATACTGTCAAATATCCTATTATATTTTATGTATGAAAATATTTTTTACGTGATAAAAGCCATGAAGGAATCATTTGAAAACGTTTTTATGCAATAACATTGCCTGCTTCGCCTCGAAACCTTGGAAAAAAGCCAAAAATAAACAAATTGTTATCACTACTTAAGATATTTAGTGTGGAGATTTAATAAGCATTTACAAAAAAAAAAAACAAAACATGAGGCATAGTATAACTGCTTATTACTTTTTGTGTAATTTTTTTTTACACATCTTATTTTCCAAGAGGAAATCGTCCAGAGCCAAACCTCTAATTTAGTAATTTTTTTTACGCAATTTTCAAAGTTAACTACTGCTATCCCTTTCACACGGTATTTGCCAATTCGTGACAGCAATATTTTTTTCAAATATCTATTTCTCAAACGTCGCTCAGCTCGCGTTGGTTCTTAATAAATAAAAATAAAACTAATAATACGTCTTTCAATCTTGACCCACCCGACTTCCTAATCATGAACTAGATATTATTTTTTGGTTCCATTTTTGATTTTTGAAGTCGGTTTTAGTTTTTTGTTTAAAAACAATTTATTTCATCCATTTAAGTGAAAATTACATCGTCCAAATAAACATTAACACATTAGATGGAGAAATCGGTGAACATGCATAAAAATATATCGTATGTGCCTTTGAAATTTGAAGGTTTCCCTCGATTTCCCCGGATTCCACCATCAGATCCTGACTTGTTCCAATGGGGCCACCTCGGAAGTGCACTCTTTCGAATAAAAAAAGAATTTTGGAAATCGGTCCATAATTGACAGAGAAATCGGTGAACATACATAAAAAAAATATACAGTCGAACGAGAACCTCCTCCTTTTTTAAAGTCGGTTATAATTTTAAGAATACATTACCCCTAGCACGAACCAATATCGAATTCGTATCGTTCGCGAGTCCGAAATGTCATTGTGAAACGTGTACTGATTTTTAGTTCTCGTTACGTACTTTGTGCAGCTGCTGTTCAAGTTTCCATACAAAAATTGACATTGACATATCGGTTTGCAAACTATTCGAGTCCGATAATGGTTCGCGCTAGGGGTAGAGTACGCACCCTTGGCGCGTTGTTCCGCCTATAGGGGTGCGTGTACCGGTAGTGGGGATTCCTCCACGTGGCCCGCCCCCGGCCCCAAGGGAGCCCCGGCCCAGGCCCAGGGCCCATGCCGGCCCCGGGACCGCCGCGGATTAGGACCTTGTCTGTGTGGACAAACGGCGACATTGTCAATGCGATACACTATACATAAATCTATACATATAATAAAGTGGTAGGAAAGTCAAAACTGTACATTGAATATTTTTTCAAAAAGAATACTCGGGGTGTGATCTACGATCGATACCGAAGCCAAAAATATAGTTTTTAAAATTTTTGTCTGTTCGTCTGTATGTCTTACTTCAAATTTGGCACGAATATTATTAAGAAACGTGTCAACATATAGGCTACATATTATCACGCTATCACCTCCGGGGAACGAGCGGTGAATGGTCAAAAAGGATGTTCGATTAACTAACTCCAAGCGTACCGAGTCGCGGGCGGCGCTTGTAAGTAAATAAAAAAATAGTTTGCACATCAGCCCCCCTAGCTAGCATAAGCACCGCGATATTATTATATTCCATTTTTATTACGCTCAACTGTCAAATTACTATGGAGTTTGACAATTACCAGCGATAAAAAAACATGATATAATGTAAATTGTAATGCTCATGCTACAGGGACTGAAGTGAAACTTAGTTTTTAAATAAACTAACATTAGGCGGTGCATAAAACATAGGAGAATGGAACAGCGCACGCATCACTCATACATCTTAATATATATAAATCTCGTGTCACAATGTTTGTCCTCAATGAACTCCTAAACCACTGAACCGATTATAATAAAATTCGCACACCATGTGCAGTTCGATCCAACTTGAGAGATAGTATAGTTTAAATCTCGAATTATAGTCGCAATTTTAATTTATTGCAAATTATTACTTTTGGGCGGTACGAAGTTCGCCGAGTCAGCTAGTATGTATATATATTAAATAGTGTCGAGTGTGACGCTCGTAACGTTTCAGTCTTGGCCAACTTGCCCTTTTACTTCTATGCTCGTCGCAGAGTTGAGCACGCATCTCTTTCACACACACACATACATGCAGATATAGTCGTGTGGCGCTCGTAAAGCTTTTCCATTTCATTTCTATACAATTTTTCGATTTATAAGATGTAAATAGAAAAATCCTATGAAAAAGATAAAATGGAGATAAGTCCGAAAAGAAGTTTAACTTCAATAAATATTTCCAACAGCACACCAATTAGCTTAGCCCCAAAGTAAGCACTGTAGGCTTGTGTTATGAAATGCTATGGTAACGGATAGAATACATGTACTGATACATATGTAAATATATTTATATAAAAATACATATTAAACAACCGTGACTGGAGTACGAATGTTCATATTAATCACACAAACATCTGCCCACACCGGGATTCGAACCCGCAGACACCTTCATATAATATTTACAGTCAGCAATGTCTTTCATGAAATGACAATAAAAAATACTATTATTACAAGTTATTATTCTTTACTAGCCGTGCCCTGCAGTATTACCCGCGGTTTATTAGGGATGTTTTCCTGCAGTAAAACGTAGCCTATGTGTTAATCCAGGGTGTCAGCTAACTCCATACCTTTTATTAAAATCGCTCCAACCGTTTAGAAGTAACAATCACACACTCACAAACTTTCGCCTTTATAATATTAGTCTAATAAAGATCTCACTCCCCTTATCCCTAACCCAGACAAGCAGAATGGAATCAAAATTCATATAATTTTTCATTATTTTTGCAGCAAATTTGCTAAATCTCAATTCAACCAAAACAATCCCAAAACGTCAGTCAATTTTAAATTATTGTATGGGCTTTAACTACTTTTAGTTAAATTAAGATTTCACAACCCTAAGATACATTTGCAGCAAATTTGCCAAATCTCGATTCAACTAACACTAGTTTTACCTATAGGAAAATGTCAAAACATCAATGTCAATTTGTTTAGTTGAATCGAGATTTAGCAAATTCGCTGCGAGTGGACCTTAATCTTCTTTTGTTTCACTTTATGATTTAACTCACCTAGTGTGTCGGGTATGTCGCGAACGATGGGTGCTCGCTGAGTCCTCTCGCAACGAAACCTTGCTGGAGGCATCTCACCTTCTGAATCAAATTTCAAATTCAAATTCAATATCGTTTATTCAATCTACACTGTTATAAGCACTTGTCAATGTCGAGAAGCTACGCCATCGGTTCGCAAATCTACGGCGGGAGAAACTCAACAAGGGCTATTATTTTCTCACTGTTTTATATACAGTCGTCAAATTTAAAAATGACTTCAATATGAGATTACTCATTAAGTCACATTTCATTACTTATTAATATTCGCAGTGGTCAGTCATTCTCGAGCTCCTCCGTGCTTCAGAAGGCACCTTAAGCCCTTCTCGGCTATTTCTGCAATTGTTAGCACTGACCAATACACTCTGAGCCCGCATGGTAGGTCATGGCCCAATCTGCCAATGCCATCCATAGGGAAGGTGTGTGCCCCAGCAGTGGGGACATTAATAGGCTGATGATGATGAATGAGAAGATGGTTTAGAAAACTAAATGAATGCATTTAATCCATCAATGAAGATGATTTTTGAATATTCCTTTATAAAAATTTCAACTTCATACAAGTGTGGCACAGTAAATCTGAATTTGTAGATTTTATTTCTCAATTTTTAGCACATATTGGGTGTCCGCTATTACACAAAATAAAATAAAAACATATCTGAAATGCATGCTCATTCATAACTTCAAAAAGATTGCACCATATTAGATAATTATTTGTCCATTATTTTTATCAGTCAGGCTTATGTTTGGTGAATAAATAAATTAAAAATTCAATTAGAAACCAACAGATAATAAGGAGTTGGGATTTTAATTATTTAATAAGTATGGTCCTCTCTAGGGGAAGGACTCAGATAGTCAATTTCTTTTTTGACATGAATAAATTAATTCCTTTTCAGTCTTTTATAATAGAACTTTAGCATGCACAGCAGAATTTTATACTACTAGTATGCATTAAGTAAAAATAAATCTCCATTTGCCATTCAGAAATGAAAAATAGAAGAGAAAAGAATAGAAGGTTACAAATAAAGAATTTGAATCTTAATATTCAACTTACTTGATAGTGGCACATCTGTGGGAACTATCTGCGGTGACTCCAGAGGGGCAGCGGGCTGTAACAGGCATTTTTATTAATGGTTTATAACAATATCTGTTTAAAACTTTCATGGTCACTAACATTATTGGAGATTGCTACCATGTTCCTTGTAGATAGCATTGCCTGTTTCATTATATTGTTCAGAACATGTATAATTCTTTCAAATCTTGAAATGCCAAGCAATTGCATGAAACATCAAATGAACCTAATAAGAAATACAATGTCAAAATTGACTGATTTGTATTAGGTTGTGTAAATTTGCCACATAAATGTAGTAATATCATTATTTGCAAATTAATAATAAGAGACTTACTTCACTTTTAAGTTTGTTTGCTACAGTGCTAAGTTTACTATGAAAAATACCAATGAACTAAAACTATAATACAAAGTGAATACTCACAATAGCCGGGGGCACTACTGCATGTTCAGGTTCAAATACGGGAGGTTCGTATGGAGCGTACGTCGAATGCTCTGGCAGTGGAGCATTGGGAACCTCAACTGTTATGTTGGGTACCACACATTCTGTTTCTGCAATCTGCTGGTACGGTGTCGGTTGCTAGGAACAAACAGAGATTTTAAACATTTATGTGTAAATATGACCAGGTACAATCAACTTTCATTCATGTAATTAAAGCCATTTAAATATTAAATAAATGGAAGGAAGCAGATCATGACTAAAGCTTAACATTCAGATTTAATGTGAATTGAACTATAAATCTAAATGAATTAAACAGTCACATAGCCACATCAAATCATCTACTAGTAAATAATTCAAATTGGTGTCCAAATGTCTGATACACTAATTTATCTTCACATTCATCAGTATTGGTCAATAAATAAAACTTACCGGAGCATTATACTCCATAGAATGAGTCGTATAGTCGGCAGAAACCATATCTGCATTGCCGTAACTTGGTCCAACTGAAGTAGGAACATTTTGGGAAGAATTGGTCTCGTAATCATCAGCTAAGAGCTGTTCTTCTTCTTCGTTGCCTAAATTGTAGTCAGCAAGGCTATGATCACCTAAATCATCTCCAAGCAAGTCCTCACTGCAAAGATAATTCATGAAATTAATCCCATGTGACGCCGCAATGGAATAATAGATAACAATAATCGTGACTTGGAATCAGTATATTTCTTACAACACAAATTATGCGACTCTATAAGGAATAATTAAAATCAACAATGAGGTTTATTTCAACAAAGATTTATCAGAAAATAAGGAAAATGCACAAATACTAACTTGTCCGACATGTTGACAAATTTCAATGTTTTTTTTTAATTTCTTTTTGTTTCATAAATTATCCCATATCAAAGTCAAAGCTTCGAAATATCAGACAGCCTCTTTTTGTTTCGTATCCAAATGTTGGCATAGGTGACTACGGTACATCATCCTTGTCATTCTCTATACAGAATGAAAAGGAAAGACTAATGTTAAAGTTAGTTTTAAGTTTAGAGAATCATGGCAAAATCGACTCCAATCGAAACTTACAAAATTTAATGTTTAGGGTAAAGATAACTGTGCATGTGTGCTTATCGTTGTTTAGCTTAGGCCGTATACAGAAAGAAAACTGGAAGCCGACCAGCGCTTCTTAGCGCTAGTCCTTACCGGTAACCAGTGCAAAGCTTTTTTATGGACCAGCGTCGACACGCGCTGGTCAGCGCTGGCACCGCTCTTTGAAATAAATGATAGGCATGCGTCCGATATATCAAAACGAATCCAAAATCCGATTTCAAACACAAATCGATACCGAACGATTTCTCAACAAGAAAATCCGATTTCAGAAATCTAACCAAACCAAAACGCTAGCGATCTAATACCACCACAAGTATCCAAATGTAAATCGGATTCGAAATTCGTGCTTTCGTTTTCGGAAGTCAGATTTCGTGCTCGGAAGTCCGATTTCGGTTTGCTGTTTACGGAAATCTATTGTTCTTCTCTAAGGCGGGATTATTTATTACTGAAAAAAGATGTCTAAAAACATCAAAAGTCGAGCAACTGACATTTTTTTGAACGCTAACCTGAAGTAATTAGGTTTGATTTTGTAAATGGTTTGAAAAATAATAAAAACAAACAGAAAAACCAAAAAAATTACTAAAAAAATATGTAAAAAGAAATCATTTAACATAAGCCGATTTTTAAATGCGCCGCAAAAGTTTTACTCTTAACGGTAAAGATACCTTTTCTGCTAGTCCTAAGCCACAGAATATATACTCTTGCCTAAGCCTAGATTTAAAGCATAAAGGAAAATCGCGCAAATCTACGAGTATCCTTGCTTCGTACAATTAATTGTTTGTGATTGTCGTTAGCTAATAAAACCAAATCATATCACAAACTAGTGAATTGGCTTAGTTCGGCACATCTGAAATCGGATATCTAAAAACGGATTTTAAAATCGATTTTGAAATCTGAAATCCGATAAATATCCGTTTGCGTTCAAAACCAAAAACGCCCATGTCTAATAAATGAACAACTAGGCTTCAATCTGCTTCCTTTAAGTAACTGTTACCAGCGCTGACAAGTGCTGACAAGCGCTGACAAGCGCTGGTTGGCCTCTAGCTTTCTTTCTGTATACGGAAGGCCGTAGCATTGGTATATGCTCTAAGGAGAGAGCATATATCAATGCTTTAAGTACCGTTTGGGCACACTACTAGAAAGAGACAGCTTTCACTAATTTAGCTTGACTCTTCGAATCGCTTTTGAGGGTCTCGTGAGCATGCTAGATATCGTACCGCTTATATTTTTGTTCTGCCTCTTTATTAATGGATCCGCGTTCTACTTTTTATATTTACTTACTTAAAATCACGGAATCCTGTTTTTTCTAATCTACTATATTCTTCCCTATAGTCATAGTGGTTTGCCCATGTAAGATTTATTCCTTACAATTTTTTGTTTAAAAATCCGCGAATTTGTAACCATCTTCCTACGTTTTTAATTTCCTTATTTGGCAACATTGGTCAACTGTCAAGTGTGTGATGTGTGTCAGTCAGCGAGAGCGAGGGTTCCTAAAAATCTACATAAATCCAAACCGGCAAAAATAGTTTTGCTCAGTGATTAGTTACTTAGTGAATAAAATGGAATCTGATGGTGAAATAGAATATCTCGACGAAGATGCCGATATTGTCCAGCAATGTGTACAACCGCCACCTCCATTTACAACTGATATAGTAGAAACGCCAAAATTCGACGAGTCTGCTTCGAATCAAACACCTCTTCTTGTTGAACGCAGAAAATCTGAAAGAAAAAGAAAGAAGAAAGAGAAAACCGAGGAGCATGATTCAGATTACAACCCTGATGAGGATAATATGCCGCCGAGTCCGCCCAGTCCACCAGCCACTAAGAAAAAGAAACCGTCAACACGAAAATCGGCTCTTTACAAACCTTTGGTTACTATAGTGAAAACAGTTGGTTCGCAGGCAAAGTCTATAGTAAAAACACCTGAACAGGTGATGTTGAAGCGCAAAGATCTGGACATACGGATACCAGACTATGACGACCCTCTATGTTTACCAGTCAGAGCTGTAAGAAGTATCGCAACTGATATGGATAGATTGAAAAAATGGAATAACGCATGCATTGAGCATTTGAAACACAGTGACAATTTATTAAAGCCAGAAAGAGGCCAAACCAAGAGCTCTACTCGGAGTGTTGTGCTAAAAAACATGATTCACAAGGATTCTGGTAAGCAAAGTAATTTATTCACGTTGTAATTTATTCACATTGTAATTTATTCACATTGTAATTTAATGAAGTTGTAATTTTTTCACATCATAATTTTTTCACACCATGACTTGAGTAAGGCTAGCATAAAATGGCAATATGACACGAGAGTTTTGTTCCAAAACAAAACGCACAATTCAAACAAGGTTCACTGTGGTCTTTTGTAAGTAATGTGGAAGTTACTTAACCAGGGAAAATTTACTAAGCTATATCTGTATATGTTAAAAAACTCTTTTGTAAACTTTAATATTATTGTCAAATAAATAATTGTAAGATTGTTTCAAGATTTTATTTAATCTTCAAACTATTCTTATTTTCAGGTCGGTCTGAGACTGTAATATGGACGAAAACTTCTGTTGTCAACAGGGAGGGTGCGAGGAAGTCAGAATTATTCCAATGTGTGCTACCTAAATTCCGAGAAAAGAACACCCTTGACCCAATAAACATTGTCAATGATAAGAAGAAGAAGTTTCATCACAAGAACGAAGTTGTATTGACTAAGGAAGAGCATAAGGGCTGTGATGTCTTGGTTGCATACAATAGCCACGATACACTTTCCGCAGTATATAAATTTGATAATGCAGAAAGGTAATTTTTTCCATAAATTGTAACAATCCTGAACTATTGCATGAGCCATCTATAAGACCTATGCCAGATGGATGTAATCCAACATACCAAGTAAGGTGACCTTGCCCATTGCCGTCTATCTAGATGAAGGATGTAATCAAATTTTGATTTGACCTTCAACGCCCTTGGATTACGGGCGCGTGATTACATCCGCGGTTGGAGCGCGTGGATTACAACCGTTTGGCCGGTGGATTACATCCAAGCAAAGACAGTTGTGCTGCGGCAGTCAGCGGATGCGCACGTATGCATGTAAAAATTGTCCGAAGACCAGAATCGCGAACGCGATATTACTAGCGAACTAATTGATCTCTATAGAGATCTCCCATGCTTATGGGACATTACGTCGGAATCATATAAAGATGCTCGTCAAAAAAATGCATGGGAGATATTACTCGAAAAGTATAGGGAGTTGGACATAAGTTTGAATGGCTGTCGTCATTTGCTGTTGTAACCAACGCTTCATCCACATTCGCTTTTTTGTTGTTTTTCGTCGTCTATTGCACACACAACTGTTAAGGCAAAGCCCACATTTTAAAATTTAGACAAATTTGGAGCCATTTCTCCAACACGGTTACTAATACAGTCCGCGCATGATACACGTGCATACCTGTTTTCACGCCAGAACACGGCTCGGGATTGCGTATTGGCGCGTGAATTACATCCGTGTAGCCGAAAATTATAACGCGGATGTAGACCAACTTCCCGTCAAGGCCACCTTGGTTGGAACGCTGGATTACATCCGTCTAGAATAGCTTTAATCTGTACCCCAATTTTAAGTATGGACAACTTAGCAAGTAAGTATTCATATTGTCATGTCAAAGTTTCTGTGATATCTTCTATAGAAACTTTGACATGGCGAAGTGAATATGATCTGTGTTGTAGAATAAAATACTTTCATTTAATAGAGTTTGGTACCATAGACTTGCTGAGAGGTACCATAGACAAATGGAGCAAGCGAGTGACAGTCTGGTATCCTAGAGATGAGAGAGCGTAGGAGAGGACGCCAGTTTAGAAGATGGGTGGATGAAATCAGCTGTACTCTGGGTCCGTATTGGACAAGAGTTGCAGCTGACAGAGGTGAATGGCGTCGGTTAGAGGAGGCCTTTGCCAAAAGGCACACAGAACTGCGTGACTTATTGTAAAACTAGCAAACCAGTGAACCAAATGTTCACCAAAACCTGATTTAAAAAAAAAATGTATTTAATTAATTGAGAACTTCGGAGATTTTGTGTGGTTCCGTTTGAAATTCGTGATTTCTCGAAAACCGGAAGTGCTACGTTACTCAAATCCGGTTTTTAGTCTTATCAGACTATTCTTAACTTATAACTTAAATATTCTTTTTATCTATCTCTTACGGTTTGGCCACTGAAACAGCACCACAGACAGACAGACGGACGGACGGACTTGTCTAATAGATAAGAGATGTATAATCAATGTTATGTTAAGAAAGTTCTGAAATAAAGGCTGTTTTACTTTATTTTTATTTTTAATAGAGTTTAGTCTTGTATAAATAGTAGAAATTTTAAAGGAGATTGCTGAGCTTCCATACATGTTTGGCCTAAAAACCAATAACCATGAAAAATTGTTTCCTACATTCGAAATTATATATAAATTACCGTAGAAACGAATATTATCGACGGCCACTCCTGAGAACTTCTATAAACCATATACACTGAATGATTTTGAGGTTATGTTTGCAAATAGGCACATAGGTATTAGAATAATAAAAACCAAATAACTTATATAGGAAAATAGGGCAATCAAGCCAAGTACCTACCGATATTATGTATTAGATTCAGGTATATAGAGCATGTAAAATAACAGATATGTGCATGTTTTTAAAAACACGAACAGAAACTGTGTGATGATTGTGAATGAGCCACAGATTAGAGAGAATTTTTAAACTCTCGTTAATCAAAGAAAGCTAAGAGCTGTAGGTTATACAGCCATATCTTCAGCAGCTTCATTATTTTTGTTATGTTTTTATTATAACCATATTTTAGATTTTTAGTGTATCACACCTTATAATGTGTTTATTTAGGTGTTTGGCAAAAAATGTACGGCAATAGACTTTATGATGTCGCCTACCATCTATATTAATTGTCTTAGCACATTTGCATGTAGTAAAAATGATAATAAAGTTGTGGATATTAATACCACCCGTGTAATAAAAAAATTATTTTATCAATCTTTACAAAATAGATTTGTTTTGATGTTATATAAACAACCTCGATCAGTCTTTGTGAATGTTACTACACCCATAGCCAATAAAAATGATTCGTATGTTTTCCAAACCGGTAAAAATAGAAGTCCTTTTTTAAAATTAATATATTATTTAAAGGTGGCCGTTAAAATCTAATGACTGTAAAATAAAGTATAAATTACGCCAAGAATTACTGTATATGTCAATATTTTATTTGCATTTAGGCCAATTTGACCAATCTCCTTTGTCATCAGAGTTGATCGGGACAGAAGTCCTGAGCGTTGCCTTCGCGAGGTGGCGAGCTGCCGCGTGTGCGCGCCCTGCTACCAGGCCTCCTGGAGGGGCACCAAGACCAGGGCTGATAAGAGTAAGCCAGTATTCTAGCTTATTTATTTCAGCATCATCATCAGCCTACTAATGTCCACACTGCTGGGGCACAGGCCTTTCCTATGGATGGATTAGGGAGATTGGACTATGAAGCCGGTGTTCATCATCATCATCACCAGCCTACTAATGTCCCCACAGCTGGGGCACAGGCATTTCCTATGGATGGAATAGGGAGACTGGGCCATAACCCACCACGCGGGCCCAGTGCGGATTGGCGGGTGCTAACGACTGCAGATGCAGCCGGGACCAACGGCTTAATGCGACTTTCGAAGCACTGAAGAATGAGAGATAGCAAATTTTTGGTCACCCATCCAATGACCGACCCATGACATTAACCTTTTGACATTTTCTTTGGGTTAAACGAAGTTTTAGTTAAATCGAAATTTGCTGCAAGAGGGCCTTAGGAACCGATCGTTAGCTTAATTAAATTGTGGGTTACCTACAATGCGAAGAGATGGCGCGGCCTTGCAGCTTAAGGCTAGGAAAATTTCGACGCGGCTAATAGGGCCGTGGTAGCATAATGGTCAGTGTATTCGCCCGGATAGCGAAGGATGCGGGTTCGAGTCCCGTCCGCTGCCTGGTCCGCGTGGATTTTTTTTTTCTAGTAAACTTTTCTTTAGATTTAAACATCTAGCAGTTGAATGCTTAAAAAATAAATGAAATCATAATTAAATTTTGTTTGTATTTTTATAGAAAAGTTGCTCTGCCCCATATGCCGTCGCGTCGCAATAAGCGTGTACAACCTCCTGAGGCACGTGCGCTCTCATTCCGACGCCGAAGTGAGACAACACAAGCGTGCCCTCTCGCGAGCTCTCGCACAGGTAACTGAGATGCCATGATCGTCTACAAACCCCACAGTATATCGTCGCTGTCATTTCAAAATATCGTATGTAAAGTTAAAAAAATAAAAAAGTATTGTTGTGATGTTATACGTATTGTTACAAATACCTGGGATCTAGTTTAAATCTCTTCAAAGGAGACAGTTTTTTGTGTTTCCTGAAATTACCATATTTATACTTACGACTTTTTGAATGACAGCGACGATATCTAAAACAGAGCCTTTTCTTCCTTGTCAACATTATGATACTAGTGATGGTCATAGCTCTTGCGTTGCGGCACTTATTGTCAAAATAGGAAAACCACGATAGTATGGAATGCCTACATCGCGCTAACGAAATCTCCACACACCATCATATATACTCTGCTGGTCCGTCGGTCGGGCGGGCTTTGGGGGGAGATCTTCATATTGGCTGGGTGTAGGAAGGTCAAAGGGGAAGATCTTCCTCCGAGCTGGGTGATGATAGCTCAGGGGCCGCGGCCCGACTGATGTTGGTCGGGCATTGTATATATGAAGAGTTAGCTTTCGAATTTCATTTGCGCGATGTAGGCATGTAGGATTCCATACTAATATTGATCGCAGTGCAGGTAACGCCATCTCTTGAGGATGGTAAGTAATGATTTTCCTACATCCGTTGTATATCTGTGGGGCCTATAGATGTCGCCGCCACGCTGGGTTTAAGGATGAAATGAGGTTAAAAAGAAGATTGAGATTAGCGCTCTCCGTCTGCGATCGTGGAAGTTAAGCAACTTCCGCTATGGCGCGACATAGGATGGGGTGAGCTCGTCGCCGCCTGCCGAAGGAGCTCGATGCTGCAGGTGGTTAGCGAGTTCGGCTGCGATTGTTGAAGTTGAGCAACTCGCAGTGGTCAGGCATTGGTTGGGTGACCAAAAATTTACTATCTCGAGCTTCTATGTGCTTCGAAAGGCACGTTAAACCGTTGGTCCCGGCTGCATCTGCAGTCGTTAGTACCTACCCATCCGTACTGGGCCAGCGTGGTGGGTCATGGCCCAATCCCCCTATTCCATCCGTAGGGAAGGCCTGTACACTAGCAGAGGGAACATTAATAGGCTGATGATGATGATGAGTTCGCCGTCTCGCTTACATTCTGTAAGGTGTCCGAGACAGCATGATACAATAAGCGCGTACAAACTGACTGCTGAGACACTATATGATAACTCGCCGTCTTGCTCGCACCCGCCTAGATGTGGGAGATAGCATGGTACAGTGTCTGACTATTTGGATGAGTTCCTTCCGAAGATCTGAGCAATGTTCGCTTCAATCTGACCACGGAAAGAGAGAAAGCGTTGCTGCATCCTTTAACTAACGAACTATTGGCCGCCCGATAGCATCGTCTATCTCTCTCATTTATCTGCCCGTTTTACTTGACACTTGGAAAAGGAGTCAGTTAGTCCGTTCTCTATTTCTATGATGCTGGCACTTTATTTGGCTATTCGTGTTTGATATTCGTAAACTTTACAAAATTTTGTCCTTATCATGCTTTATTAGGAATGGAAAGGATAGACTGGTATCAAGTTAAATAATCTATACTTATAATAAATCTGTAGAGAGGTCAATTCTGTACATGAAATATATTTTCAAAATTACTATCAGGGGATGATTAGTGATCGATACTGATGCCAAAAATGCAATCAGTAAAATTTTTGTCTGTCTGTCTGTCTGTCTGTCTGTGTGTTTGTTCCTTATAGAAACAAAAACTACTCGACAGATTTTAATGAAACTTGGTACAATTATTCTTCATACTCCTGGGCAGGTTATAGTATACTTTTCATCACGCTACAATCAATAGGAGCAGAGTAGTGTAGGGAAATATTGGAAAAACGGGAGAAGTTACTCCATTTTTTAAGCTTCCGTCGCGTGTGCAGCTTTAATGGTTAAAGTTACATAGAAATCATGTATGACGGAAATATTCTACATAAAATTGTCTAAAAAATATCTCGCAACAGCATATGTCTATCTTTTATGTTTGACTCACAATAACACGTGTAATTATATAAATAAAGTTATTCTTTATAACACAAGCCTGAGAACAAAAACTATAGTTTACACTACAGCTCTACACCGAAGCGAAGCGAGGGCGGGCCACTAGTATTAAATATGAATAGCGCCGACACAATATGACATGAATGTAGTATACATTTTTTTTGAAGTTATACTTCTTTAGGCGCTTTGTGAAAAAATATGAGAGTGAAATTTAATGATGTGCGCGCATCACTGTAACACAAAAGTAACACCATGAAGTTGACAGCTAAATTGCACATTAGGTCTCGAAAAAAAGCTACCAACAAAATAGAAATAGGACTTTTTGGTGGGATCGGAAAGCGTCACTTTAGCAGTTTTGTTTTTCTTGTTAAGAATTGTGTTGTGGCGGATGTTAGTGTATTATAATGGTGGATTATTAACCACTAAGTGTTCGGGAACATGCACAAGTGTTGGCAAGTGAAACAAAATAGCGGAAAGTGTCTTTCGACGTTCCCTCAAGAAGTCCACGGGGAGGTTCCAGTAAATCCCCATACATTTGCTAAAATATGGAAAAGGGGGATTGACTTGACTGCCACTTACTTTGACTAGATTTATTACTTTGACCACGAGTGCTATAGAATTTGTAAACATTTTAACACTTGACATTGGCTAAATGCACAAGCCGTTCGAAGCCATTTAGGAAAAAAAAGAAAAAAGAAAAATAGAAATAGAATCTCTATTGGTCGCGCGCGCATGTTGGTACACTCGTCACCTCTGAGCACTGTTTTCATATTTATAATATTTAATCACATATTTCTATATTCACAACACGTTTTAGTTTCATACAAGTGCGAACTATATATGTGCTAATAAATTATATTCAGGAGTGTTTTAAATTCAATATTTTGATTATTTATTTATTTTTTCAAATTAAAACTGAACTTTATTGACTGTTTTGACTGAATCCTCTTCGAGTCCTTTTATTATTCTATTGCAATTAATTATTTGCATGCAATTAAAATCAATTTTTTACTGATGCCAAAGAAGTACAACTAACACGCACCCAAGTTTTTAATGAAATGAACTTGTTCAACATTTTTCGGACAGATGGCGCTGTAGTAAGTTTGGCATTATCCTCAACTAATGCTGTACCGAGGAGCTCGATGGCGCAGGTGGTTAGCGCGTTCGGCTGCGATCGTTGTTGTCAAGCAACTTTCGCAGTGGTCGGTCATTGGATGACCGACCACAATTTTCTATCTCGAGTTCCTCCGTGCTTCGGAAGGCACGTTAAGCCGTTGGTCCCGGCTGCATCTGCAGTCGTTAGCACCCGCCAATCCGCACTGGGCCCGCGTGGTGGGTCATGGCCAAATCTCCCTATTCCATCCATAGGGAAGGCCTGTGCCCCAGCAGTGGGGACATTAAGAGGCTGATGATGATGAATGCTGTACCTATTGTTTCTAGGTGGTGGACTATCATTACAACTGTCGGATATGTCAAAAGAAGCTGCAAAGTATCAAGGATTTGAGGGAACACGTGCGCACGCACAAAGGTGAGAATCGTGCACTTATTATCTATCAAAATAGCTTATTCGATTATGGCTGTGGAGCTCGATAGCGCAGGTGGTTAGCGCGTTCGGCTGCGATCGTTGAAGTTAAGCAACTTTCGCAGTGGTCGGTCATTGGATGGGTGACCAAAAATCTTCTATCTAAGTAATAAAAGTAACTAAAGTAAACTAATTATAATCATTATCATAGAAGACCTCCGTGGCCGAGTGGTTTATACGCCGGGTTTCATGGCGTCGCCGACTCGAGAGGTCCCGGGTTCGAATCCCGGTGGGGGCAGATGTTTGTGTGATGAATACGAGCATTTGTACTCCAGTCATGGATGTTTAATATGTATTTCATATAAATATACTTATATATGTACAATATATGTATTCTGTTACCCTAGTATCCCATAACACAAGCCTTTACAGTGCTTACTTTGGGCTAATTGGTGTGTTAAAAAAAAATTTAACCTCATAATCTAATACATTCTGTAGTAGAACTCGGTTCCTCAAGTTGTCCATGTTTCAGCAAATGCCTAATGAGAGTTTATGAATGATTTCGAACACAACTAGCATTTTGTCATTGCTGGGCGTTCTGGGGCATTCAATGTATGGGGAACGAGCAATGTCCTTTGTTTAATTAATGCTAGTAGCTAGAAGCCGCCCGCGATTTCGTACGCGTGGAGTTAGTTAGAAATAAAGGTTCACTGCTCGTTCCCCGTAGGTGATAGCGTGATAATATGTAGCCTATATGTTGACCCGGCTTCTTAATAATATTCCTGCCAAATTTAAAGTAAATCCATGCAGTACTTTTTGAGTTTATCCCGGAAATACATACAGACAAACAGACAAAAATTCTAAAAACTATATTTTTGGCTTCGGTATCGATTGTAGATCACACCCCAAGTATTCTTTTAATAAAATATTCAATGTACAGTTTTGACTTTCCTACCATTTTATCATATTTATATTATATGTATGTATGGTATGTATATATTTAATATATGTAGTTATATACATTTTTACATCCTTTGTTTCTTTTATAACACTAGCGACTCCAGTTTCATTCAATCCTCTCGATCCAAAGGTTGTCTGGAAGAAATCGCTTTTAGCAATAAGACCGCCCATTGAATCACTGTTTAAACAAAATGTATTTACCCCATTTATGTACTGTACTGTGGTGTTTTCAATAAAGAATTGTGTATTGTATTGTATATGTATAGATATATTACTTTAAATAAACTAATATTTTGTTTACAGGTACTACAACTTTCAAATGCGAAATCGGCAATCACACAACCACCTGATTGCGTTGTTTGTAATATTAAGATATTTTGATAATTAATAAATATTTTCAATGCATAATTGTGTGTTTATTTCTTATTTTTTTGCACTTTACCGAATAGTTTAGGTAAAATGACGAGAGATGGCGTTACGTGTATTCGATGTAAGCGTCATTGAGATTCCCTTATACTGGGCAGCTTCCACGAAAATCACACTAATATTATAAAGGCGAAAGTTTGTGAGTGTGTATGTTTGTTACTTCATCACGTTTAAACGGGCTGGAGCGATTTTAATAAAATTTGGTAGGAAGGGTAAGTAAGCTGACACTCTGGATTAATACATAGGCTACATTTTACGGTGGGAAATATACCTAATAAATCGCGGGTAACACCGCGGGGCACAGCTAGTCGAAGTATTGCATTTTAGTTCTCATTACGTCCGTTTTGGCGCTGCTGTTCAAGTTTCCAATCAAAATTTGACAATGGCATTTCGCACTCCCAAACTATTCGAATTTGATGTATATTATAAGTCAATTTTGTACTGGTTTTAAGTTTTCATAGCGGGGAAATATCCCTAATAAATCGCGGGTAACACCGCGGGGCACAGCTAGTCGATGATCCTTTTATCTGGGGGCAAAGTAGTGCCATGGGTAGTACTCCCATATTTTAACTCGGGTGTTAATTTGTGAATTTAGACAGTGTAGAGTTAGAGGCTTGGCTCTACATGAGATCTGTACCCATAGCACGAACCAATATCGAATTCGTAACGTTTGCGAGTCCGAAATGTCATTGTCAAATGTGTACTGATTTTTAGTTCTTATTACGTCCGTTTTGGCGCTGCTGTTCAAGTTTCCAATCAAAATTTGACAATGGCATTTCGCACTCCCAAACTATTCGAATTTGATGTATATTATAAGTCAATTTTGTACTGGTTTTAAGTTTTCATAGCGGGGAAATATCCCTAATAAATCGCGGGTATCGCCGCGGGGCACAGCTAGTCTTAGTATTATCCTTTTATCTGGGGGCAAAGTAGTGACATGGATAGTATTTTAATATTTATTAATATTTTAACTCAGGTGTTAATTTGTGAATTTAGACAGTGTAGAGTTAGAGGCTTGGCTCTACATGAGATCTGTACCCATAGCACGAACCAATATCGAATTCGTATCGTTTGCGAGTCCGAAATGTCATTGTCAAATGTGTACTGATTTTTAGTTCTCGTTGCGTACTTTGTGCCGCTGTTGTTGAAGTTTCCATACAAAATTTGACATTTCGGGCTCGCCAACGTTCCGAATTCGATAATGGTTCGTACTAGGGGTATAGTACCCCTAGCCTAGAATAGTTTACGAGTCCGAAATGTCAAATTTTGTATGGAAACTAACATATTATTAGGTATATAAAATTACTTATTAAAAATAGTCCGTCCAGAATTTTTTGAGGCAACACATTTTTAATTTATTTCCTAATATACTAAATTCAAGATAAAATATGTTCCATTTTATTATCAGCTCTGTGAAGGTCGATGTAGGTTCGGATCTTGGACTAATTGTATTGTTATGTTTTTATTTATTTTTTAAGTCTAACTGCTAGATGTTTAAATCTAAAGAAAAGTTTACTAGAAAAAAATCCACGCGGACCAGGCAGCGGACGGGACTCGAACCCGCACCCTTCGCAATCCGGGCGAATGCACTGACCATTATGCTACCACGGCCCTATTCGCCGCGTCGAAATTTTCCTAGCCTTAAGCTGCAAGGCAGCGCCATCTCTTCGCATTGTAGGTAATCCACAATGTCAAATGAATACTTTTTCAAGTATTAAACATTTGAAAGAAGAAATAGCAATTATAGTGTTATTTTAATTGTATTGTGCCTACAACGCTATGTCATAACGTTCGTTAGGCGCTTGATTGCGCAGCGGGAGTTTATAGTTTTCTTGTCATTTAGTGAGCGTCTTTCTTTTGATATTCCAGAGTAGGTCCATTGGATTGCAATTGTTCATGAACAAAGAAGCAAATCAGACTGGATACCAGTAAAAAGGTGCAGAATCTGTAGCGATCTCTTCAAAACTACTAACACGTGTGATTCGAAATATTCTCTCTTATCCCACCTTCTCCTTTCCTTCAGAGGACCACGCGCGCTGGCCTACGTTGTCACTGTCTCACTGTGGCTACAATTCCAACGCGTACAAAGAAATTTGGTGACTCATTTCTTTGTCGCACTATCCGTAAATGGAATGCTCTGCCCGCTCACGTGTTCCCTCCCTCTTACAACCTGGGATCCTTTAAAAGAGGCGTGAAGAAGCAACATGCAGGCCGGCAGGGTGAGGATGGCTGGTGTGGCAGGTAGAACTGCTGTATCAGCTATTTTCGCGTCTGGACTTTACCTTCACTTAACATCAGGTGGTGTGGAGTCATTTGTCGGACCTATCTATATAAAAAAAAATATATAAAGAAAAATAATCCTACAGAAAAAAGAAGATTATTAAATATTCAATAAATTTTCAATCAAGTGTCCACTCTACAATTAATAAATATAATTCTATGCGCAAGAAAACAATTGAAATTTTGAAGTTTGACTGGAACTCTTATCAGATTTTAAACGCAATTACTATGAACGCCATATATCTATAATTAAAATAGAATTGTTTCTAAAAGTAAATTGTTTTCTTCCGTACCCAAGTTTTTGTAGATCATTCAAACATTATCTGTAAGTTAATTTCCTTGAGTACGTTCCATGCCAGCAAATAGACCAACAATTTTCAAAATCATAATTAAAGACCTGCCATTATTAATTAAACTCTTATTTCATCCTAGTGGCCCGCCCTCGCTTCGCTTCGGTGTAGAGCTGTAGTGTAAACTATAGTTTTTGTTCTCAGGCTTGTGCTATAAACAATGACTTTATTTATATAATTACACGTGCTATTGTGAGTCAACCATAAAAGATAGATATATGCTGTTGCGGGATATTTTTTAGATAATGTCTGCTCAACCCCCTTTGTAGTCACAAACACAACCAATTATTATTATTTTGCAGGTTACCATAGTAACTAGATATTCGTCTGTAAGTAGGTAGGTTCTACAAACAGGAATATTCAATACTCCTGCTTTAATTTACAGTACCCAGTGCAGATTATAAAGCTTTTAAGCCAATCTCAATTTAACCGTGTAAGAGTTAAGGATGAAATTGGATTGTAATCGAGCACAAAAGAACAGTATGTACCTAGTCTCAACGCAATTTCGCAACAAAACTGCGGACAGTCGATAGCAGAAGTGTATTTAATAAATAAATATTATATTATTATTTGCATTTGTAATGGAAAGTGACTATATGAGTTACCTCATATTGAAGTCATTTTTCAATTTGACGACTCTGTATACAATACAGGGAGAAAAAAACAGCCCTTGCTGAGTTTCTTGCCGGTTCTTCTCAGTACAAGGTCTCCCGCCCTATATTTGCGAACCGATCGCGTAGCTTTTCGACATTCACAAGTGCTTGTAACAGCCTACACTGAATAAACGATATTGAATTGAATAATTACAGTTTCAGTTCAAAGGCTTGTTTATCATTCTCTTGTTTTTAGTGCAGAGTTTTTTTTATACGTTAAAAGGGTGGCGAAAAATCGTATTTCCCGCCCGATGGTAAGCGTCCACCATAAATAAATAAATATTTCCAACACACATCAATTAGCCTAGCCCCAAAATAAGCAGTGTAAGGTTTGTGTAATTGTGTTATGGGATACTAGGGTAACGGATAGAATAGATAGATGATAGATAGATAATGCGTTTATTTTTTTCTTCAACATACATATACATTTCAGAGTAATACAATAAAAAAAATTAAAAGATACAAGAAATCAGCTATGTAATACCCATATGTATGCTGCAGAAAGCAAAAGGACAAGGTTCGGCTAAGCATTTGCCGGTTTTAAGACAAAAAAACGATTTTCAGCCATCACCTTTATGAGTGAGTAGATAAGCTTTATTAAATTAGATAATAATAAACATTCAAAAGATTTTGCAAGGAGAAAAGAGAAAACAGCCATGACAATGCAGTGGAGACAAGTACAGATTAACTACATTATAGAGTCGAATAATGAAGTGATTGTTGGTCAAAAATAATTGAATATATATACTGATACATACATATATAAGTAGTATATTTATATAGAAATACTGATTAAACATCCATGACTGGAGTACATATACTCGTATTCATCACACAGACATCTGCCCCCACCGGGACTCGAACCTGGAACCTCTCAAGTAAGCGACACATTGAAACCTGACGTTCATACCACTTCGCCACGGAGGTCGTACTACTATAGCCTTTAGACGCTTGTGATACTAACAATATCACTCGCACCGTTGCCTACCCTTTTTTTTACCAGGGGTAATGCCCGCGCATACCACCCCGCCATGGGGAGACAGGATGGTTATGTGGGACTCGAACCCACTAAAACCACCTGGGTGTTCCTTCATGCAAACAAACGGGGACCATGAGCTCAGGCTTTGCCCACTTCTACCACGGCCCCGCCCTGCGATGTCCTTTCGGACCCCTCCTTATGGAAGCTTAGTAACTCCCTCCCTCGGCGAAGCACAACGAAGGCCCTGATCCGACGACAGCAATCCCCATTACTGCCGCCCAGCCCTCACCGTTGCCTACGCTGACCCAATCCTCTACCCCGTGTAGCCCCCGGCATGTAACTCACTCACTCTACCAAAAGCTAGTGTTATTTTACTATCTTCTGTAAGACCGACGTTACTTCCCCAAACGGGCGGCGCTCCTATTTGTGTGGAAAATGCGATATGTCCTACTCACTTATGATAAAAATTCAATCTGACCTTCTGCGACTGATGCGGCTCAATTTTTATAATTCTACTGATGTACCACGAGATACCATTTCAATAGGAAATATTTTAAAAGATTTTTGAAGTTATACTTCTTTAGGCGCGTTATGAAAAAATGATGAGAGTGAAATTTTAAGATGCGCGCGCATCACTGTAACACAAAATTTTAACAGCATGAAGTTGGTCGCTTTAGCGACCAACTTCATGCGTTA